AGTGGTCTTCTGAGGATGGCTAATCAGCCGTGTCGATGATCCCCAGTGGGGTGACGAGAGCAGTGTAGTAGACGATGGTTTGAGGAGAGTAACAGGATGGTCCCACTTAAATTCACCTTCTTAGATACAGTACTTAGAACAGCTACTCAGCCGTAACATTGATTGTTAGTGGAGGCAACATTGTCGTCTTCACCTCGTGTTGATTTTCAGGGTCGGGACCAATATGGACAACAGCTGCAGCTTGAGGTCCGTCTGATCTGATCATTCTTAACTCAGTCTTTTATGCACTCTGGTAAAGAGGGGCGTTTCCGTCGTACTGACACGCTCTTTGAGCTCCCTCGGGCGTGGCTAGTTATGAGGCAAAAGTATTATTATCACTGATTTTGTCTGGTTGTTGTCGGCCATTGTCTTGGCTGACATGAGGCCTTTGATCCTCACCCAGGGAGAGTCATGACAACAGTGTATGTGGACACCCCTTCAAATTAGGGGATTCGGCTATTTCAGCCACACCCGTTGCTGACAGGTGTATAAAATCAAGCACACAGTCATGCACTCTCTATAGACAAACATTGGCAGTAGAATGGCCTTACTGAAGAGCACAGTGACTTTCAACGTGGCACCGTCGTAGGATACCACCTTTCCAACAAGTCAGTTTGTCAATTTTCTGCCCTGCTAGAGCTGCCCCGGTCAATTGTAAAAGCTGTTATTGTGAAGTGGAAACGTCTAGGAGCAACAACGGCTCAGCCACGAATTGGTAGGCCACACAAGCTCACAGAATGGGACCACCGAGTGCTGAAGCACGTAGCTCGTAAAGAATTGTCTGTCCTCGGTTGCAACACTCACTACTGAGTTCCAAACTGCCTCTGAAGCAACGTCAGCACAAGAACTGTTCGTCGGGAGCTTCATGAAATGGGTTTCCGTGGCCGAGCAGCCGCACAGAAGCCTAAGATCACCATGCGCAATGCCAAGTGTCGGCTGGAGTGGTGTAAAGCTTGCTTCCATTGGACTCTGGAGCAGTGGAAATGCGTTCTCTGGAGTGATGAACCGTGCTTCACTATCTGGTAGTCCGACAGATGAATCTGGGTTTGGCGGATGCCAGGAGAACGCTACCTGCCCCAATGCATAGTGGAGCTGTTTTTCATGGTTCGGGGTAGGCCCCTTAGTTCCAGTGAAGGGAAATCTTAGCGCTATCAATCAATCAAATGTATTTGTAAAGCCCTTTTAACTTAAGCAGATGTCACAAAGTGCTATACAGAAACCCAGCCTAAAACCACAAACAGCAAGCAATGCAGATGTAGAAGCACTATGGCTAGGAAAAACTCCCTAGAAAGGCAGGAACCTAAGAATAAACCTAGAGAGGAACCAGGCTCTGAGGGGTGGCCAGTCCTCTTCTGGCTGTGCCAGGTGGAGATTGTAAGTGTACATGGCCATTTAAGACCAGATTGTTCTTCAAGATGTTCAAACGTTCAAATAATAATCACATTTGTTGTAGAGGGTGCAACCGGTCAGTACCTCAGGAGTAAATGTCAGTTTGCTTTTCATAGCCGAGCATTCAGAGGTCGAGACAGCAGGTGCGGTAGAGAGAGAGTCAAAAACAGCACGTCCGGTAAACAGGTCAGGGTTCCCTAGCCTCAGGCAGAACAGTTGAAACTGGAGCAGCAGCACGACCAGGTGGACTGGGGACAGCCAGGAGTCATCAGGCATGTTCCTAGGGCTCAGGTCCTCCGGGAGGGGGGAGAGAGAATTACAGGGAGCATACTTAAATTCACACAGGACACCAGATAAGACAGGATAATTACACCAGATATAACAGACTGACCCTAGTCCCCCGGCACATAGACTATTGCAGCATAGATACTGGAGACTGAGACAGGGGTGGGTCGGGGGACAATGTGGCCCCGTCCAACGATACCCCCGGACAGGGCCAACCAGGCAGGATATAACCCCACCCACTATCCCAAAGCGCAGCCCCCACACCATTAGAGGGAAATCAACAGACCAACTTACTACCCTGAGACAAGGCTGAGTATAGCCCATAAAGATCTCCTCCACTGCACAAGCCAGCTACAGCAACCCCACCGAACACCTTTGGGATGAATTGGAACGCCCAGGCCTAATCGGCGAACATCAGTGCCCGACCCCACTAATGCACTTGTGGCTGAATGGAAGTAAGTCCCCGCAGCAATGTTCCAACATCTAGTGGAAAGCCTTGGAGGCTGGAGGCTGTTATAGCAGGAAAAGGGGGACCAACTCCATGTTAATGCCCATGATTTTGGAATGAGATGTTCGACGAGCAGGTGTCAACATACTTTTGGTCATGTAGTGTATACTTAATGGTTTGAAACCTGAAGGTTTTAATAGATATTGTAGCCTATTAGATTTACATTTACATTTGAGTAATTTAGCAGACGCTCTTATCCAGAGCGACTTACAGTTAGTAAATGCATACATTTTTCATAATGGCCCCCTGTGGGGATCGAACCCACAACCCTGGCGTTGCAAGCGCCATGCTCTACTAACTGAGCTACATTTCGAATGGATATTTTCTTTTTACATTTTGAATTGATATTTTCTTTTGACAACTGTGTTTTCCCACTAATTGCATTATGGAACGAACATTTGCGCGTAGCCTACTGCCTTGTGCACGATGCACCCAATGCATATCGGTCCGGTACATTTCTCAAATGTCCGGTAAATTAAAATGTTGCCGGTCAAATGTCCTGCGCCACGTTTTCTTAACGGAAACCCTGGTTCAGACATCAACAGTTTTAGCTGAATGACTTTAGGCACTGAAATAACCTAGCCCTGGGTGGGTAAATGTAGCCTCAGATGTGGTTGTAGTCCTAGGGTGCACCCACAGGTCAGTTAAGTGTGTGTTTGTGTTTCCCCGTCCTTGTGTGTTTGTCCCTCCGAGCGGGTGTGTATCAGTGTGTGTGTGTGTGTGTGCGTGTGTGTGTGTATTGGCCCAACTCTGAACAAAGAGAGGTAGAGTCAGGCAGGCATTTTACTGTGTAGCTTCTCTGTCTGGTCTATTGTTATGTCTATCTCAACATCTCCACATCTCATACCTCTAGCTCGGCTTTCACTTGGCTCATGTCTCGTCTATATGTAAATAATTTTATAGAACAGCTTTGTGTATGTGAGAGAGAAGGAGCGAGTGTGCGTGTCTGTCTGCAGGTGTTTCTGTGGTGTACAGTAGGCTAGTTTTCATTTTCTCTCTACTCTGTGGGGAGGGATTCCTCCATTATTTGTCCAGAGCAACAAGAGCTCATTATCGACAGCAGACACATGTGCTATCTATCTGTGTCAAATTGGTCTATGTGTGTGTGCGTGTGATTTTTATTTTTAGCACACGTTAAACAAAAGACCAATGCAATTTACGTTACTCAGACATGCTTATTTTCTTTGTTTGTTTTACCTGTAGTCAAATCCCTGACTCAAGCCTTTTCTCCATTTTAAATAAACTCAGCAAAAAAAGAAACGTCCCCTTTTCAGGACCCTGTCTTTCAAATATATTTCGTAGAAATCCAAATAACTTCACAGATCTTCATTGTAACTCAAACTCTGTTTCCCATGCTTGTTCAATGAACCATAAACAATTAATGAACATGCACCTGTGGAACGGTTGTTAAGGCACTAACAGCTTACAGACGGTAGGCAATTAAGGTCACAGTTATGAAAACTTAGGACACTAAAGAGGCCTTTCTACTGACTCTGAAAAAAACACCAAAAGAAAGATGCCCAGGGTCCCTGCTCATCTGCGTGAACGTGCCTTAGGCATGCTGCAAGGAGGCATGAGGACTGCCGATGTGGCCAGGGCAATAAATTGCAATGTCCGTACTGTGAGACGCCTAAGACAGCGCTACAGGAAGACAGGACGGACAGTTGATCCTCCTCGCAGTGTCAGACCACGTGTAACAACACCTGCACAGGATCGGTACATCCGAACATCACACCTGTGGGACAGGTACAGGATGGCAACAACAACTGCCCGAGTTACAACAGGAATGCACAATCTCTCCATCAGTGCTCAGATTGTCCGCAATAGGCTGAGAGAGGCTGGACTGAGGGCTTGTAGGCCTGTTGTAAGGCAGGTCCTCACCAGACATCACCGGCAACAACGTTGCCTATGGGCACAAACCCACCGTCGCTGGACCAGACAGGACTGGCAAAAAGTGCTCTTCACTGACGAGTCACATTTTTGTCTCACCAGGGGTGATGGTTGAATTCGCGTTTATCGTCGGGAAGGAATGAGCGTTACACCGAGGCCGGTACTCTGGAGCGCGATCGATTTGGAGGTGGAGGGTCCGTCATGGTCTGGGGCGGTGTGTCACAGCATCATCGGACTGAGCTTGTTGTCATTGCAGGCATTCTCAATGCTGTGCGTTACAGAGAAGACATCCTCCTCCCTCATGTGGTACCCTTCCTGCAGGCTCATCCTGACATGACCCTCCAGCATGACAATGCCACCAGCCGTACTGCTCGTTCTGTGCGTGATTTCCTGCAAGACAGGAATGTCAGTGTTCTGCCATGGCCAGCGAAGAGCCCGGATCTCAATCCCATTGAGCACGTCTGGGACCTGTTGGATCGGAGGGTGAGGGCTAGGGCCATTCCCCCCCAGAAATGTCTGGGAACTTGCAGGTGCCTTGGTGGAAGAGTGGGGTAACATCTCACAGCAAGAACTGGCAAATCTGGTGCAGTCCATGAGGAGGAGATGCACTGCAGTACTTAATGCAGCTGGTGGCCACACCAGATACTGACTGTTACTTTTGATTTTGACCCCCCCTTTGTTCAGGGACACATTATTCCATTTCTGTTAGTCTTATGTCTGTGGAACTTGTTCAGTTTGTCTCAGTTGTTGAATCTTATGTTCTTACAAATAATTACGCATGTTAAGTTTGCTGAAAATAAACGCAGTTGAAGGTGAGGACGTTTAGAACTCTAATCTCGACTGCTTTTAACAAGTTAACTAATTGGTGTTTCTTTTGTCCTATTGCAGAAATCGAGCGATAGCTGATTACCTTCGTTCCAATGGATATGAAGAGGCATATTCAACTTTCAAGAAGGAGGCAGAATTAGACGTGGTGAGTAATGATGGAACATTACACACACACACACACGCTATCAATCAAGCCTAGTTACCCAAACAATACAGCTTTCATTTCCACTTTATTCCCCCTTTTAATTGACGCAGACACAAGTTTTACTGAAGCCATATGAGCCCAATTTTTAAGGTGATCATGATTAGGGTGTCTGTCACACACACACACACACACACACACACACACACACACACACACACACACACAAGGGAGAAGCTGCAGTCAGGGAGTGGAACAGAAGCTGAAGATGGAGATAACGTCTCTCCCGGTCTTCCTAGCTGTGCTCGATCAGAGCTAATGTAGCTAGCAGCTAAAGGCCCGAACGAAAGAGCCCTTTGAATTTACTCAACGAACAATCTCTCCTCAAACTAGACAAAACAAAGACCAAAGACAACGTGTGGCAGTTTAACATGTCAATGCTCCCTCTGCCTCTCTCTCTCCCTCTCTCCGTCTTTGTCATTACCTCCCTATTTGTATAGCACAGATAGAGGTGTTCAGTCCTTCCTCCTCCCTAGTTAGTGGAAACAGCCTGAATAATAGATTACTATGGACGGAGAAGCTCCCTGATGTGTCTGACACCGCGCGCGCACACACCTTGCCAGGATTGTGTTAAGTCTGCCCTAATGATGCTGGCAATTCCATTAACAGCCTTCCATTGCCTTAATCTAGTCTATTCATTACCTGTTAAATGAGGAGGCTATGCCAATGGAGAATGGAGGCATTACCCCTAATGCTACATCTACAGCCTTCGTCTTGGGTTTCTTTTAAGACCTGCTAAAATAATGTAATGCAGTGTGTAGGTGAGCAGAGTGGCGTTGAAGGTAGGATATTAAACAGCATGCCGCACCTCTCGTCTGGCACTGCCCACACACACGCACGCACGCACACACACATCCTGCTGATAGACTGACAGACCACAGTGATTAGAAGGAGTGTGTGTGTGGAGCACTGACTGACTTTGTGTTAAGCCATCGGCAAAGGGTCTGGGCAGATGGCAGGTCACATTTCTCTCCCTCTCTCTTCACAGACACAATGCCACGACTCCTTTCATCCCTCCATCCCGTCACCTCTCCTCCTCCCCTCTTCTTATCGCTCCAAGCGTTGAGCGAGGCAGCAACTGTTATCTTGTACACCTCTGCGATTTCTGCCAAGGAGCAGCAGCTCAGCTTCAGAACACACAGCTGCCCTCTCAGTGCCTGCAGCACGACTCCACACAGCCACATTTCCTCTTTTGTTTCTCCTAAGAGGGAAGAAAATGGGTGAAATCTACCACAAAGCATATTTTCTCCCCCACTGAAACAGTGGCTAGGCTGTTAATCTCTCCCATTAGTAACACCACATGAAGAGACAATGTAAATATGTACCAACTCTACTCAGCAAACACACCATCCCTTTCCCCTTTATTTAACCAGGTAAGCCAGTTAAGAACAAGTTCTCATTTACAACTGCGACCTGGCCAAGATAAAGCAAAGCAGTGCGATAAAAACAACAACACAGAGTTACATATGGGGTAAACAAAACATTAAGTCAAAAATACAACAAAATATATATACAGTGTGCGAATGTAGTAAATTATGGAGGTAAGGCAATAAATAGGCCATAGTGCAAAATAGTTACAATTTCGTAATAACACTGGAATGATAGATGTGCAAAAGATGATGTGCAAATAGAGATACTGGGGTGCAAATTAGCAAAATAAATAACAATATGGGGATGAGGTAGTTGGGTGGGCTAATTTCAGATGGGCTGTGTACAGGTGCAGTGATCGGTAAGCTGCTCTGACAACTGACGCCTAAAGTTAGTGAGGGAGATAAGCGTCTCCAGCTTCAGAGATTTTTGCAGTTCGTTCCAGTCATTGGCAGCAGAGAACTGGAAGGAATGGCGGCCAAAGGAGGTGTTGGTTTTGGATGACCAGTGAGATATACCTGCTAGAGCGCAGACTATGGGTGGGTGTTGCTATGGTGACCAGTGAGCTAAGATAAGACAGGGATTTGCCTAGCAGTGATTTATAGATGACCTGGAGCCAGTGGGTTTGGCGACTAATATGTAGTGAGGGCCAGCCAACAAGAGCGTACAGGTCACAATGGTGGGTAGCTGGGGGGGGGCTCCATATGCCTCACGTCTCCACACAGACACCAACCACTTATTTAATTTTTCTACCTCCCTGAATAAAACATGTAGGCTCGTTTTTAGGCGACGTGCTAGTCTTGATCTTGGCTAGTACCCGTAACAGGTTTCACTTACGTTTGCCTTACTCCTTACCCTAGCCAGCCTGTAAACACGCACCAGAAGTCCCTCCCTCGCCCTTTAGTAAAATGGCCTCCATACCCCTGTTGCTAGCCTTTCCTCCAGGTGGAAGCCGCTCTCTGCCAGGCTCCCTGAAGTTAATGTCCCTCCCCAGCGTACTGTTTGTGAGGGCGTAAGCCCTTGTCTGCAGGAGATTAGCCTGTGTGAGGGGGATTAAGAAGTGTGTGTGTGGGTCTCTGTAAGTATGTCTCCGTGTGTGTGTGTTTACAATTAGCCTCAAGGCTGACCCTGTTTGTATGTAGGGGTGTAAATCCCATTCCTTATTACTGTGCTCTCAACTGTATCCGAAGACTGCCTGCAACCTCTGCTGCCCCCCAGGCAGACCCATAGGCCCCACTGATTAGGCCTAAACTAAGCTCCGTGCTGGATTGTGTGTGTGTGTGTGTGTGTGTTTCTGTGTGCGTGTGGTGCTCTTTTCCTAACTCCATTTTTAATTTTAGAATGAAGAATTGGATAAGAAGTATGCCGGCCTTTTGGAAAAGAAATGGACCTCAGTCATCAGATTACAAAAGAAGGTTTGTGGTTTGATTTAGGGGATGCTGTTGTAGCTGGGCATTCTGTCTGTTAGTCTTGGCCCATGTCTGTGGCGGAACATCAGCAGATACTCTCTATACACACCGTATTAAAAAAGTTACATTACAATGAATTGAATGTGTTAACCCAATGCCCTTAAGATATGAGATCGTTTGATATGGGTGGCTTTGATGTGCTTACTTAGCAGTACACTGAAGCAGCCAGCAGTGATTTCCATGTATCCATCAACATTAGCAAGCTTATATTAGCCAATTTGCTTGCTTAGTACAGATTATACACTTACTGTATTCCAAAATGGAGGTTTTCCAAGCTTCTCCAAGTGCCTAACGTTGTAAGGGCTAAACTCACCTCCTACACCACCAATATGTATTTCCCACCTGATGATGCATGGCAGCCATTTTGTGCCAGAAACGCCCAGTTTCCTTCTATGTAATACCGCATATCCTACTGTGATGATAACTATGTCTACATGTCCCCCCCCCCGTCCGTCCCCCCAGGTGATGGAGCTGGAGTCAAAGCTGAACGAGGCCAAGGAGGAGATCACCCTGGGTGGGCCCATAGCCCAGAAGCGTGACCCCAAAGAGTGGATCCCTCGCCCGCCGGAGAAGTACGCGCTGAGCGGCCACCGCTCCCCCGTCACGCGTGTCATCTTCCACCCAGTCTTTAGCGTCATGGTGTCAGCCTCAGAGGACGCCACAATAAAGGTCAGTAGAATATAATAACCATCATAAACAACAACAGTCTTTACTCTATGTCTACGTTATTCTCCAGGCTGGTTGCAAAGGTCCCTGAAGACTGCCTAAACAGTGCTAAGGGAAACAATGAAACAATGTATAAACAAGATGCAAGCAACCCATTCCAAACAACTTCCCCAACACTTTGGTGGCAAGTTACTTTATCCACTTGACTTGTATGGGAGTTGACTGTATATGTATAACTGCAACCAATAAGGCCTGGGTTTGAGTCCCAGTTCAGGAAAGGTCAACTGCAGAGCTGTGTACCAGTCATTGAACTGCATCTTTAACCAATTCAAGTCCTTGTACAATATCAAAACGTGCCACTGAACCAATTCTGTAAATGCATGAAATTTGGTGTCAACATATGCTGAGCAAAAATATAAATGGAACCGTAAAGTGCTGATCCCATGTTTCATAAGCTGAAATAAAAGATCCCAAAAATGTTCCATGCGCACAAAAAGTTTATTTCTCTCATTCTGGGTACAAATTAGTTTACATCCCTGTTAGTGAGCATTTCTCCTTTGCCAAGGTAATCCATCCACCTGATAGGTGTGGCATATCAAGAAGCTGATTAAACAGCATGATCATTACACAGATGCACCTTGTGCTGGGGACAATAAAAGGCCACTCTAAAATGTGCAGTTTTGTCTCACAACACAATGCCACAGATGTCTCAAGTTTTGAGGGAGCGTGCAATTGGTATGCTGACTGCAAGAATGTCCACCAAAGCTGTTGCCAGATAATTGAATGTTAATTTCTCTACCATAAGCCTCCTCCAACATCATTTTAGAGAATTTGGCATTACATCCAACCGGCCTCACAACCGCAGACCACGCGTAACCACTCCAGCCCAGTACCTCCACATCCATCTTCTTTACCTGTGGGATCGTCTTAGACCAGCCACCTGGACAGCTGATGAAACTGTGGGTTTGCACAACCGAAGAATTCCTGCACAAATAGTCAGAAACTGTCTCATTGAAGCTCATCTGCATGCTCGTCGTATCTGCATGCTCGTCGTCCTCACCAGGGTCTTGACCTTGACTGCAGTTCGGCATTGTAATCGATGGCCACTGGCACGCTGGAGAAGTGTGCTCTTCACGGATTAATCCCAGTATCAACTGTACCGGGCAGATGGTAGCGTGTATGGTGTTGTGTGGGCGAGCGGTTTGCTGATGTCAACATTGTGAATAGAGTGCCCCATGGTGTGGTTATGGTATGGGCAGGCATAAGCTATGGACAACGAACACAATTGCATTTTATTGATGGCAATTTGAATGCACAGCTTCCATGACGAAATCCTAAGGCCCATTGTCGTGCCATTCATCCGCCGCCATCCCCTCATGTTTCAGCATAATAATGTTTCAGCATAATAATGCACGGCCCCATGTCGCAAGGATCTGTACACAATTCCTGGAAGCTGAAAATGTCCCAGTTATTCCATGGCCTGCATACTCACCAGACACGTCACCCTTTGAGCATGTTTGGGATGCTCTGGATCGACGTGTACGACAGCGTTTTTCAGTTCTCTCCAATATCAGCAACTTCGCACAGCCATTGAAGAGGAGTGGGACAACATTCCACAGGCCACAATCAACAGCCTAATCAACTCTATCCGAAGGAGATATGTCACGCTCCATGAGGCAAATAGTGGTCACACCAGATACTGACTGGTTTTCAGATCCATGCCTCTACCTTTAATTTAGTTATTTTTTATCTGTGACCAACAAATGCATATCTTTATTCCCAGTCATGCGAAACCCATAGATTAGGTCCTAGGGAATTTATATTAATTGACAGATTTCCTTATATGAACTGTAACTCAGTAAAATCTTTGCAATTGTTGCATGTTGCGTTTATATTTTTGTTCAGTGTAGTTAGTACAAGTGTGTAATCAGGCCACATTGATTTTGTAATATTGTCAGCTGTCAGTGTCAATCAAAGTTGGGATTTTTAGAAAATGTGAAGAAATCATTAAAATGACCATAGCATATGTATTTTGAAATGCATTTCAGAATTACATTCTTTAAAAGCATATGGTATTGTTATTTGACTTGTTCTAAGCCCAAATATGCCAAATACAGTGCATTCGGAAAGTTTTCAACCTTATTCTAAAATTTATTAAATTGTTTTTTCCCCTCATCAATCTAGACACAATACCCCCTAATGACAAGTAATTGTTTAGTTTTTTGTTTTTATTGTTTGCTAATAAAAATAAATAAAAAACTTATCACATTTACATAAGTATTCAGACCCTTTACTCAGTACTTTGTTGAACCACCTTTGGCAGCGATTACAGCCTTGAGTCTTAAGTATGACACTACAAGCTTGGCACACCTGTATTTGGGGAGTTTCTCCCATTCTTCTCTGCAGATCCTCTCAAGCTCTGTCAGGTTGGATGGGGAGCATCGCACCACAGCCATTTTCAGGTCTCTTCAGAGATGTTAGATCGGATTCAAGTCCGGGCTCTGGCTGGGCCACTCAAGGACATTCAGAGACTTGTCTCGAAGCCACTCCTGCGTTGTCTTGGCTGTGTGCTTAGGGTTCTTGTCCTTTTGGAAGGTGAGTCTTCGCCCCAGTCTGAGGTCCTGAGCACTCTCTGTACTTTGCTGCATTCATCTTACCCTCAATCCTGACTAGTCTCCCAGTCCCTGCCGCTGAAAAACATCCCCACAGCATGATGCTGCCACCACCATGCTTTACCGTTGTGATGGTGCCAGGTTTCTTCCAGACGCGACGCTTGGCATTCAGGCCAAACCAGAGAATCTTGTTTCTCATGGTCTGAGAGTCCTTTAGGTGCCTTTTGGCAAATTCCAAGCGGGCTGTCGTGCCTTATACTGAGGAGTGGCTTTCGTCTGGCCACTCTACCATAAAGACCTGATTGCTGGAGTGCTGCAGAGATGGTTGTCCTTCTGGAAGGTTCTCCCATCCCCACAGAGGAACTCTAGAGCTCTGTCAGTGTGACCATCAGGTTCTTGGTCACCTCCCTGACCAAGACCCTTCTCCCCCGATTGCTCAGTTTGGCCGGGGGGCCAGCTCTAGGAAGAGTCTTGGTGGTTCCAAACTTTTTCCATTTGAGAATGATGGAGGCCACTGTGTTCTTGGGGACCTTCAATGCTGCAGAAATGTTTTGGGACACTTCCCCAGATCTGTGCCTCGACACAATCCGGTCTCGGAGCTCTACGGACAATTCCTTCGACCTCATAGCTTTTGCTCTGACATGCACTGTCAACTGTGGGACCTTATATAGACAGGTGTGTGCCTTTCCAAATCATGTCCAATCAATTGCATTTACCACCGGCGGACTCCAAGTTTTAGAAACATCTCAAGGATGATCAATGGAAACAGGATGCACCTGAGCTTAATTTCGAGTCTCATAGCAAAGGGTCTGAATACTTATGTAAATAAGGTGTTTCTGTTTTTTATTTTTAATAATTTTGCTAGAATTTCTAAAAACCTGTTTTCGCTTTGTCATTATTGGGTATCATGTGTAGATCGAGTAAACATTTTATTTAATCAATTTTAGAATAAGGCTGTAACGTAATTAAATGTGGAAAAAGTCAAGGCGTCTGAATACTTTCCGAAGGCACTGTATATGATTCAACTCATTGCCGTTTGAACTACAGCCATTTCTGTATTGTACTTTATTCTTTGGACACGCATACCACTGACACACACACGGGTGTGCGTTGATGTCTGTGGTGTGTGTGTGCTTGTGAGAGAGGGAGGGAGAACACTGTAGCAGGCCTCATTCTCCATTGACTTGCATTGGATTTGCTTATGCTGTATAATATACTCTAGGAGTGTGAAAGTGTGGATTTCTTTAGATATTGTTTTCACGATAATAGAGGAGAGATGCTCATAAAACAACAGAGTTTTTTAGCTTTTAGCTGCGTTCCCAAAGCGATAAGTTCTGCTTCCTTGTTATTCATTCAGCCTGTGTGCCAGCCTGCCATTGCATCAGCATTACCTAGTACCTAACACACGCTCGCACTCTCCTTTTGTCAGGACACGCCCTACAGCAAAAATCACCTCCTCCTCCTCTCAGCTACCCCTCCTCATTCCCAGCATCCCTCCTTCCATTCCCCCCGTTATTTCATCTTCCGCTTGAGTGCTAGCCCCCCCGCCACGACCGCCATCCATCCATCCATCCTGGAGCAGGTTCAGTCAGGCCCCAATCTGCCCTCGCCTCTTCTTTCCTGGCCTGGCTCGCCTCACTCTGTGCCCTACTTTCCCTCCAAACCTTGCTGTTATATCTTTAAATGGGGAGCAGAACTTAAGAGCTCTGCACACTGACATTCTCTCCCTCTGACTATTTCTCTCTTTATTTCTCTCTTTGACATTCTCTCTTTGACATTCCAGTAAGGCTGTTGGTTTGCCTGCAGTCTGAAACTAGTCTATTTTTCTCCTCTTTGTTTAGTATGTAGGAAGTAATTGTCACGGGGCTTTGGTGCTCTGCTTGCCCTCACTCCTTCCCTCTCGCTCTCCCCCTCTTACTCCCTGTCTTCCCTTGTCCTCTGCTCTCCCTTCTGCTAACGTAGCAAATCTATGCAATCCTTTTTTTTTTTGTTACTGTCCTTGAGCCTTGAGCTCGCCACCTTGGCAGTATGTAAATCAGCAGGTTTTGTGAGCAGTGATCCTTCTCTACTTCCTTCAGTGTCTCTCTCTCGGTCTCTCTCTCTCTCGGTCTCTGTGTCTCTCTCTCAGTGTCTCTCTCTTTCCCTTTCTCTGCATGGTGATAAGAAATCCTGTCCCTCACACTAAACTAGGCCAAACACCTTGAGGTTGAGTGTCAGGTTAACTGCTGCTTATGGCAAGAAAGACCCTGCCTTTAGCACAGACTGGACCCCATTATTTTAAAGTGACTATTTTATAGTGTCATTCTCTCAAAAGTAGGCCTATATTAATTACTGCTTTGCTCTTTCAATTGAATATAGGTTATTTTCAGTTGTTCAATGGAAAACGTAATACATTTTTGTCTCTCACTTTTAGCCACATCGTTACGAGTGGCTAACGTTCATTTTATGGTTGTTTATCTCATGCTGTTGTCAGTACATAAACACAGCCTCCCCTGACCTCTGACCTTATTACCTAATGACCTTCTGCAGTGCATCTAGACGGCAGCTTACTGAGCTAATAGGCTACATGGGTCTGCAGAAGAAAATGCCATAAAAGCTGTAATAAATTGCACCACCATGTTTCACTAGCCTGCCACTTGCATAGGTAGCACAAGCTCAGCATTGATGGGTTTGGTGGCAGAAGCACAAGCTCAGCAGAGTAAGTGATGGTCTTGGTGGTACTGGCAGACTTAACACCACACCATACTGGGGTGGATTTTATGGTAGACTAGACTCAAAACGGGAGGGGGCGGGTGGCCATGGCAGTGGAGAAAGCCCAAATGAGGCAGAAGGTGGGGGCTTCTGTCACGGTCTTCCCAAATCCAGCCCTCACCACCTCTGCCCCATCCCCCCCATCGCTTGCTCAGCAATGGAGGAAAAGCTTATCCCCACAGTGCCTGTCTGCCTGGAAACACAGAGTAATGTGATAGCCATCATGCTTGAGATGCAGCCAAAGTAGTGTTTTTGTTGACCCTTTTATTTAAGACTCAAATCCCACTGTCAATTTCAACACAATCACAATAGACAGACTCATATTTATTCAACCACCATAGGCTTATTTCTTTCTCTGACTATCCCAATATGGGGATATTTGAGTTGATACGCTTCACAGACGAATGTATTCTTCTAGAAACAGTAAAGTTAATTTAATCAGACAAGGAAGGTCTCCTCTTTGAATCTGCGTATTCCTCCAGGGCTTAGCTGTCCTGGATCTGCACAGCTCTGCGAGGGCCTGGGATCGGGAGAGACACTTAAGTGTTTTAGTACTATATCTCTTGACACAATGATGAAAATAATCATGGCCTCTAAACCTTCAAGCTGCATACTGGATCCTATTCCTACTAAACTGCTGAAGGAGCTGCTTCCTGTGCTTGGCCCTCCTATGTTGAACATAATAAACAGCTCTCTATCCACCGGATGTGTACCAAACTCACTAAAAGTGGCAGTGATAAAGCCTCTCTTGAAAAAGCCAAACCTTGACCCGGAAAATATAAAAAACTATCGGCCTATATCGAATCTTCCATTCCTCTCAAAAATTTTAGAAAAAGCTGTTGCGCAGCAACTCACTGCCTTTCTGAAGACAAACAATGTATACGAAATGCTTCAGTCTGGTTTTAGACCCCATCATAGCACTGAGACTGCACTTGTGAAGGTGGTAAATGACCTTTTAATGGCGTCAGACCGAGGCTCTGCATCTGTCCTCGTGCTACTAGACCTTAGTGCTGCCTTTGACACCATCGATCACCACATTCTTTTGGAGAGACTGGAAACCCAAATTGGTCTACACGGACAAGTTCTGGCCTGGTTTAGATCCTACCTGTCGGAAAGATATCAGTTTGTCTCTGTGAATGGTCTGTCCTCCGACAAATCAACTGTACATTTCGGTGTTCCTCAAGGTTCCGTTTTAGGACCACTATTGTTTTCACTATATATTTTACCTCTTGGGGATGTTATTCGAAAACATAATGTTAACTTTCACTGCTATGCGGATGACACACAGCTGTACATTTCAATGAAACATGGTGAAGCCCCAAAATTGCCCTCGCTAGAAGCCTGTGTTTCAGACATAAGGAAGTGGATGGCTGAAAACTTTTTACTTTTAAACTCGGACAAAACAGAGATGCTTGTTCTAGGTCCCAAGAAACAAAGAGATATTCTGTTAAATCTGACAATTCATCTTGATGGTTGTAAAGTCGTCTCAAATAAAACTGTGAAGGACCTCGGCGTTACTCTTGACCCTGATCTCTCTTTTGACGAACATATCAAGACTGTTTCAAGGACAGCTTTTTTCCATCTACGTAACATTGCAAAAATCAGAAATTTTCTGTCCAAAAATGATGCAGAAAAATTAATCCATGCATTTGTTACTTCTAGGTTAGACTACTGCAATGCTCTATTTTCCGGCTACCCGGATAAAGCACTAAATAAACTTCAGTTAGTGCTAAATACGGCTGCTAGAATCCTGACTAGAACCAAGAAATTTGATCATATTACTCCAGTGCTAGCTTCCCTACACTGGCTTCCTGTTAAGGCAAGGGCTGATTTCAAGGTTTTACTGTTAACCTATAAAGCGTTACATGGGCTTGCTCCTACCTATCTTTCCGAGTTGGTCCTGCCGTACATACCAATACGTACGCTACGGTCACAAGACGCAGGCCTCCTAATTGTCCCTAGAATTTCTAAGCAAACAGCGGGAGGCAGGGCTTTCTCCTATAGATCTCCATTTTTATGGAACAGTCTGCCTACCCATGTGAGAGACGCAGACTCGGTCTCAACCTTTAAGTCTTTACTGAAGACTTATCTCTTCAGTAGGTCATATGATTGAGTGTAGTCTGGCCCAGGAGTGTGAAGGTGAACGGAAAGGCTGGAGCAACGAACAGCCCTTGCTGTCTCTGCCAGGCCGGTTCCCCTCTCCACTGGGGTTCTCTGCCTCTAACCCTGTTGCAGGGGCTGAGTCACTGGCTTGCTGGTGCTCTTTCATGCCGTCCCTGGGAGGGGTGCGTCACTTGAGTGGGTTGAGTTACTGACGTGATCTTCCTGTCTGGGTTGGCGCCCCCCCCCTGGTTTGTGCTGTGGTGGAGACCTCTGTGGGCTATACTCGGCCTTGTCTCAGGATTGTAAGTTGGTGGTTGGGGATATCCCTCTAGTGGTGCGGGGGCTGTGCTTTGGCGGAGTGGGTGGGGTTATATCCTTCCTGTTTGGCCCTGTCCGGGGGTTTCTTCGGATGGGGCCACAGTGTCTCCGGACCGCTCCTGTCTCAGCCTCCAGTATTTATGCTGCAGTAGTTTATGTGTCGGGGGGCTGGGGTTAGTTGGTTATACCTGGAGTACTTCTCCTGTCTTATCCAGTGTCCTGTGTGAATTTAAGTATGCTCTCTCTAATTCTCTCGTTCTCTCTTTCTCTCTGAGAACCTGAGCCCTAGGACCATACGTCAGGACTACCGGGCATGATGACACCTTGCTGTCCCCAGTCCGCCTGGCCTTGCTGCTATTCCAGTTTCAACTGTTCTGCCTGCGGCTACGAAACCCCTACCTGTCCCAGACCTGCTGTTTTCAACTCTTAATGATCGGCTATGAAAAGCCAACTGAGAGACCTGAGCCCTAGGACCATACGTCGGGACTACCGGCCGTGGTGACTCCTTGCTGTCCCCAGTCCGCCTGGCCTTGCTGCTATTCCAGTTTCAACTGTTCTGCCTGCGGTTATGGAACCCCTACCTGTCCCAGACCTGCTGTTTTCAACTCTTAATGATCGGCTATGAAAAGCCAACTGAGATTTATTCCTGATTATTATTTGACCATGCTTGTCACTTATGAACATTTTTGAACATCTTGGCATGGTTCTGTTATAATCTCCACCCGGCACAGCCAGAAGAGGACTGGCCACCCCTCATAGCCTGGTTCCTCTCTAGGTTCTTCCTAGGTTTTGCCTTCTAGGGAGTTTTTCCTAGCCACCCGTGCTTCTACACCTGCATTACTAGCTGTTGGGGTTTTAGGCTGGGTTTCTGTACAGCACTTCGAGATATTAGCTGATGTAAGAAGGGCTATATAAAATAAAATTGATTGATTGATTGATTTGAACATTGAATATGTATGGGGTCGGTGTTTGCATGTCGAGATGCCGTCTGGCTTGTAGGCTCTCATCATTCTGTGATATTTGGAGCTCTAGAGACGAACCTCAGACAGTGAACTGTGGGTAGTTAATGTCTAGAGAGGTCTGTCTGGCACCTCACCCAGAGCGTGTTGGCTCTCCTGTGATATGACATTAATATGAACTCCTACTGCAGACATTGGAGCTATCCCTATCTCTCTCTGTGCCAGTCTCAGCCTGCCTCCTGTAAGCCTGTTTTGGCTGCTTGGTCGCTCAGGAAAGAGTCAGTGTCACAGGGTGCAGACTAGGTTAGACGAGACTGTGGTATTTGAGGTCTCTGAGGTGTGGGGATTTTTAGATTTTGGAGAGCAGCTGAAGTGTGTTTCTGTTCAGGTGTTTGTGTTTTCATGTGTGTTTATGGTCACACAGCAGCTGAAGTTTAGATTTGTGTGTGCATTAGTTTTCTTCTCTCCCAACATCTGAGGTGTGTGTGTGTGTGTGTGTTCATGTATGTTTTCATCTGTGACATGTTTAGACAGCTGAAATAGTGTTTTCTCTCCTCGCCAGGTGTGGGACTATGAGACAGGAGACTTTGAGCGGACGCTGAAGGGTCACACAGACTCTGTCCAGGACATCTCCTTTGACCAGACAGGCAAGCTGCTGGCCTCCTGCTCTGCTGACATGACCATCAAGCTGTGGGACTTCCAGGGCTTTGAGTGCATTCGGACCATGCATGGTGAGGGGACAGGAGAGGGTGGACTGGCTAGAGAGCTAATGGGTTGGAGGTTATTATGTCTTAGACCATGAGGAGGACCAGGGATGGTGAGGTATGTGTGATTGTTTGGATGTGCATTGAGACACAGGTGCTACCGATGCTGTTCATTATCACGTATGATATGGCTCATCCTCACTGAAGTCCATGGTAATCTGCTCCAATTCACAGAAAACCCAGTGAAACAAAAGAGCTTCACATCACAGCCAAATTATCTGTCACACAGGCTTTAATGTTAATGCCAGCCATTCCACACTTCTTCTAAACATACTCCCCAATCTAACTCCTACAGGCGGTGGGGACTAGTTCTCTCGCGCCATCTCTCTCTCTCTGGAGTTCAGTCATTTGCACCGTTTAATATTACGATTTGGAGGGCAGAATGAGAAGCCTTTCTGTTTTCTCTCACACACACACACACACACACACACACACACACACACACACACACTCCCTCAAGACGAGGTGCTATTTCTCATATCATCAGCACTCTAAATGTACCAGTCCTTAGGCAGTGTCACTGCCCCCTCCCCTCTTTTAAATCCTAATTGCTGGATAAATTGAAGCGGCAACTCTTACAACGTGTGCCTTCAGGCCCCACTGAAACAGGAGGACCACTGGAGTGGCTTTCCTATTCCATTGGAACTGTCTGGAGCTCTTAAAACATATCAACACATCATATGCCCCTTAAACTCTCCCCAAAAATGCCTCTGAAATTGCCCAGACTAAGAAGTATACTACATGAATGAATATAAATGCTTTAAAGTAAAACTCAAAATAAGCTCTCTTCCCCTTCTTGACTAGGGCTCAGTCATTTTTCTATCCATGTTTGAGTTGTAAACCTAGACGTATATAAATCCAAGGTTTGCAGTGCGTGTGTGTGTGAGATATTAGCGGTCTCTCTCCAATCCCTTTTTGGGTGTAATTTACATTGTCAGTTAGAGCTGGCATGTTGCCCCAAAACAGACAGGCTGTGTTCACACTGTGAAGAAAGGAGGAGAGCTCTGGGACCACTTCTCTTTGTCTTCCTCCCTCTCTCCATCCCTCTCTCTGTGCCTGCCAGTTCCACTGCGCCAGCATTCCTGTCATCCTCCCATCCCCTAATATTTTCATCCTTTCATTCTCCTTAAGAGTTCCTTTCTTCCTCTAATTTTCCTTCTCTCCAGTCCTTCCCTTCTCCTTAAACAATTTCCCCTCTCTCCTTCCTCACCCTTTCTCCTCTACACGGTTTTCTCTCCATCTTTCTCTCATCCTCTTCCTCTCTCCCTCCTTCCCTCTCATCCTCCCTGCATCCCTCCCACCAGGCTGGCTGGTTTGGTAGTGAAGATTAGGAGAGATTTTGGACAGTTAGTTTAATTATGATCCTCTTCACTCAGCACCAGATAGCAGCCCTTTGTGAGGGTTCCACCACCCATTATTATAACCACCACCACACACACACACTACCCCTCCCCACCACATATGTTTAAGCTTGGCTTTTAGAGCCTACTTACGTTTCCTCATCTTTTTAGCAGATTAAAGATGGCTGCCCTGGTCTCTAGGTAATTAACTGCCTCTTCTCTAGGAACAAAGACACCCTGAGCGTAATTGGCCGTCTCTCTACTCATGTTAATTGGCAAATTTGAACAAAACCTATTTTATGGCACGTTTAGTTCTGGGGACTGTCTGAAGTACAGTACTTGGACATTTCACCAATGGTAATTTCAGTCAGCAGTGGTTGTTTTGGAAAGGGAAAGGGGGTACCTAGTCAGTTGTACAACTGAATGCATTCAACTGAAATGTGTCTTCCACATTTAACCCAACCCCTCTGAATCAGAGAGATGCGGGGGCTTAAATCAATGTAATTGGTGCCCAGGGGGTAAAAGTTGTTGGTAGAATGGCAGATTTTGTCCACCTTGCCGGCTCGGGGATTCGAACCTGCAACCTTCCAGTTACTGGCCCAGCGCTCTTAACTGCTAGGCTACCTGCTGACCAGTGAAGGTCTCATTGCATTGTGTCTTCTGTTTTCCAGGACACGATCACAATGTTTCGTCCGTAGCCATCATGCCCAACGGAGATCACATAGTATCTGCCTCGAGGGACAAAACCATCAAAATGTGGGAGGTGGCCACTGGGTAAGTATGCTTCACAATAGCAGTGCTTACCGTGAGCCAAAACGTTCACATAAGTGTGCAGGAGCTTCTCTTCTTTTTAAATAGTATTCAACATTTCCTATGCCTCTGCAAAGCAAGCAACCATCTTTAACCCATCTCCCCTCTTCCCATCCATCAGATACTGTGTGAAGACGTTCACGGGCCACAGGGAGTGGGTGAGGATGGTCCGGCCCAACCAGGACGGCACCCTGATCGCCAGCTGCTCCAACGACCAGACGGTGCGTGTGTGGGTGGTGGCATCCAAAGAGTGCAAGGCCGAGCTGCGGGAGCACGAACACGTGGTGGAGTGCATCTCCTGGGCCCCCGAGAGCGCCCATCCCACCATCCTGGAGGCCACCGGCTCAGAGGTGAGAAGGAGCTTGACACAAAAATACTGATACATGCACTTCATGTAACCCCTTCATCCTCGAAACGCCACCTGCTGACTCTTCAAAAGCACCTTACCCATATGCCCTGTCCTTGGATCTGTGCCAAAACCTTTATGTACAGTGCATTCGGAAAGTATTTAGACCCCTTCCCCTTTTCCACATTTTATTACGTTACAGCCTTATTCTAAAATTGATTAAATTAAACATTTTCCTCATCAATCTACACACAATTCCCCATAATGACAACGTGAAAACAGGTTTTTAGAATTTTTTCCTAATGTATTAAAAACCTCTGATACCTTATTTACATATATATTCAGACCCTTTGCTATGAGACTCGAAATTGAGCTCAGGTGCATCCTGTTCCATTGATCATCCTTGAGATGTTTCTAAAACCTGATTGGAGTCCACCTGTGGTAAATTCAATTGATTGGACATGATTTGGAAAGGCACATGCCTGTCTATATAAGGTCCCACAGTTGACAGTGCATGTCAGAGCAAAAACCAAGCCATGAGGTCAAAGGAATTGTCCGTAGAGCTCCGAGACAGGATTGTGTTGAGGCACAGATCTGGGGAAGGGTACCAAAATATTTCTGCAGCATTGAAGGTCCCCAAGAACACAGTGGCCTCCAACAATCTTAAATGAAAGAAGTTTGGAACCACCAAGACTCTTCCTAGAGCTGGCCGCCTGGCCAGCATTCAGCATTCAGGCCAGACGGGAGCCACTCCTCAGTAAAAGGCACGACAGCCCGCTTGGAGTTTGCCAAAAGGCACCTAATGGACTCTCAGACCATGAGAAACAAGATTCTCTGGTCTGATGAAACCAAGATTGAACTCTTTGGCCTGAATGCCAAGCGTCACGTCTGTAGGAAACCTGGCACCATCCCTACGGTGAAGCATGGTGGTGGCAGCATCATGCTGTGGGGATGTTTTTCAGTGGAAGGGACTGGGAGACTAGTCTGGATTGAGGGAAAGATGAACGCAGCAAAGTACAGAGAGATCCTTGATGAAAACCTGCTCCAGACCGCTCAGGACCTCAGACTGGGGCGAAGGTTCACCTTCCAACAGGACAACGACCCTAAGCACACAGCCAAGACATCGCAGGAGTGGCTTCTGGACAATTCTCTGAATGTCCATGAGTGGCCTAGCCATAGCCCGGACTTGAACCCGATCGAACATCTCTGGAGAAACCTGAAAATAGCTGTGCAGCGATGCGCCCCATCCAACCTGACAGAGCTTGAGAGGATCTGCAGAGAAAAATTTGAGGAACTCCCCAAATACAGGTGTGCCAAGCTTGTAGTGTCATACCCAAGAAGACTCGAGGCTGTAATCGTTGCCAAAGGTGCTTCAACAAAGTACTGAGTAACGGATCTGTATAATTATCTAAATGTTATATTTCAGTTTATTTTTATTTATTTTTGCTTAAAAATCTAAAAACCTGTTTTTGCTTTGTCATTATGGGGTATTGTGTATAGATTGATGAGGGGGGAAAAAACGATTTTAATCCATTTTAGAATAAGGCTGTAACGTAACAATGTGAAAAATAAAAAAATAAGTCAAGGGGTCTGAATACATTCTGAATGCACTGTATATACATGCCTTAAGTAAAATGGCAAATGTACACATCGAGATAATACTCTGCACACACCCATTTAAATGGTACGGCTTGGTACATATAAGTATCTGATTGCTCAAGGAAAAGTAGACCTAGATATTCACGGGTGAACACCTAAGTTAATAATATGCCCACGTCCTACTGTGCGTGTATACATGTCAGAACATGGACTTTGCTCTCCACCCTCTATGACTTCCTATATATCTGGGTTATTTGGTCTTCCCTAACCTAGTTATCTGGGTTATTTGGTCTGTCTCCTAACCTAAGATTGGCACCTCACAGAGCCAGACGTGTTTGAATCAGACCATGAAATTAAAAGTACAGGAGCAACCCTGTCATGGCCCAGGGTCAGACCATCACCCTGAACGTTGCCCCCATGAGTCCACACACACAGACAGACACACACACAGACAGACACACCGATTACCCCGTGAGTGTCCCGCTCTTCCCAGTCTTGTGATCATGCATGTCCAATTCCAGCTTCATCTGATTAAAACATTTATCCTCGCAGGCAGATAGTGGCCTTGTCAAGAACCCTGCCTCCCTGTCTGCCTCAATGCCTGAGCACAATGATACCAAATGTCCCAACTTCTCACAGAAGGAGCATCAGACAGTTGTTTTTCTCTTTAGCGCTCTCTTTCTGTATTTACCCATTTCAATGGTTGATTTGTGAAGTCTGCAGTGATGGTATTGTTGATCTTGGCTATGGTATTGTTGTACTCCCACACACACACACACAAAAACATACATACCCCTTCAAACACACCCCATTACCCTTGCCTTTGATCAAATGCTCCTTTTGAAGACTTTAAGAACTTGGCGCTTAGTAGCAGAGCCGGTTCAGGTAGAATGATTCTCCTGACTCTCCTGACATCAATTATACTGGCACACTTTATGTTCTGTGAACTAAAGCAGCCAAATGTGACTGACATTTAAGACGGCTCTGCTGTACGTGCTGAGATGAGCCTGCACAGGGGAACCCAAACTGTTAGAACATGTCCTCCCTTGTTGCGGAACTCAGAACTCTGAGGCATTTAATGACTTTTTATATCTGTGCGTACACTACATGTGTACACAGAAGTATGTGGACACCTGCTTGTTGAACATCTCATTCCAAAATCATGGGCATTAACATGGAGTTGGTCCCCCCCTTTGCTGCTATAACAGCCTCCACTCTTCTGGGAAGGCTTTCCACTAGATGTTGGAACATTGCTGCGGGGACTTGCTTCCATTCAGCCACGAGCATTAGTGAGGTTGGGCACTGATGTTGGGCGATTAGGCCTAGCTTGCAGTCTGCGTTCTAATTCATCCCAAAGGTGTTCGATGGGGTTGAGGTCAGGGCTCTGTGCAGGCCAGTCAAGTTCTTCCACACCGATCTCGACAAACCATTTCAGTATGGACCTTGCTTTTTGTATGGGGGGCAATGTCATGCTGAAACAGGAAAGGGCCTTCCCCAAACTGTTGCCACAAAGTTGGAAGCACAGAATCGTCTAGAATGTCATTGTATGCAGTAGGGTTAAGATTTCCCTTCACTGGAACTAAGGGGCCTAGCCCGAACCATGGAAAACAGCCCCAGACCATTATTCCTCCTCCACCAAACTTTACAGTTGGGACTATTCATTCGGGCTGGTAGCGTTCTCCTGGCATCTGCCGAACCCAGATTAATCTGTCGGACTGCCAGATGGTGAAGGGTGATTCATCACTCCAGAGAACGCGTTTCCACTGCTCCAGAGTCCAATGGTGGCACGCTTTACACCAGTCTAGCCGGCACTTTGCATTGAGCATGGTGATCTTAGGCTTGTGTGCGGCTGCTCGGCCATGGAAACCCATTTCATGACGCTCCTGACGAACAGTTCTTGTGCTGACGTTGCTTCCAGAGGCAGTTTTGAACTCGGTAGTCAGTGTTGCAACCGAGGACAGACTATTTTTACGCGCTATGTGCTTCGCGGCTGAGCAGTTGTTGCTCCTAGACGTTTCCACTTCACAATAGCAGCACTTATAGTTGACCGGGGAAGCTCTAGCAGGGCAGAAACGTGACAAACTGACTTGTTGGAAAGGTGGCATCCTATGACGGTGCCACGTTGAAAGTCACTGAGCTCTTCAGTAAGGCCATTCTACTGCCAATGTTTGTCTATGGAGATTGCATGGCGGTGTGCTCGATTTTATACACCTGTCAGCAATGGTTGTGACTGAAATAGCCGAATCCACTAATTTGAAGGGGTGTCCACATACTCTTATATCAAAGCAGAGTCTGTAATTGAACATCTAAAGTGTAGGCCTGTGCCCTGCTCTGGAGATGCATCCTCTGATAACTATTTAGTTTGTAGTCCATTTCCCCTGATGCTAAGATGGTATTTATCAATCAAAGGTTGTGGTATAAAAATAAATGTAATTCAGAGGGCTGCTGGCTGCATATAGCCCTTATAACGAAATGATCAAGGGTTGATGTCCCGCAAGTGAAGACTGCTTAAGGTTCTGTATTGGCATTTTACGGCGGCAATTGGAGCTTATCGTATTCTCTCTCCCTGTGTCCTTCCAGTCTAAGAAGAGTGGTAAGCCGGGCCCTTTCCTGCTGTCTGGCTCCAGAGACAAGACCATCAAGATGTGGGACGTCAGCATTGGGATGTGCCTTATGACACTGGTGAGTGGACCATTAATCATAGACATACAATAGATGGTCATTTTCGATTCATGCAGTTTTAATTGAAAAATGTCCCCATTTATGATGTTGAATCCATTCCTCATGACATGAATTGTAATATGATTGACTTTCTTGAACCCTAGTCTTAACCGAACGCTCTGTCCCAGGTTGTCTTGTTTCCCGAACTAAGCATAGTCCTGGACTGAGAAGCAAGTTAGTTTTAGACCAGGAGTAGTCTGGGAAACTGGCCCTAGATTTTGTATTTACAATTCTAACCAAACGCCTTTGTCCCAGGTTGGCCATGATAACTGGGTGCGCGGGATGCTTGTCCACCCCGGAGGCAAGTTCATATTGAGCTGTGCTGACGACAAGACCTTAAGGATCTGGGACTACAAGAACAAGCGTTGCATGAAGACCCTGAGTGCCCATGAACACTTTGTTACCTCTCTGGGTAAGCCGCTCTCAATCTTCTCTTCTCCTACAGTCAGCGTCAGTTACAGCTGTGTCTTGTTCAGTACTGCAAAATGTTAGTGCTGGGCGATTAACCGAAATGTCGGTTATTTTTCGGTTTTTAAACAACTAATTCCACTTCTGTTTTTTCTCTTTTTTTTTCTGTGAGCTCAATGCACACATTGCACAGTTTCCCTAGAGATAAATCAGATCCAGCCTGAACTGTGCGATGTAGTAGGGAGTTGTAGTTTCCAACAGGCCAATATTCTACATAGCTTAACGCACAATGTGGTAATTGACTACAATGACCATAATCCATTTGCGCATCTACTTGTCCGTTCTGTTTCTATTATGCCTGCTATGGAAGAGAGAAGGGATATTTTTTTGTCAGACACTATAGGCAGCAGTTCTATAAAGATGAGATGATGACTTGGTATGAAAGAATAAAGTCATGAAATAAAATGTATGTAACATACACAACTGAAATATTTTATTAAAGTAAAGTAATGTGAATAAATGATGGTTAATAAGTGATAAGCAGTAATGGGCAGTCACTACCATCCTGGGACTTTTATTAATTGTTTTATTCTGTGTTACAGTATTCAACGCACATAATGCATAGTGCATTTAATGTTAAAAAAATTATTGAAATCAAAAACGTGACTGAACTGACTAATCGCTCAGTACTACAAAAACATTTTGTAACGTAAAACGTTAGCCCATCATGCTATAGGCCCCAGAGAGAGAGGACCAGAGCAGGGGTTAAACAAAGCTGTTTTGGGCGGTGGTTTAATGGGGTTAGGCATAGATGGATAGGAGGGGGGTGTAGCGTTTTGATATACTGGTCTTGCCTGGCTCAGTATCTTTGGGACTAGCAGCTGGTGTCTAATAGGTAGACCAACGCTCCAGGATTTTCTCACTTTTCCCCAAATCTGAGGCTTCTGAGCAGATCAAGGCTAGGGAACTCTCCGGAGAAGGAGACTCCAGCTATCCAGCCAGCTTTCCTGGCAGGGTAGTGCTGTTTGAAGCCCCAGCCTCTGAAATCTAGCCCTGCGTGCACACACACACACAGCACTGCTGTAAGCTATTGTTTGGATATTTTTTGGGAAAAGACAAAGCACCTTTTGAGGTAGTTGTGTTGTGCTTCTCTGTGTGATGCATGTACCAAGAGGTTAAGAGCTTTGTCTAGTTAATGAAATGCCCCAATTCAACTATTGATAATAAAAAAATATATATTCAGGTCATACTGCTAAATGGAATATAGGTTTGTGATAAATGGACTTTAATCGCCTTTAATGTGGAAGTTAACGAATTATTCTGCCATCTCCTCTGGAGAGAACCAATTCTCTCTCTCTCTCTCTATTAATTTCAATTCAAAGGGCTTTATTGGCATGGGAAAGATGTTTACATTGCCAAAGCAAGTGAATTGACAAGAAACAAACTATCTACTGTACTGATGCCCTTTATCCTCTTCTCCTCAGATTTCCACAAGAATGCTCCGTACGTCGTCACTGGGAGCGTAGATCAAACTGTAAAAGTGTGGGAGTGTCGCTGATCAGATCAGACCTGAGGAGATCGGACCACCGCCACCCCCTCTAGGCCTCATTCCACCCCCATGCACCCCACCTCACCTCCCACCATCTCCTTCATCTCCTCTGGCTACACTCACACACCATGGTTAATACCTTATCCTGTCATCACGCTCTCTGGTCCAATAACTATGGTCCTTTTATGTACATTATTCTGGATGTAGATTGAGCTATTAAATGTTACACAGCAAAAAAAGTATTCTTGCATGGTGATGATGAATCCAAAATTGTAAACTGTAAATGTACATGATAACGTTGTCTAGAAGTACCATAGGTTTAACATAGGTTTAACTGGCTAAGTCTGTTGTCACATGCAGCCTTACCTACCTACTTACCGAAGGCAGATATTTCTTTGTGTCACAAATGGCACCCTATTCCCTATATGCTGCAATACCTGGTAAAAAGTAGTACACTATACAGGGAATAGAGTGCCTTTTGGGACACACTCTTTGACTGGGTGTAAAATGTAGGGCACTAAAACCGATCATTTAAAAAAAAAACGACAGTGTCGTTTCTTTACGTGTCAGATTTATTATTTTTGTCCACATTTCTTTCTTTAGGTTTTTCTGTATTTTTATTTTCTTTGTATTTTCTCTCCTTTTCACTGTTGTAGTCTGTCGGTCGGTTACCTTTTGAGGGGAAGAAACGACAAAAGGAGAAGTATAATCCCTTGATGCCAGAGGATATGAGATTGTCTGTCTGTGGGGGGTTTTGTTATTGGAATAATCTGTAGCTTTGTAACATCACTTCTGAAGTGTGCATACCATTTCTCTTCATGTGGAACTAGATAATATATTAATGGCTGCATATACGAATGTTTGAAACTGTTGTCTATCTTTGGACATCTGGGGGTTGAGAAAAAAAAACAGCTTTGTACTCTTGTCATGACAACGCGTCCTAAACTGAGTATCAAAACCACTCCTGATAGCCTTAGAATTATTCTATCCAATAAATGTATTCTGCTTCACGTTTATTGGATCAGATAACATTTCTCTTTTGGCATCTGAATGAATTAACCTGGCTAGGCTGCGCAGCTGGCGCCCTTATTTCAGTTGGTTAGCATTTAGGTAAAAAACTCAGTGGACTGATAGCTTTCAGGTTAGCATTTAGGCTATGTGAGCCGATAGCGTGAGGTTACTCCTCCCTGAAACGTTACCCCCTGTCTGTTCGGCCCGGTACTGGGCCTTACGGTTGGCCGCAACTGATCAGGCGAGCGCCTCAGCCTTTCTCTAGCACTTGGCCCTTTAGCAGCAGACATCAGGGATCACGTCTTTTCATTTCACTTGAAAAGAAGGACCTTTTAGGTGTCTCCCTCCCTCTGTAAGATGGCTCACTGATGTCTCAAGTCTAACCTGAGTGATTTCCATTGGACTCAACTGAACCCTATCCCCTTTTCTAACCATATGACAAATCAGGTTACTGCTGGGTTTTGTCTGTTATACTACAGGAATCATGTAAGAGATTTGATGCTCAGTTGGCCTTTGTCTTGTGCTGCTTGCTAATATGGGCTGTGTAAATTAGGGAGGGCAAGCTTAAGCCTTAGCTTTGGATGAAATATGCAAGTTTCGAATGAGTCGGACTCAGTAGGAGAGACGTCGTCATAGCATGACAAGGAGTCAAAGTTGCCCCTCAGGTTTGTTTTGGGATGTGCAAAAGATCGCTCCAGAAAAAAGAAAAAAAAAGAAATTGAGAGGTAATAAAGCTGTTTCTGTGGGGGGAAAAGACATGTAAACTAAAGCTTTTTACTGGGCTGTAGTGAAGTGTCCAAATCTGTGTTTCCACCAAACTGACTATTGAACTATTGGGGGGATTCATTCATTCAATTGATGATTAAATAAAATGCTAGCAGTAGACATACTAATGAAAGCTTGTGCTCTCTGTACAGTAGAGCGGTCTGATGGTAGTTCTTGTAAAGGGATCTTCACCCCTAAGGCTACATAAAGCAGCTCCCTTGCCACAGACTGGCCTTGGCTTTGGTCTTGGGCTAGGCCTACTGTGCTGCGTTTGTGCAAGAGTGCTTAGACGCCTTTCCTAGTGAAGAGCTCTCGGGGCCAAACTCCACAGGCCGACTAACACATTGCAGTCGTCTCCTGGGTGGCAGGCACATCTTTATCCTATTCTGTTCATTTTATAATCTAGGCTGAAGAAATAATGAAAAATGACAATTGGAACGAAGTCTAATCTAACCAAATCCCTCCATGACAATGGAGACCAACCATTCCATTTCCCTTCAAATAAAATAAAAATAACATCTTGCTTCTTCTTACACTGCAGCAGGTGAGAAGAAATCATTATCTTGCACATCCCTGCTTTTCATTAGATCTTTGGTCGTTTGTTCGATTTTAAATTTAAAAATGCATAAACAAGATTTTATTTAAATCAGCCTTTTTCCATTACAATGCAATTCTATAAAGAATTCCACTTGCATAACCAATCTTATTATCTTAAGCTTCTTTGCCGAATATCTTCCTGTTCCTCTTTCTGTGTGTATTTGATTGGATGTTGCTAGCTGCTGCTGCTGACCTCTGAACCCTCTGATAGTGGCTAGTGTGATGATGTGACCTTCGACCTGTCGACAATAGAACTGCTGCATGTACCAGAGGCTGATCTGTCTGGTTTGGTGGGCCTTTCTGGTTCAAGTGCTGTGATGTAAGCAACTGACACTCAGGCCGAGTCTGAAATGGCACCCTATTCCCTAAAAGTAGTGCACTTCAGACGCAGACTCAATCAGCCACAGGCCACCCCGCTAAGCTGTCAAAGGCGAATCGCTAATTGGTCCACTTGACAAATTATATACTGTAAAAAGAGCGAGAAGTAGGATAAGAGAACTCCATCTCTTACGAGAAGGGGTTGTACCCCTACTGTCTCTTACCAGTAAGCGGGTGTATGGTCTCTGTATCTATGTATGTATACTGTGTATTTTGCATATTAACTTTTCAAAGACACCAGACAGACTCTCTACCAGACAGGCTGGCATATGATGGCTGCAGACAGACGGCTCTGTACTTAATGTGGTGGTTTGTTTGTTGCTGTCAGAGGACAGATCTGTAAATTAATTAATTGTCTCCTTCCTCTGTATATGTGAAGGGATTGCGGCAGACTAAAGATGTTCTAAGAGAGAAAAGAATCCTCTCATTGAGAGAAAACCACTTAAGCCTCCTCTAGACTAGAAACCCCCATGCATTTAGTCAGACCCAGAATGGTCTTTCTCCAAGCTGCTTTCGCTCTGTCAGAGTGAGAGACTTTGATTGGAGAGTCGACGTGCGTTACTCCATACACCAGCCATCAATAGGACAATTGGACTGGTGCTAATGCACCATAAAACGTGTTTTAGCTGAAACCCAAAATAATGGAGTAACTGAAGAAGGACATTCTGGTTTAGCTTCAGCATTCAGATGTCCTGATCTGTTCTGTTCTCGATGCTAGACTAAGTTAGCTTCCTGATAAAGCCGATTCTCTCTTTTGATTGGCTAAATTCAGTATTACGATATCAGGATCCTTGGGTGTAAATTCTAAACCAGGCCTGAAGTTAACCTAAATGGATATTAGACTTGACTCTTATTGTTATTGAAAAACTCCGCTTTCCCTTTCTTGGGTTAGACAAGAAAGGTCTATAAACAAATTGTCGGGAGGGAGAATGTGTGTCCCCTCTTGTAATATAGTTGTCATTGAATGAATGCTTTACATAACTGTGCTGTTGTACCTACCCTGTGCCCTGTGAAAAGAAATCACTTTTTGCTATTTGCAGGTCCCAAGCAATCCCTATGCTGCACTGGCTAGGTGGATCAGAGGGACTGGCAGACAAGCTTGCACTGTCTGTTGGTCCTTCCCCCCAGTCTCAACTGCATCCGTCTGCTATAATCTGCCTTGTGAATAGATTGAGGGCTTCAGACTTCTTCACAGCTTGAACAGGATTTATTTGTTTGCTTTCATGGTCTTTCTCTCACAGCAAAATTGTTAACAAAATATCTGGATGTCATTATTGTTTGCAACATAATTAAAGAAAAATCTGTAGATGTTGTCGTTTTATTGGGGGAGGGGGGTTCGCAACAAAGAACAGCACAGCTTGACATCATATTACATGTCTATAACAGATCAGTTCACTTAGGGATTTACTGATTTTTGAGCTAACGGCTTCAGGGAAGGCGCATCTTAACATTTTCATGATTTTCTTCAGGGAATGGCATGATGTATTTTTTCTTAGGTCAATAATGATAGACAGCCTAGGGCTATTGACATTAATAATTTAATGTTCATAATGACATATTGCCAGTATACTGTGTGTGTGAAGTATTAATATAATGGGAGGGATTCATTATTAATGTTCACAGCTGTGAGGTATGCCTAGAGAGGATGGAAACATTACTTTGAACAGAACGTGATTTACATTTTACATTAACAGACCCCAAAATCCAAGTCTTGCATTTCTAAGACCATGTTGGTGTCTTTAGTTATTTCTTTGCATTCTACCAGATAAGTGCATGGTACCACCTGGCTAGAACCTTTATGCTACATCTAATTGTCTGACTACAATACAATAAATATCTCATGATCTTGAAAATAATAGGTGAAGTGTAAAATGCAGCTCTGGGAACAGATTAATCATGCTGAGTAGTTTAGGCTACGACTCAAAAGTATACTTGCTCAAGGAATAGTTTAATTCACTTGGATACATTTGAGCATGTGTCAATCTGTTTTACTGTAGCCCCTTAGCAATGTTTGACTGGGTGGGTGAGGTGTACAATTGCCATATTGCCATCTGCTTCTGAATGAAGTCAAGTGTAAGGAAGCACAATTTGCATGTGGATTATAGATCAATCAACCACACACTCAAGATAATTTAGAAATTGTTGCCAGAATACTACTGATGATACACAAAAGTATGTCGTCGAACATCTAATTCCAAAATCATGGGCATTAATATGAAGTTGGTCCCCCCTTTGCTTCTATAACAGCCTCCACTCTTTCGGGAAGGCTTTCCACTAGATGTTGGAACATTGCTGTGGGGACTTGCTTCCATTCAGCCACAAGAGCATTAGTGATGTTGGGCGATAAAGCCTGGCTCGCAGTTGGAGTTCCAATTCATTCCAAAGGTGTTCGATGGGGTTGAGGTCAGGGCTCTGTGCAGGACAGTCAAGTTCTTCCACACCGATCTCAACAAACCATTTCTGTATGGACCTCGCTTTGTGCACTGAGGCATTGTCATGCTGAAACAGAAAAGTGCCTTCCCCAAACTGTTGCCACAAAGTTGGAAGCACAGAATCGTCTAGAATGTCACTGTATGCTGTAGCGTTAAGATTTCCCTTCACTAGAACTAAGGGGCCTAGTCCGAACCATGAAAAACAGCCCCACTATGCATTGGGGCAGGTAGCATTATCCTGGCATCCGCCAAACCCAGATTCGTCCGTCGGACTGCTAGATGGTGAAGCATGATTCATCACTCCAGAGAACGCGTTTCCACTGCTCCAGAGTCCAATCTTAACGCTACAGCATACAGTGACATTCTAGACGATTCTGTGCTTCCAGCTTTACACCACTCCAGGCATCCTATGATGGTGTCACGTTGAAAGTATGGGCCATTCGACTGCCAATGTTTGTCTATGAAGATTGCATGGCTGTGTGCTCGATTTTATACACCTGTCAGCAACGGTGTGGCTGAAATAGCAGAGTCCACTCATTTGAAGGGGTGTCCATAAACTTTTGTATGTAGCCTCAGCCTGTCAGACTTCAAAAGGTCCGTGCTATCTGGGATCCTACTCCATTGAAGTTGATATTTAAAATTGTTAAGTTTAGGGTATGGGCGTCCCAAGGATCCCGGATAGCAGTTACCCTTAAAAATGTTGTGTCTTTGGATGACTGTTTCAAAAAATGCGCTGAATATTGACGTCAACGTCTCGGCGCAGAGTTGTGACTTCATCCACCATCCCGGAAGAAACGCTGTCTGAACGTTTGTGCAAGAAGTCCAACGTCAGTTCTCAACTCGTGTGTGCAAGACAACTCTTGACATTTTCAAACATTTGGAATATATTCCGAGCGAATATTTCAGGTACTCAAGTCACCACCATTATAACAAGAGGTTAGCTAACGTATCTCGTTTAGAGAGGTCTAGCTAGCCATCTTGTTGACAGGCAGCGTGGAGTTGAAATTTGCTTTAGCTAGCTAGCTAACTTGCAGTTTACTGATGAATGCCTGTAGTTCGCTAACAAGCTAGCTAATATCCCCATAGTTTTACCTTCGTATGCAGGCTATTACACGCATCTACGTCGGTTAGGTAACTTGTTAGCGTTCCAACCCTTTGAATACAACTATGTGTCCTTCCTCCACAGTGAAGTGAGAATGTCACTGAACAAATCAATGCACCCGCGGAACCGCTACAAAGACAAGCCTCCGGATTTTGCCTACTTGGCCTCCAAGTATCCTGACTTCAAGCAGCATGTCCACACCAACCTGGCTGGCAGAGCTATGTGAGTAACTTACAGGGGCGTATTCATTGACCGTTTAATAACCAAACGGAAGCAAACAGAGCAAAACGATAGTTCTATTGGACAAATGCAGGTAGGTCTGTTCCGGTTGCTTCCACTGAACTAAAGGGTTGTTTCCATTTAAGAAACATTTTACAACAGAATTGGCGTAATGAATACGCCCCAGTACATATGCTGTAGGCCAGTGGTTCCCAACTCCGTTCCTCGAATACCCCCAACAGTTCACATTTATTGCAGCCCCGGACAAGCACACCTTGATTAGTCAACTAACCATCAAGCCCTCAATGAGTTGAATCGGATATGTTTATCCAGGGCTACAAAAATGTGCTGTTGGGGGTACTCGAGGACCGGAGTTGGGAACCACTGCTGTTGACTACAGCTGAGTGCCATTTTGTGCCGCTATTGATTTGGTGTCACACCAGTAAAACACCTGTGTGGCAGGATGATTATTATTTTTGTTCTCCAGTGCAAAGTGCTGCCAACTTCCCAACATGTTCTCTCATTACTGTAGCTTTCTCACCTGTGTTTATGTGTGTATCCTCCCTATGTCACCTGTTAGCTGAACTCACTGTAGGAGGTTCAGAGAGTTGGCAGGAGAGAGGCATCAAAGACACTGATTTTCCTCTTATCCTTTTTTATGGTGTGATATGTTTTTTCTTTTTTTTCTTCCTCTTTCGGAGGGAATGGGGTCTCTCTGGATTTGGGTAAGGGATCAATCAATGCCTCTGCAGGGACACATCGCCCAGTGCCCGTACCATTGAGGTGACCGTTATGATTAGATGGCTGAAATCCTACTGTGTTAGGGAGCTGATGGGGTATGGGTAGGGAGGAGGAGGTGAGGTGACTTTAGGTGTCCACTGTTCAGTATTTAGACAGGATGACATTAACGTACGTCATTGCTGACAACCATGATGATTAGTGATCTTGCCGTGTCGTGCTATTGTCAAGTTACAGACATTACTCTGGATAAGAGCGTCTGCTAAATGATGTAAATGTAATTACCCATAGACACTAGCTTCCCTGATCTCTATTGGAGCAGGGTTTAGGCAGATGCCTGTGGTTGCTTGTGAGGTTCATCAGCTACAGAGGAAGAAAAAGGATGACTCAAATGATTCATGCATGCACTACAGACATAATCTCAGCTCTGATGGGGAGGAGTGGGAAGTTAGGAACCAGGGTTGGAGAGGGAATGGGAGCTGCAGAGTAGGGGGGTTATGGGACACAGAGCCTGGGGAGGGAGGGAGGGAGGGAGGAAGTCTCAATTCTCTCTGAGCCACTAACTGGAGGACAGGGTCTGTCAGCCAGTAATTGGGACACACACAGGGATATGAAATATGCAGAGAGAGGTGGGGATGGAGGTAGTGGGAGGGAGAGGGACAGAGAGAGCGAATGATGGAGAGGGAGGGAGAGAGCCTAGATGGATGTGGAGAGGCAGAGAGCTTTGGGGCTGCTTTCTATCTCCCTGAGTGGCTTTTCAGATCACATCTCTACTGTCAAGATTGTCCTCACTGTTCCTCACAGCACAAAGTCTTGAGAGAGATTTCTCTCACATAACTGACAAGGGGGGAGATTGTGTGATTGTGACTGCTGAGGCCTGTCACATATCACATCATGGTGTGCTTTTGTGTGAGTTACCCCCCTCCTGGTTGTGGGAAAAACAAACATGCTGGCTGCTGAAGTCAGACAGTCGGGTTGGAACTGAAATAATTTTCCAATCTGAACAAAGCCTTATTTATTTTGTTTCATTCCACTGTTCCGACCAGCAAAATAAAGTTCTGAACCAGTTTGTAACCCAAAAAAAGTAATGGTGTATATCGTTCCTTTTTAAACCTCTGAAATATTTATTTTTTTACATTTAGCTCAACATTAATTTACTTTAACCAATCAGTGTGGGGAAGTTATTTACATGCATTGGACAGACGAGTGTAGGGTGCGAGATACGACATAAATGCTGCGGTTGGGGGACAGAGGGTGGAGGAGGAGGCTTGCTTTGAAGCGCTGGGTATCTTGTTGTTATGAAATGCATTATCTGAATTAGACACACATAATTATACCTATGGAGGAGCGGCTTCTATGAAGGAACTTTTAATGTCTTTGAACTTCAGAGTTGGCTTAACGTTGGACCAGCTATCTTGCTTGCTAGCTAGCTAAAAAGCTTGTGTGTGCAGAGCAGCACCACCAGAATTTTAAATAAAAACCCGCCTTACCTTTTTGTAGTTAACAAATCCAAAGTGAAACGTGATAACTATAGTATCATTAATTAGCACTGAAAAGGTTAATCCTTTCTTCTATAATGAAAAATATCTCCCTAATTACTGAATCACACTTGTAATGTCGGTAACTAGGCTACTAGACTTTGCTTCGGAGGGGGAGGGGCAGGTTGCCTACACGCACACACACTGGCAAAAGCTTTTCAGCTGGCAGGCAGGCAGGCAGACACTGGAATAAGTTTCTGAGTGACAGAGTGTGGGCTTTGCATAGGCGCTTTGTTGCACCCGGAACGTAAAATAACATTATTAACCTGTTCCCATGCTTTTAAAATAAGTTCTTTTCTGGGAAAGTATAGATCACCTTCGTTCCCAGTTCTGATTCTGTTGCAGCAACAAACAAAAAAAGAGATGTGAGGGTCTATGAGAAACCAATTTCAATCATTTAATTTTTCATTTACAAGACGAAATAAAGTCTTGCATCCAGAAGCTTAGAGGCTAGATTGAAAGCCCTCAGACGTCCTGGTCGACTAGTATTGCCTCCGCCTGTGTCTGCAGGAGAGGTTGTTATGGCTGGATAGGCAGCCAGGTGCAGTAGAGCGAAAGACCAGACAGACGAGCAGGAGAACAAAGGAAGAGAGGGAGGCTGTTGGGATAATGTTCTTTTTGACGTCAACTCAACTGCGAGGTCATCATTACACCTGGTGCTGAGCTGGAGCTGACGTGGCGTAATAAAGCACATCTCTCTTGCTCTTCTTCTGTTCTTTCTATACCTCTCTCTTGTCTCTGTCCTTTCCTTAATCTCTGCATCTTCTTGCTCTGCCTTATTTCTGTCTTGCTCACTCTCTTCTTTCGCTTCCTCTTCTTCCCTCTGCCCCCCCCCCCCCCCCCCCCCCCTCTATTTTTCTCACCCCCTCTCTCTCTCTCTGACTGTGCGGTCTCCGTTTGATGGTAAAGGATGAAAAGTGTCCTGTGTAGCCGGCCTCTCTTGATTCCTGCTAATGACGGACTGAAGGCCCAAACTGCCCCAGCCCTGGTCTAGCCTGTCCAGCACCACTCCAATTAGTAGGGGATACCAACCCAATTCTCATATGTGTACCCCTCTCGTTCGTACACCAGGAAATGATCCAGCCTTGTCTTTGTTGTGAAATTGGCAATCGTCTGCTCAGTGTGAAATTTACGTTGTGTAAATGCAGATGAATGCAGACAGACATGCCGATGTCACCACCAGGTGCAAGCATCTACTGTGTGAGTGAAAACATATTGGCATGGGCTGTGGGTATTTTCATTGTGAATGTGCAGAGCGTGTGTGAGCTAGTTAGTACATGAACATATTGGCGTGGGTATTTTCATTGTGAATGTACGGAAGGTGTGTGAGCTAGTTAGTTTATCAGCAGTCTGGTGTGGCTGTTTAGTGAATATGTGGGCGAGCAGTGAGGCAGAGGAGAGCTGTTTAAATGTGCTTGATGTCCATCTGCAGCAGCCAGGTGTTAATTACAGAAGAGAGAATCATTACTATACAGTACATGATTCACAGACAAACTGACAGAAGGACAGACGGATAGAGAGATGACTCACTGACAACTACAGACACTGACAGACAGAACAACAAACAGAAAGATCGTTATTACCATACGTGACTCACTGATGGACAGAACGACAGACAGAGGGAGATGACAAACAACCTCTTTCTCTAGAGTTTGCTCACTACCAGACCCGCATGGGTTCAAATATGATTTGTTTTCTCTCAAATATTTCAGCAGGCTTGATTGAGCTTGCCTGGTGCAATGGAACCAATGCAGTAGTCCCAAAAGTGCACAATGCTTAAACTGAAAACACCTACCAGTGAGACAAGTCTTCATCCTGAACAATCCAGCACTGATGTCTCACTGCAGCTCTTACACTAGTGTGCACACAACTTAAAGCTTCAAGGGAACTCCAAGATTAGTCCACTGCTTGGCAAATCCTGTCTAAGGATATTTTCCTCTTCTTCTTTGCCAGTGATTTAGGATCCCCCTCTGCCGCCAAGCAAGTGGTTGGATTAGCATACTTCTGTATTTGTGGTGTATTAATCTGGTAAGTAAGTAGCCTTAGTTGAGTACTTGAGCAGCCATTGATTCAGTGGATCAGAGTTATCTTGGGGAGACGACGAGGAGCCGACCAATCCCTCAGGGAGATGAATAAACCAGTCTCCTCTCACTCACTGAGCCCCACTGGAGCTGGAGGAGACTGATAGATAGAGAGGAGGGGGAGATGATTGAGAGAAGTTTGAAGAGAGGGATGAGAGAGAATTAGCCTTTAGAATTGAAAGTAGATATAGGGGGGTTCTCGTCAAGGAGAGGGAGGGAGAGCGATATAAGAGAGATGGACAGGAGAAAGAGAGAAGCGAAAGAGAACTCAGATGGCAGAGAGATGGGATTAGGAAGCATGAACCAGAGAGATGACCCAGCCAAGGCGTTCCATTATGGCTGTCTCTGGCTGGCTGGCTGACGACCCATGATGCCACGGGAGGGGTGGGGGGGGGGCATAAAGAATTCAACACTCTTGTGTTGGGGGGGGGGGGGACAGATATTACCAGCAGAGAAACCATCCATGGTGGGTGGAGGAGTGTTTTCCCCCTTCCTTTAATAAATGGAATAATTGAACTTTCCATCTCACAGTGGTTCCTTCCTGGTGCTCTGCTTGCATTATTAACATAGTGGAAGGCAGGAGGTGTGGCGCAGTGGTCTAAGGCACTGCATCGCAGTGCTAGCTGTGCCACTAGAGATCCTGGTTCGAATCCAGGCTCTGTCGTAGCCGGCCGCGACCGGGAGACCCATGGGGCGGTGCACAATTGGCCCAGCGTCGTCCAGGGTAGGGGAGGGAATGGCCGGCAGGGATGTAGCTCAGTTGGTAGAGCATGGCGTTTGCAACGCCAGGGTTGTGGGTTCAATTCCCACGGGGGGCCAGTATGAATTTATTTATTTTTTAATAAAAAAAATTATAAAATAATAATAATGTATGCACTCACTAACTGTAAGTCGCTCTGGATAAGAGCGTCTGCTAAATGACTAAAATGTAAATGTAAATGTGAAGGGAGAAATATGCATGGGTCAGTCTGAAAACCTTATATAGTGCCTTTAGAAAGTATTCACACCCCTTTACTTTCTCCACATTTTGTGTTACAGCCTGAATTTAAAATGGATTCAATTGAGATTGTGTCACTAATAATGTCAAAGTGGAATTTGAAAATCTATGGCAAGACTTGAAAATGCCTGTCTAGCAATGATCAACAATGAACTTGACAGAGCTTGAAAAAAATGTTTTACGAATAATTAGCAGCTTTTTGCAATTCAGGTGTGCAAAGCTCTTAGACTTACCCCAAAAGACTCACAGTTGTAATCGCCGCCAAAGGAGCTTCTACAAAGTATTGACTCGGGTGTGAATACTTATGTAAATTCGATATTTATGTATTTAATTTTCAATAAATTAGCAAACATTTCTTAAAACATGTTTTCATTTTGTCATTATGGGGTATTGTGTGTAGATGGGTGAAAATATATATATTTTTAATCCATTTTGAATTCGGGCTGTAACACAAAATGTGGAATAAGTCAAGGGGTATGAATACTTCCTGAAGGCACTGTATCTCTTCTGTGTATGCTAAGCTTGCAGATCTGAAGGAACTGGATAGGTAGCTTATATGATGGAAGTGCACTAAATCACCTCAATCTCCCTGATAGGTTGACTGGGTTCCTGATTACAGCCAACTGATTACCAGGACCTCTCTGATTGCTTCGCTTGTTAACCAATGAGACCCCCTGATCAGCATGGACTTTGATTGGGGCTGAGCTCTTTACTGAGGATAACTGTATCTTCTTTGAATGGCTTCAGCTTCTCCTAGGCATTGAACTTAGTCACACTAAATGTTTTTTCATTATACCTGATGAGTTCTTCTACATACTTAAAGAGCCTTCTTCATTTAAAGTGGAGCTCTCCTAGTCTTGGCTACACCTCTGAGTCAGGAACAATCAATACATGTTGTGTTCAGTGCAGCGAACAATAACCTGACGTGGGAAATGGAGCTGCTAATCTGCAAAAAATTATCCTGTGCATTCAGAATTAAAATGAGTTTGCCCTGATGGTCACCTTTCCAAACCCACCTCTCCATCTCTCTCTGTGCTGATGAAGGACTACGCCAGCGGAGGGGGGAGGCGTGGGGGCTTACTGGGCTGCTGTCTTACTGGCTTCTTCAGCTGCAGCAGTTAGTTCCCTCGGTAGATATGGGTTTGTTCATCTCACTGCAGTAGGACTGTTCTAGTGCTCATCACAGTTTCAGTTCCCTCATCTCTCTTTAGGTCACATTCTTCTCCCTCTGCTGATATTTTATTATATCTCTCACACACACTCCCTCTACCCCCTGTCTAATTGCTCTACTCCCTCTGTCTTTCTCTTTGTTACTGTCCTGTCTCTCACTATCTGTATTTCCTAATGCAGAGGGAAACTGCTGAGTATGCCTCCGCCCAGGCAGTTTGGAGACAACTCCCTGTGCACTCACCCACCACAGCCCACAACCCTCCTTACCACAGATTTCAACCTTCGTCCCCCTCACTCACCTTACTCCTGTAACACCTGCACACCGACAACACGTTTTATACTGCCACCGGTTTGTCCCATGTCCCACACCGTCCATCGTCTGGCGCACAAACGTCCACCCTCCAATGTGCGTCTTGATCTCGTGCACGCTCACGCTTCTTCCGGTATCAGCCATATTGCTCCAGCGTGGCTGGATTTACGTGCGCTTACTGCCTGTGTGTGCCGGTGGTCCGGGGTGGTTGCCATAGAGACCCGGCGTTGCAGTGCTCTGCAGTACACACACACTCACACTCATCACGGTCTAAAAATAGAAGGCTGGGCAGGCAGGCGCTGAACGGCCTCGTTCTCTGCATATTGATCATCAGACTATGCTTCTAAGGAGAAGAGAGAAACTGTGAGACTTGAAGACTCCCTTAGCCAATGCCTAGGCTTTAGCTCAGTGGGCTAACAGTCTTCAGGGACACGGGTTCGAACCCCCGTCTGTTACATATGTAATATATAAATCACACTTTCCCCCATAGGCACATAGCCTAACTCTACTTCTCCCTGTAGTCACGCTCTTCATCAGTGATAGTCTCTCTCCTCTTCGCCGTGGCTGTGGTGAATAGGCTCTCTGTCTCGCCCCCCGAACCCAGCTAGGAGGTGCCAGATGCTCCTATCACCAGGAGGTGTCTAATTGCTGTCTGGAGGTGTGAGTGCAGCACACAGACTGGTCAATTATACACATCTTGCTCTATCCGTCCCACTCTCTGTCTCTCAAACCCCAAAATGCTTTTGTGTGTGTGTGTGTTTTTCTCAAACCCAAAACATGCTTTCCAGGCAGTGGAAATGTAGAGCGGGAGGTGTGTGGGTCTGGTTTAATGCTGGAAAATATTATGTCTGTATCATTAGTGAAGAGGTGTAAATTGACAAGCTCCTTATTCATTTGCCGTCGGGTCTCATCGTGGTGGTTGAAGTATGATAAGCAGTAATGAGAGGGGAATGGGAGATATGGAGCACTGGGCTACTCAGGGAGGGAAGGGGGGGATGCAGTCTAGTGCTGCCTGGAAGAGGGGTGGTTTATATGACATGGTGTCAGTGAAAGCTTGGAAGGGTGGTCTTTAGGAGAAGTGGCAGGGTGGGGTAGAATTGATTTGCCATTTTATTTAGTGGCTCTCTTTTGTGAGTTTACAAGAAATGTGTTAAGGTCTGGGTGTATAGTGTAGGTACATGTTTTGGTTTATAGGTGTAGTTTTGGTTTATGGTGTAGTTACTGGTTGTAGTTTTTGTTTATTGGTGTAGTATGCTCCCGAGTGGCGCAGTGGTCTAAGGCACTGCATCGCAGTGCTAGCTGTGCCACTAGAGATCCTGGTTCTGTGCCACAGGAATCCAGGCTCTGTCGTAGCCGGCCGCGACCGGGAGACCCATGGGGCGGCGCACAATTAGCCCAGCGTCGTCCAGGGTAGGGGAGGGAATGGCCGGCAGGGATGTAGCTCAGTTGGTAGAGCATGGCGTTTGCAACGCCAGGGTTGTGGGTTCGATTCCCACGGGGGGGCCAGTATGATAAAAAAAAATATGTATGCAGTCACTAACTGTAAGTCGCTCTGGATAAGAGCGTCTGATAAATGACTAAAATGTAAAAAATGTAGTTACTTTACATTTACATTTACATTTTAGTCATTTAGCAGACGCTCTTATCCAGAGCGACTTACAGGAGCAATTAGGGTTAAGTGCCTTGCTCAAGGGCACATCGACAGATTTTTCACCTAGTCGGCTCGGGGATTAGAACCAGCGACCTTTCGGTTACTGGCACAACGCTCTTACCCACTAAGCTACCTGCTTTAGCGTTGTAACTATAGCATCTGTTGTCTGTCCCTCCCCCTCCTGCAGGCTGAACTTCAAGGAGCCAGAGGCGGTGCGAGCCCTGACCTGTACCCTGCTGAAGGAGGACTTTGGGCTGACCATAGACATCCCTCTGGAGCGTCTCATCCCCACCGTGCCTCTCCGACTCAACTACATCCACTGGGTGGAAGACCTGATCGGAGGCCAGGGGGAACCACGCAGAGGCATCGACATCGGTATAGTTACGACCTCCGATAACCCCTACTAAATATAGACCTCCGATAACCCCTACTAAATATAGACCTCCGATAACCCCTACTAAATATAGACCTCTGATAACCCCTACTAAATATAGACCTCTGATAACCCCTACTAAATATAGACCTCTGATAACCCCTACTAAATATAGACCTCCGATAACCCCTACTAAATATAGACCTCCGATAACCCCTACTAAATATAGACCTCCGATAACCCCTACTAAATATAGACCTCCGATAACCCCTACTAAATATAGACCTCTGATAACCCCTACTAAATATAGACCTCTGATAACTCTTACTAAATATAGACCTCTGATAACCCTTACTAAATATAGACCCTCTTCTTATTCTCTTCCCCTTGATCTCCTTGAAATGAACCCAAATGAACCATCCATCTTGGTTCAGCCGTCATTGCTAGGATGCCTCTTTACCACCACTCCAATCCTATGTCCTGTTTCTGTAGAGGAATAGATGGCTTTTATATGGCCTGGCCCTTTAATCCCTTCACTGGTTCTTAGTTGTTACATTAGACAGTTGGTTTCTCACCTGTCTATATATAAAGAAAGAGCACAAATATCCTCAATGCTGAATGGGATGAATAAACTCCCATTAATTCCCATATAAACATCACATCAGTAATTGAGAGTGATCAAGTTATTAAATGTGTGATCATATTTGTTTGCTCAAGGGATATTCCTCCAGCAGTTGCCTTTCTTGGTAAGACTCATGTTTGCATCCCAAATGGCACCCTATTCCCTACAGGGGCTGCCTGGCACAGGTCTAGCCCAGGACACATATTCACAAAGTCTTAGAATAGTGCTGATATAGGATCAGTTTTGCCTTTGAGATCATAATGAATATAAATTTAATTACAGGTGGGACCTGATCCTAGATCCGCACTACTACTCTGAGACATGTTTTTAATACAGGCTGACTCTTACTAGTCCAAGAGCAGCTGGCTGCCCGTGGGCATCACAGACTGGCAGGGAGACTGGCAGAGAGGGGCTGCATGATGGTTGGCACATCCACCTTCAGATCCCACATGTACTGTAGGTCCATCTATTTCCTGTGGACTACTGGAGATCACTGGCCAAATCCCCATCCACATGTCATGGATGGTTTCCTGCTCTATCCATCAGAGAGTGTGTGTCAGTTTAGCTCCTCAGAGAGACAGGTAGGTCAGTGATTGGTGACCCTGGTGTTTGTCAATTTAGCTCCTCAGAGAGATGGACAGGTCAGTGATTGGTGACCCTGGTGCCTGGTCCATTCTGTAAGCTGATTGGAGCTGTCACTCTCCTGATGGATAGCCACAGGGCATTACTCTCTCCCAAGCCTTAACCTGCTGGGTGCCATCTCACCCATCTCTACTGCCCCAGGGGACCTCACTGTGGTCGGGTAGATTGGAGGCCCTGGTCTCTGTTAGGCCTGGATGATCTGATCATGGCTGTCTGGATTACCTCTTATTAATCCATTATGGACAATAAGAGACAGCGGGAGTGGCATTAAATAGACACAGACACACACCCTGTCCCTCACGTAGTCTGTGTTATATCCCCAGGTACTGGAGCGTCCTGTATCTACCCCCTGCTGGGAGCCTCTATGAACGGCTGGCATTACCTGGCTACTGAGGTAGATGACATCTGCTTTGACTACGCCACCAGGAACGTAGAGCAGAACAACCTCTCGGACCTCATCAAAGGTCAGTGGCAAGTTGTCTATTGGTAGCCGCATTGTAAAGTTGTACTACTGAAAGGAAGATGGCTTGAAACATTGTTGCCCTGTCTCATGTCCCAGTGGTGAAAGTTCCCCAGAAGACCCTGTTAATGGATGCTTTGAAGGAGGAGTCAGCCATCGTCTATGACTTCTGCATGTGTAACCCTCCCTTCTTCGCCAACCAACTAGAGGCTAAGGTAGGCCTCTTTAGATGTAAAGTGTTCTGAGAATCTGGAAAAACGGCTTTATAAATCTCATTTATTCACTGATTCCTTTCTTGACCTTATCCCTGTCACTCCCTCTTTCTCTTACCCTTTACTTTCTCTCCCCATGCCCCTCTCTTTTCCTCTCCCTTTCCTCCCTCCCTCCCTCCCTCCCTCCCTCCCTCCCTCCCTCCCTCCCTCCCTCCCACCCTCCCTCCCTCCCTCCCTCCCTTCCTCCCTCCCACCCTCCCTTCCTCCCTCCCTCCCTCCCACCCTCCCTTCCTCCCTCCCACCCTCCCTTCTCCTCACTCCCCTCCCCCCCCCTCCCTCACCCCCTCCCTCCCCTCTCCTCACCCCCTCCCTCTCGTCTCCCCAGGGGGTAAATTCCAGGAACTCTCGTCGTCCTCCCCCCAGCTCAGTGAACACAGGTGGGGTGACAGAGATCATGGCTGAGGGAGGAGAGCTGGAGTTCGTCAAGAGGATCATCCACGACAGCCTGCAGCTCAAGACACGCCTGAGGTGAGAGAGAGTGACACATTCACACACACGTACGCACAAACACCACACATTGGTCCCCATCAGTACACTGCGCCTTCACAGAAGGAAGTGGGGTAGCGTTCAAGATGGCATCACTCTGGTTTCAGATTGCTCATGCTTTATATCTCCGACACTTTCCTAGACCCCAAATATAATATAGAAAAGCCTGATGGTTATCAGTTGGTGTTGTTGGGTGTTTGTTCATTACCTTCTGTTACAAATGCACCCTTTCATTTAGGATGTAAGGTATGGAGGGATGATAGAGGACCAGTGATGGAGGAGAGCAGGAGCAGGGCCAGATGGGGTGGAGGGATGGAGCTGTCACCCAGAGTTTGTTTAATGAATTGGCACCAGGAGTAAACAGTCACCCACCCCCCGGCAGTATCTGCATGCCCGCAGGGAACAGCTGTGTGTGTGTGTGTGTGTGTGTGTGTGTGTGTGTGAGAGAGAGTGTGAATTAGATTTGAACACACTGCACACGGTGACTGGGAGACAAGTGGCTGACATGGAAGGTGTGTGATTGCACGTGTTCAAGTGTGTTGAACTGTGTGTGTGTCACTAACATATTTTTTTTGTGTAAAGATGATTGTCACCCACAGGAGAGTGTGTGTGCGTCGGTGTGTGCATATGTTTCAGTGGAAGATGAGTGGTCCTCACAGGGGGAAAGTGTCCATCTCTCTCTTTGTCTGTTTGCCTGCATGTGTCTATGTGTTCACACCGGTGTACTTGTGTGGTGCGCTTGGCTTATGTAGAGACCGTAGAGGAGTGTCTGCCACAGAGGAAGGCGTGCCCGCCCTAGTCTCCCTCTCTTCCGCTTCTGTTCTTTCTTCTGCTCCCCTGCAGTGTGTGTGTAGTGTAGTGTAGTGTAGTGTAGTGTAGTGTGTGTTTGGGGCCGGGTCCAAGGCAGCAGTAGCAGGCTGTCACTCCACACACTGCATGCTGGGATAGCAGAGCTACCGCCAGGTGTCCACGGAAACCAAGCCAGCCCCTCTGATTGGTCCTCTGAGACTCACCATCCCCCCCCCCCCCCCCTTCTCTTCAACAATACTAAGCTGTAATTACTCTCACCAGACTATCACACATAGATACAGACACAGTCACACACACACCCCAACCACCAGCCAGGAAATGCACCCTTTTCAATGTAATGCCCTCTGCTAATCATTGTCTGTTATTGATATGATAATAAGACTCTATGTGGAGGGGGTAATAACATCGTAATCACCGGTCTTTGTACTCTTGGAGGGATTAGCTTGAAAATAAATGGACAACTTTCCCAGAATCTGACTGCTTCTGTCTGACCCCCAATGGGAGATTTTTGTTTATTGGGGATGGAAGGTCTTGCTGGAGGAAGGAAGTGAGGAAGCTGTCGTGTGTGTGTGTGTTTGTGTGTGTGTTAACATGAATGCTCAGCAGCCCCCTCTCTGCATGACAAAGTGGGGAACATCTGGGGATATTAGAGGTCCTCAATATTTCATGGTGCCACTTACCCAAAACCCTCTCACCCCCACCCTTACCCCCACCCCGCGGGTGCTTCTCTGAGTGGGCTCTTCCCCAATCTTTCAGGGTTTTGTGAATGCCATCAAGCTCATCCTGCATATTTTGTTGAATATCAAGCCAGATTGGCTTTGTGTTGGGTCAGGTGTGTACTGTATGTTGGCTCAAACACAGTGCACACTTTTCAGAGTGGGCTTGTTTCCTGTGCCCCTTCTTGTTAAACCCCTGACCCAATTCCCAAACCTTTCAGTGCTTTCAATAAATGCCATTGAGGCCACCCAAATTATTATTTTATTTAATGGAACCTTTATTTAGTAAGGCATGGCTATGGCCAAATGGGCTTTTGTGTTGGGTGATGTGTTCAAATCTGGTTGGCTGTAGTAGACTGTTGTGTGCTGTGTAAAGGTCCTGGGTTTCCTCTCCTCTTTAACTCTAAACTTGTGGGAACTGGCCTATATGGATAGGGCTACATTGTGGGAACTGGCCTATATGGATAGGGCTACATTGTGGGAACTGGCCTATATGGATAGGGCTACATTGTGGGAACTGGCCTATATGGATAGGGCTACATTGTGGGAACTGGCCTATATGGATAGGGCTACATTGTGGGAACTGGCCTATATGGATAGGGCTACATTGTGGGAACTGGCCTATATGGATAGGGCTACATTGTGGGAACTGGCCTATATGGATAGGGCTACATTGTGGGAACTGGCCTATATGGATAGGGCTACATTGTGGGAATTGGCCTATATGGATAGGGCTACATTGTGGGAACTGGCCTATATGGATAGGGCTACATTGTGGGAACTGGCCTATATGGATAGGGCTACATTGTGGGAACTGGCCTATATGGATAGGGCTACATTGAAATGTTTCTTACAGAAGAAATATTTAAAGTATATGCATAACCATGGTAGCAATTGATTGGGAAGTGTTTGGAGATTATGGGACCATTATTAGGCCAAAGGTGAGGACACGACAGTTAATCTGACACAAGACTGAATCCAAACATTACACTGTTGATGTTATGTGCATTTTACATTTACTGTACTTTTCACCACATTTGTTAATAACAAAATCTTAAAATACATTCAGTAACATGATAATACTATTCCTGGAAAATGTGGGGTAGGTTCAACATAAGACAAAACAATTGTCAAGGGTTTGAGTGAGAGGACTAACTGGTGTCTCCAAGTGGCCACACACCTCCAAAGTGTGCACAGTTCCTAAGCAATTTCAATGCACTTTTATGACTCGGTGTCTTCAACTATAAGGTGCTAGCTGTGCTCTCCTAGCTGTGCTCTCCTAGCTGTGCTCTCCTAGCTGTGCTCTCCTAGATGTGCTCTCCTAGATGTGCTCTCTTAGCTGTGCTCTCCTAGCTGTGCTCTCTTAGCTGTGCTCTCCTAGATGTGCTCTCCTAGCTGTGCTCTCTAGCTGTGCTCTCCTAGATGTGCTCTCTTAGCTGTGCTCTCTTAGCTGTGCTCTCTTAGCTGTGCTCTCCTAGCTGTGCTCTCCTAGATGTGCTCTCTTAGCTGTGCTCTCTTAGCTGTGCTCTCCTAGCTGTGCTGTCTTAGCTGTGCCGTTGAGGAACTAAAGCTAGCACACTTGTAGTTGTTTCATTTGGAACACAACCCTGCATCCCCGGCATCACACAATTACTGTTGTTGTTTGCACAATCCAACAACGGTCCATTATAAATCGCATAAATCTGGGTCAGGTGGGCATGAAAACCATTTGAAAGCTGGTTCTATTGCCAACATGACTAGCCAAGTTAGAAAATATGATCTTGCAGTGTTAAGCTTTCAGAAGGCAATTCAGAGAAACCGATCGTAATTTTGGTGCGCATAGAAAGGAGTCATGAGTGCATTCAGGTGTGTGCGCCCCGGGGAATTCTCTTCACAATAAATACACAAACAGCCTCATTCTGTTCAGAACATCCCAGGGTGTGACGCCATGTCATCTTGTAACTGTACATCAAACATGGTGATCATAAACATTGACATTGTGGACACACCATGCACACAGAGCAGAGCACATGTGACAGTACACAATTTTCGGGGACCGAAAACGCTACTTTCAGAACTATTGGCAAAAAAGTATACAAAAGTAACGGAGAATCTCTTGAAAAGATTGTAACATTACTATAACAATAAACATGCCATCCTCACCATACACAGCATTGCTCATAGATATATATAGTATCTAGGCCTAATTAATCTAGACAGGAGGGCAACCCAACCAGACAAGGTTTGTCATATATTGTTTAGTTTTCCCATCCAGATTGACTCCCTGTTGGTTTGTTTGTCTATTTCTCCCTGCTAGGTTTGTCTCTGTGTATTTATCCTGCTAGGTTTGACTGTTTCTCCTGCTAAATTACTGTGCATTTATCCTTGCTGGTTAGTACTGAGGCTCTACAGTGAAGGAAAAAAGTATTTGATCCCCTGCTGATTTTGTACGTTTGCCCACTGACAAAGACATGATCAGTCTATAATTTTAATGGTAGGTTTATTTGAACATTGAGAGACAGAATAACAACAAAAACATCCAGAAAGACGCATGTCAAAAATGTTATAAATTGATTTGCATTTTAATGAGGGAAATAAGTATTTGACCCCCTCTCAATCAGAAAGATTTCTGGTTCCCAGGTGTCTTTTTATACAGGTAACGAGCTGAGATTAGGAGCACACTCAGCTTGTTACCTGTATAAAAGACACCTGTCCACAGAAGCAATCAATCAATCAATCAGATTCCAAACTCTCCACCATGGCCAAGACCAAAGAGCTCTCCAAGGATGTCAGGGACAAGATTGTAGACCTACACAACGCTGGAATGGGCTACAAGACCATCGCCGAGCAGCTTGGTGAGAAGGTGACAACAGTTGGTGCGATTATTCGCAAATGGAAGAAACACAAAAGAACTGTCAATCTCCCTGGGGCTCCATGCAAGATCTCACCTCGTGGAGTTGCAATGATCATGAGAACGGTGAGGAATCAGCCCAGAACTACACAGGAGGATCTTGTCAATGATCTCAAGGCAGCTGGGACCATAGTCACCAAGAAAACAATTGGTAACACACTACCCCGTGAAGGACTGAAATCCTGCAGCGCCCGCAAGGTCCCCCTGCTCAAGAAAGCACATATACAGGCCCGTCTGAAGTTTGCCAATGAACATCTGAATGATTCAGAGGAGAACTGGGTGAAAGTGTTATGGTCAGATGAGACCAAAATCGAGCTCTTTGGCATCAACTCAACTCGCCGTGTTTGGAGGAGAAGGAATGCTGCCTATGACCCCAAGAACACCATCCCCACCGTCAAACATGGAGGTGGAAACATTATGCTTTGGGGGTGTTTTTTTGCTAAGGGGACAGGACAACTTCACTGCATCAAAAGGGACGATGGACGGGGCCATGTACCGTCAAATCTTGGGTGAGAACTTCCTTCCCTCAGCCAGGGAAGGTCGTGGATGGGTATTCCAGCATGACAAATACCCAAAACACACGGCCAAGGCAACAAAGGAGTGGCTCAAGAAGAAGCACATTAAGGTCCTGGAGTGGCCTAGCCAGTCTCCAGACCTTAATCCCATAGAAAATCTGTGGAGGGAGCTGAAGGTTCGAGTTGCCAAACGTCAGGCTCGAAACCGTAATGACTTGGAGAAGATCTGCAAAGAGGAGTGGGACAAAATCCCTCCTGAGATGTGTGCAAACCTGGTGGCCAACTACAAGAAACGTCTGACCTCTGTGATTGCCAACAAGGGTTTTGCCACCAAGTACTAAGTCATGTTTTGCAGAGGGGTGAAATACTAATTTCCCTCATTAAAATGCAAATCAATTTATAACATTTTTGACATGCGTTTTTCTGGATTATTTTGTTGTTATTCTGTCTCTCACTGTTCAAATAAACCTACCATTACAATTATAGAATGATCATGTCTTTGTCAGTGGGCAAACGTACAAAATCAGCATGGGATCAAATACTTTTTTCCCTCACTGTGTATGCTGTTGTATTGATTACAGTAGACTCATCTCTTCATTGCAGAGGGAGAGATTGATCTGCTCTGGGCTGGACATCAAAGCTCTGTTCCTTCATAGAGACTCATACTGGCCCTGTTGTTGTTTTAGCCCTGCCCCTTTCGCTCTCTCTCTTTCTCTCTCCCTTTCTCTCTCTCTCTCTGATGTAGTAATTAAAACTGCAGTTGAAATCGTAGCTACCCTCTCTGCCTCAGAACTACAAAAATAATATTTTTCCCACAGTCATGGTGGGAAGCGAGAGGTAGATCCTATATCTGAAGCTTGTTTGATCTCAGGCAGGGGTTCATGCCCAAGGCGCTGGACACACACACACACACACACACACACACACACACACACACCTAATAGATAATTTTTCTTCCAGGTGGTACAGTTGCATGCTGGGAAAGAAGTGCAGCCTGGCACCTTTGAAGGAGGAGCTGAGAAAACAAGGGGTGAGTGCACAGACACATGCGTGCACGCACGCTCACATACACACACACACACACACACACACACACACAGCTGCGTATATTTGAGACAGTCGTCAGAATGGGAGCTCCGACGAGGAGACATTTGATGCTCATACAGTACCAGTCAAAAGTTTGGACACACCTACTCATTCCAGGGTTTTTCTTATTTGTACTATTTTCTACATTGTAGAATAGTAGTGAAGACATCAAAACAAATCCAAATATTTTATATTTGAGATTCTTCAAAGTAGCCACCCTTTGCCTTGATGACAGCTTTGCACACTCTTGGCATTCTCTCAACCAGCTTCATGAGGCAGTCACCAGGAATGCATTTCAGTTAATAGGTGTGCCTTGTTAATTATTGCGTTTGAGCCAATCAGTTGTGTTGAGACAAGGTAGGGGTGGTATACCAAAGATAGCCCTACTTGGTAAAAGACCAAGTCCATATTATGGCAAGAACAGCTCAAATAAGCAAAGGGAACCGACAGTCCCATCATTACTTTAAGACATGAAGGTCAGTCAATCCAGAAAATCTCAAGAACTTTTAAAGTTTCTTCAAGTGCAGTCTCAAAAACCATCAAGCGCAATGATGAAATTGGCTCTCATGAGGACCGGCACAGGAAAGGAAGACCCAGAGTTACCTCTGCTGCAGAGGATAAGTTCATTAGAGTTAACAGCCCAAATAAATGCTTCACAGAGTTCAAGTAACAGACACATCTCAACATGAACTGTTCAGAGGAGACTGTGTGAATCAGGCCTTCATGGTCGAATTGCTGCAAAGAAACCACAACTAAAGGACACCAATAAGAAGAAGGGACTTGCTTGGGCCAAGAAACACCAGCAATGGACATTAGACCGGTGGAAATCTGTCCTTTGGTCTGATGAGTCCAAATTTGCGATTTCTGGTTCCAACCGCTGTTTCTTTGTGAGACGCAGAGTAGGTGAACGGATGAACTCTGCATGTGTGGTTCCCACCGTGAAGCATGGAGGAGGAGGTGTGATGGTGTGGGGGTGCTTTGCTGGTGACACTGTCTGTGATTTATTTAGAATTCAAGTCACACTTAACCAGCATGGCTACCACAGCATTCTGCAGCGATACACCATCCCATCTGGTTTGGGCATAGTGGGACTATCATTTGTTTTTCAACAGGACAATGACCCAACTCACCTCCGGGCTGTGTAAGGGCTATTTGACCAAGAAGGAGAGTGATGGAGTGCTGCATCAGATGACCTGGCCTCCACAATCACCCGACCTCAACCATATTGAGATGGTTTGGGATGAGTTGGACCACAGAGTGAAGGAAAAGCAGCCAACAAGTGCTTTTTTGGTTACTACATGATTCCATATGTGTTATTTCATAGTTTTGATGTCTTCACTGTTCTACAATGTAGAAAATAGTAAAAATAAAGAAAAACCCTTGAATGAGTAGGTGTGTCTAAACTTTTGACTGGTACTGTAAATTATCTTATACACAGCACTCGCAAACAGGTACAACACACAGATGCACTGTGCTGTACCAAGCCCAGGCGTGTGTTAAAAATATCCAGGTTCCCCATATATACCCAGTGATAAGGTGAGGTAATGGAGGGTTGAATGAGCTCCCTCCCACCATCTCTAATACCTCCTCTGAGACTGAAGAGGGGGATCAGATACCTTTTGAACCGTAACGGATCAAGCCTGGCTAATACGCTGGCTAAGCAATGCCACAGCCCAGACCTGATTGAGCTGATTTCTATTAGCGTTGCGTGACTGAAACGCATGGCAGGGCCCACACACAAACATACATATTACACACACACACCAGGCTTAGTCACACACGCGTACGCATACATACACACAGACATGCATTCATGCGCGCGCACACACACACACGGTAGGACAGTGCCGCTAATGTTCATTAGCTCCATTATCCTAGCTATTAGCCCTTAGCACATGACTGCTAACTGACTGACTATCTTACTATAGAGGTTAGTCTCTAGCCCTGTGCCACTTTGCCAGTCGCTTACCTCTGAGATTGAGACTCATTCACTGGGGATGACTGGCACAGCAGCTCCCATGGGTGTTAACCACACTCACACACACGTCAATCACTGGGGGAGGACCATCCCACAATCCCATGCTCCTCCAGAGGTGTCAGAGGGCTGTCGCTGCTCATTAGTGTGAGTGCAGCCTTGGCCAATGTCCAGCGCAGGCAAGAGGTGGGGGTGTGTGTAATAGGAGACCTAATTAATATGCTAATGATATTGGCACCCTCTATCTCTTCCCTCCATCTTCCTTGTTCTCTCTCGCTCTTGGTTCATTTGGTGAGTGTTTAGGGGTCAACATGGCGCTCTCATAGAGGGATGCGTCTTCTTGGCTCTGAGATCCATGTCCTTTGACCTGCATCTTTGGGGTACATTTCCCACTGAAACCCACCGCTTATTGATTGTGGTTGTGTGTAGGGAGGCGTTATCAAGTGGATACTTTTCAAGAGCCTTTTACACTGCTTTTCCCTCACGTCCTTCATGCTTATTGGAGGCTCTTCTCACGAGTGCTCAGCTCTGGCACTGTAAGCGCTGTATGTGTAAATGTATCCTGTTCACACCTTGAAGGACGTGCTGGAAATGTGCCAAAGGCCTCTGTAGAGCTACAGTGCATTCGGAAAGTATTCAGACCCCTTGACTTTTTCCACATTTTGTTACGTTACAGCCTTAATGTTTTCTTCAACAATCTACACACATTACCCCATAATGACAAAGTGAAAACAGCATTTTTGCAAATGTATTAAAATAAAAAGAACATACCTTATTTACAAAAGTATTCAGACCCTTTGCTATGAGACTCAAAATTGAGCTCAGGCGCATCCTGTTTCCATTGATCATCGTTGAGGTGTTTCTACAATGTGATTGGAGTCCACCTGTGGTAAATTCAATTGATTGAACATGATTTGGAAAGGCCACACCTGTCTATATAAGGTCCCAAAGTTGACAGTGCATGTCAGAGCAAAAACCAAGCCATGAGGTTGAAGGAATTGTCCATAGAGCTCCGAGACAGGATTGTGTCGAGGCACAGATCTGGGGAAGGGTACCAAAACATTTCTGCAGCATTGAAGGTCCCCTAGAACACAGTGGCCTCCATCATTCTTAAATGGAAGAAGTTTGGAACCATCAAGACTCTTCCTAGAGCTGGTCGCCCGGCCAAACTGAGCAATCGGGGGAGAAGGGCCTTGGTCAGGGAGGTGACCAAGAACCCGATGGTCACTATGACAACGCTCCAGAGTTCCTCTGTGGAGATGGGAGAACCTTCCAGAAGGACAACCATTTTTGCAGCACTCCACCAATCAGGCCTTTATGGTAGAGTGGCCAGACGGAAGCCACTTCTCAGTAAAAGGCACATGACAGCCCGCTTGGAGTTTGCCAAAAGGCACCTAAAGGACTCTCAGACCATGAGAAACAAGATTCTCTGGTCTGATGAAACCAAGATTAAACTCTTTGGCCTGAATGCCAAGCGTCACGTCTGTAGGAAACCTGGCACCATTGCTATGGTGAAGCATGGTGGTGGCAGCATCATGCTGTGGGCATGTTTTTCGGAGGCAGGGACTGGGAAACTAGTCCGGATTGAGGCAAAGATGAACGGAGCAAGTACAGAGAGCTCCTTGACGAAAACCTGCTCCAGAGCGAAGGTTCACCTTCCAACAGGACAACGACCCTAAGCACACATCCAAGACAACGCAGGAGTGGCTTCGGTACAAGTCTCTGAATGTCCATGAGTGGCCCAGCCAGAGCCCGGACTTGAACCCGATCGAACATCTCTGGAGAGACCTGAAAATAGCTGTGCAGCGAAGTTCCCCATCCAACCTGACAGAGATTGAGAGGATCTGCAGAGAAGAATGGGAGAAACTCCCCAAATACAGGTGTGCCAATCTTTTAGCGTCATACCAAAGAAGACTCGTGGCTGTAATCGCTGTCAAAGGTGCTTCAACAAAGTACTGAGTAAAGGGTCTGAATACTTATGTAAATTTGTATACATTTGCAAATATATCAACCTGTTTTCACTTTGTCATTATGGGGTATTGTGTGTAGATTGATGAGGAAAAAAATGAATTTAATCAATTTTAGAATAAGGCTGTAACGTAACAAAATGTGGAAAAAGGTCTGAATACTTTACGAATGCACTGTTCATGTGTGTATTGCTATCGCATGTTGGTGTTGTCTGCTCTATTAGCATTGTCTATTGTTTTCTGTATCGGTCTGTTTCCGTTCCTAGGTCCCTAAAGTGACCCACACAGAGTTTTGCCAGGGACGGACCATGCGCTGGGCACTGGCCTGGAGTTTCTATGATGACGTTACTGTTCCGGTAAGCTTGGTCTGGTGGGTGGTTCCCCTTGGGTCCTCTCACTTGTGTCCTCTCCTAACCAGGTCATCTACAGTGGGAGAGGAGGAAGGCATTAGCATGGCATCACCACTCTCTCACTCTCTCTGCTCGGTCTCCCTCCTTCCCTTTTTCTCCCTCTCTCATTCCCAGTCATCCAGGGGCATGTCCTAACTACACCCCTGCTGCTTTTCCAGATGTTCCCTACCTCCCCACACTTCCTTAATAATGCATTCCCGGCCCATCCCACTCCACTCTCTAGCCCATTCCATTCGAGTATGCAGGCAGCATTCAACCCGCCCTCTGGGGAGATGTTTGCGTCCCTCCCCTAATTTGCTGTATCCAGGCAACAGTTGCCGGGGAAGGAGTGTGCGCACAAACACGCCATGCCATTAGGCTCTTGGGCCACTGAGGGAGTGATAGAATGAGAGAGATGAGAGGGAGAGAGTAGAGCGAGCAAAGGGCATCATAGAGATCAATATGAGAGTGTGAAATCTGGAAATATTCTGAATAAGAGCGAGAATAAAAAGGGAGAGGCGTGGGGGTGGAAAGTGGAGTGTATGAAGACTTCTTTGGTCTCAGTCGAATTCTTGTAGTTTCGTTTGCCTTTCGCCACAAAGGCAGTTGAGCAGAAAGATTGGCCTACATTTTACTGCCCTCTCTTTACACAGTGAGGCCACTGCATCATTACCAGGCAGACTGGGGAGGAGTGTGTGGATGACCCCACACCTGTATGTACGTGTGTGTGTGTGTGTGTGTGTGTGTGTGTGAGGGGGGTTCTATGCATGAATTAGGAATATGACTGTGTGCAGGTGAGTGTAGAAATGTGTGTCTGTGGCCTACTTAACCTACTAGATAAGCCACCTGTGTACTAGTAACTAGCCCCTCTGTGGCACCACATTTGTTATTTCCAGCCTGTTTTCAGCACAACCTGGTGATTGAATCAATAGCTCTGACATCACACATCTGACTGATGTGTAATGCAGGAAGTGAGTCTCACCAGACACATTGACAGAATCTGATCCCTTCATTACAGAGAGAGGGAGGGAGAGAGAAAGACAGACTGAGGACGATGGGGAGAGAGATGAAGGTACAGAGACTATAAAAGGAGACTTGGAGAGGGAATGAGAAATGAGAGAATTGAAGCTCTCTAGCTCTTGTTGTTGGTATCTGTGTTGTCTGTGAGTGTCATGTGACACTGTGGGCCCAGAGCAGGGGGCGTGTCTGGCATGCAGCCAGTCAGGAGAAGATTTACAGCAGGGGGCAAGGTTAGGGAGGGGTCAACAGGAACAAGAGACCCTGATATTAAGGTTCTGGGGGGTGGCTAGCCCTAGCTAGCCCTAGCTAGTTTAAATGGCCATCTCTCTTCTGCTGATCTGTCTGTGTGTGGTCAGTAATTGAATAATGGCCTATTATCTGGGGAGTCATGCTGGGGCTCTGTTTGTTGAGCTGAGCTCCAGGCTTGAGTCCTGGTTGGACAATTGGGGCAGACTAGCTGCTAGAGAGAGAGAATCACAGACAGACTGGCTACACTAGACGACTAGAGCAAGGTGTTGTCAAAACAGAATACAGAAAGCTATTTTTCTTGTGTGTGTGTGTGGACTGAGCACACATTTGAGTATATGAGGAGGTGGGGGTGGGTGAGTCAGATTAATAATAGAGAGAGATTGAAAGGGAGGGAGAGAAAGAGCAAATATGAATCACTGGAGACTGAAGAGTGGACTTAAAGCCGTACACACATCAGACTAGATGAGGTGGTGTTTGTGTATGTGCTTGTGGGCGTGTGTAAGTGTTTTTCTGTGCTTTTGTCTAGGAGTGTATGTTCATCTCTGTGTGTGTGGTTTTGTCTGGGAGTGTATGTTCATCTCTGTGTGTGCTTTTGTCTGGGAGTGTATGTTCATCTCTGTGTGAATCTGTGTGTACATGCATATGAGTGTGTATACTGAGTTACTGTGTGTGTATCTATGTCAAGGATGTGCTGTACAGAAGGGCTGCAATCCTTGATGGATTGTATAGATGTTTCCCTCTTCCTTTGAGCTGCAGGGGCTTACTGAGCAGAGAGAGAAGGGCTGGGAAACAATAAGAAACACATGAAGCAGCTATAACTAGGCCTGGCTGGTATAGACTCACTAGACAGACCTGTGTCAAATACTATTTGAAATATTTCATTTGCTTTAGCTAGTAGTTTTGCGATTGTTCTTTTGAGCCAGGCAATCTTAATCGAGCCCAACTAAATTATAACAAAGGATTAAAATGATAAAAATAGTATTTGAATCCAGGTATGAGTCTAGACTTGACACTGTCAATTCTTTCTCCTATTGACCAGTCTGATGACACCTTTTTTTTCTATGGAAGGAGAATACATGAATTAAACATCTCACATATAACAGAACACTGATCTAGGACCAGTCTGAAGGTCGTAGTCCAGTCCTCCATTCTGTGCTGACTCTGTCAGTTGGCCATATTGTCTGAGTGACTGACTGACTGACTGCAATGTCATTATTGCATTGTTTCACTGCAGACCCATTCTGGCAACCTGGTGTATTTAAATAGGATTTTATGGACCAATGAATACATGTTGACCCATAGCACTGTTGTTTGTATAAGGTAGAGAGCCCTGTGGTATTATTATGTGGGGACTTGCTTAGAGAAGGAACACTTCCACCATAGCAGCATGGCACCAGTGGCAGCTCCAAGACAAGGCACAGCAGGGCCAATGTCATTGCAGGGGGGTAGGAATAAATCACATGGAAGGAGCTCCCCCTTGTGGTGTGTTTTGATATTGCCAACTCCATTTTCTTATTGGTGGGGTTCTTTGCCTTTACAATTCAATGTGTTGACACAAAGATGAGCTAAGGAGGAGGAGTGTGGAGGATAAAAAAAGAGCAGAGTCACGGGGAGGGAGAGAGAGGGCGAGACGGAGATAAAAGGAGTGAGAGAGGTATGCAGGTCGTGAAAAATGTATGCACTCACTAACTGTAAGTCGCTCTGGATAAGAGCGTCTGCTGAATGACTAAAAAGTTTTTTTTTTTAAGTGACTCATCCGTGGCGTGAGCTGGCCTAAACGGACAGGAGTTGTCATCACTGGTCCAGGCATCCAAGACTACCTCTCCCTCCCTCCTCACTTTCTCTCACTCTCCATCAATCCCCCTTTCACTCACTTGTTTGTCTTTCATTCACTCATTGTCACACGGAATGAGTGAGCAAAAGGATTTTGCTTCCGCTCTTCTCCTCCCGTTCTTCTCCTCCTCCTTCTCTCCATCTGTTTTTCTCTCGTCCTCACTACAACTTCATCCATCATTCCGTAGCCGTCCAGAGGGGTTTTCATGGTGACTAGGAAAGTGAGACTTCACTTCTTTAGAAATGATTGTTCACTCAACGTCGTCAATGTCTAAGCGTGTAGCTAATTTTCCCCTAACTTCGGAAACTCTAGCGGTTGGAGGACTAAATCACCTCGAGTTCAACATTTAAATGGACTGGAAAATAACGGTACGTTTTGCGACTAAAGACACCCTTCTAGCTAGCTGACAACTAATTTTCATTGCAATTTTTGTAAGTTAAGTTAGGTTTTGAGAGTTTTCAAAAAAGTTATATACATAAACATTTTGTGGGACACGCTGTATATTGTAAAATTTGACTGCGCGACAGACCACACCTCATTTAATAGCCAACTTTGTACCTCTGAAATATAGCAAACTGATTTTCTAATGTTGCTAGCTTAGTTGCTAAATGTTGATAGAACTGCTAAGTAAGCAAAAAGGAAAAAAATTGTAAGCATTAGATAATACATATCACGAAAACAGCTGCATGTTGTCAAGCTTTACCTTTTCACAATTGGAGTCCTTTGACGGGGTGCATTTTACACAATATGCAAAAATTAATTTTGAACTTTGAACCATTAACTTTTTGACACCTATCACTGTTGGCTATGTTTAGGCTACATATAGGCAGTATTTAGTCAAATGTTTAGTCAAATGTTACAATGTATGCATCAATATTAAACTAATTGGGACACTAATTTTCATTAAAGATAACATCAAACAAAAAACATGGGTACACTATCAGTTATTGTGAAAACTTTCATCACCTTTCAATGCCTTTGCTTTGAAATGTACATGTTTATACATATTCAGATTGAGTTATCTTTCTAAAATGTGTATAGTATGCCAAGTTATTTAGCTATATGGATTTACCACCACAGCATGGAGAAAGTCAAGAGGAAGCAGTGGAGTGAGGTGGACATGTTCCATGCCATGGAGGACTGCGGGGCAAGGATGGCTATCGGCCAGGCTGCCAAGGTTAGGCATCTTTTGTTTTTAGGAGATTACCATGTGTATGTGAATTTTATCTGCTAGTAACAGTTTTCTTTTCTTATCTACCAAGGTGCATGGTGTACCTCGGCAGACCCTGGCGTCCGGGTGACCCATGGTTGTCGCAGTGGACCACCCACATTGCTTGAAAATTCTCTGGTGCAGTACTGATGAAATACGCTGACAAAATAAGCAGGTATTTGGTGTTCTATGTGTTTATGTATGTAGATTGCTGGACTGACTGTTCTCAATGTGTGTGATGTAAATGTGGATGTGTATGGTGATGCCAAAACAAACATTTTCATCCTGGATGGAGAATTATATATTCTATTCTATTGTAGGTTTCGGCACCCAGGAGAAACAATCCCACCACTGGGGAAGAGGTGGTGGGAAATGTTCAGGAAGAGGCACAAGAACCTGAGCATGAGGAGGCCGGACACCCTGGACAGGGGGAGAGCTGAGTGTGCCACACGTCTGACGATGGACACCTTCACTTCTTATGAGAAGCACCTGGAGGAGAATGGGTTGAGGGAGAAACCCAGACAAATCTATAACTGCGATGAGTCTGGGGACCAAGGAGCACATCACAGTGCTGGCCTGCTTCAACGCAGCTGGGGAGGATGTCCCACCATTTATCATCTACCCCAAGTGTTTCCCCGGTGGCCACTACACACTGGGAGGCCCCCCCCAAGCCTTGTATGGACGGTCAACAGTGGCTACATTGACGGGGACCTGTTCAGGAAGTGGTTTCAGCACTTCATTAAGAATGCAGTGAAGGAGCGCCCTCTCCTTCTCCTCTTCGATGGCCACATGGACCCGGAGGCGCTCGCGGCTATGTGTGCATGTGTTTGTGCATGCTTTTGGGTCAGAGTTTACTTGTGAGTCAGTTTCTCTGTGAGGGTGTGTAGTGTACTACTTGTGTGTCAGGTCAGAGTGAACTTGTGAGTGCCTCAGATATGTATGATGGCATTTGCAGTATGAGTGTGGAATGCCGTAGTGTGTAGAACTGGGACACACTTGTCTTTTAGCACCTGTACGTTCAAGAATGCTGTTCCAGTGAACTTGTTTATGACTAACATGCTTGTCTGAACAACATACTGTACCTGTGTATGTATTTATATTGTGCATTTACCAGCAGTCTTCCACACTGTCATCATGAATCACCCTTTATTTATCTGGGCAGGTTGAGGATGCATTCACATTTTCCAAATAAATGTTTTACATACATTGAAGTATGTGACTACATCTTCATCAGAAGTTTTTAATTAAGAAGAATATTATGACAATGGTACCTCTTTCCGTAAACCCCACATACTCTGTAAATGGATATTTTATTATTTCTCTCGCCATCTCCCTCCCCTCAGTCTCCCCCCAGTAAGAAGAGGAAGCTGGAGAAGTCTCGTAAGCCACTGTCCTTCATGCTGCTGCAGCCCACAGTGAAGGAGCTGCAGTCCCAGGCCTCCTCTATAGGCTGTCCCTCCAACCCCAGGCCTGTAGAGACCATCACTGCCTGGCTGGAGAAGACACTTGGTGACCTAAAGGTAAACACACATGGGTTTTTCTGGATCAAAAGGGGGCTTAGGTGGTGGGCGTGGTTGGCCCAGCTGAATTTGGTGCAGTGCAGGCAATAACATTTTAATTGCACCCATCTTGGCAGGGGAGAGCAAATGTAGGTGTTTTTAAAGCTAATTTCCTCAAAATCTACACATTTTGCCATGGAGCTGAGAGAACATTTTGCTGTTTTAAAACTAATTTCCTGCAATTCTACGATTTTTGCTTATGGAGCTGAAATAATTGTACCGTTTTAAAACGAATTTCCTGCAATTCTACGCATTTTGCCATGGCTTATGCTGTGTTATTATTAGTGCTGAGCGATTTAGTGCTTTTTGAGGTCTGTACGGCTTCGGTTCGATTATTCAAAAATAATCACGGTTTATTTAATATTTTTCAAATGCACTATGCATTATGTGTGTTGAATGCTGTAACACAGAATAAAACAATTAATAAAAGTCCCATGATGGTAGTGACTGTCCATTACTGCTTATCACTTATGAATCATTTATTCACATTACTTTAATAAAATATTTCAGTTGTGTATACCTATAAAGTCTACAACCCCTTGAACTTTTTTTCACATTTTGTTGCGTTAAAGTGGGATTAATATGTAATGTCATTTTTTTTCAACGATCTACACAAAATACTTTGTCAAAGTGGATGGAAAAGGCTATATTGTGCAATATTTGCCCAACATTCTTCAAGCTCTGTCAAGGTGTTGGGGATCATGGCTAGACAGCAATTTTCAAGACTTGCCATAGATTTTCAAGCCTATTTAAGTAAAAACTGTAACTTGGCCACTCAGGAACATTCACTGTCTTCTTGATAAGCAACTCGTGTACATTTTGCTTTGTGTTGTAGGTTATTGTCCTGCTGAAAGGTGAATTCTTCTCCCACTGTCTGGTGTAAATCAGGTTTTCCTCAAAGATTTTGCCTGTGCTTAGCTCCATCCCGTTTCTTTTCATCCTGGAAAACTCCCCAGTCTTTTCCGATGTCAAGCATACCCATTCCATGATGCAGCTACCACCATGCTTGAAAATAAGGAGGCAGTTACTCATTGATGGGTTGTTGATTTTGCCCCAAACATAAGGCTTTGCATTTAGGCCAAAAAAGTGTATTCCTATGCCGTGTTTTTTTGAAGTATTCCTTTAGTGCCATTTCCACACATACTGTATGTTTTGGAATATGTGTATTCTTCTTTTGACACTGTCATTTAGGTCATTATTGTGGAGTCACTACAATGTTGATCCATCCTCAGTTTTCTCCCATCACAGCCATTGAACTCTGTAGTTTTAAAATTACCAATGGCCTCATGGTGAAATCCCTAAGCAGTTTCCTTCCTGCAGCTCAGTTCAGAAGGACGACTATCTTTGTGTCTGGGTGGTTTAATACATCATCCACAGCATAATTATTAACTTGACCATGCTTAAAGTGATATTCAATGTCTGATTTGTTGTTACCCATCCACCAATCACTGGCATATGAGGCTTTTGAAAAGCTCCCTGGTCTTTGTAGTTTAGTCTGTGCTTGAAATTCAATACTTGACAGAGACCTTACAGATGTATGTATGGGGGACAGAGGAAGGGGTAGTCATTAAAAAAATGTAAACCGCTATTATTTCACACAGTGTGAGTCCATATAACTTATATGATTTGTTAAGCCAAATGTTTACTTCTGAACTAATTTAGGCTTGCCTAAACAAAGTGGGTGAATACTTATGCAACAACTTTTCTTTTCACTTTGATCTACACAAAATACTCAATGTCAATGACAAATTGCTATTAAATCTGTTTCAATCCCGCTTTAGCGCAACAAAATGTGGGGGAAAAAAGTTCAAGGTGGTGTAGACTTTCTATAGGCTTTGTATTATAATTGTTTTATTTGATTATTTTCAAAGTCACTATTTTAGTAGTACTTCAAAGTAAATCAGGCATACTTTTATGAGTCCTGAATACCAACTATCAGTCACTTAGATCATGTATTTTCCGGTAGAGATACCTCGTGAAGCAACGGCTCTCTATCCTTCACGATTGCGCATTCTTCTCTCCCTCGCTGTGTCTGTCCCACACTAACCTAATGTAGCAGCTGTAAAAGAAACACAGCACACAGACCGTACAAGTAGGCGCGCAATGGATTATGGTCATTGTAGTTAATTGCATTTTCTGCGCTAAACTATGTAGAATATTGGCCTGCTGGAAACTACAAGCTCCCTACCACATAGCACAGTTCAGGCCTAGATCCAATTTATCTCTAGAGAAACTGTGCAATGTTCTCATTGAGCTCTCAGAAAATAAACTTACAAAATGGAATTCAAATAATTGAACGTACATCTGTCAATTAGTTGTTTAAAAAACAAAATATTACCGAAATTGAGCACTAGTTCTTATGCTCAAACATAAGGAAATCAATGGGGGCCCAAAATACTTTTGAATGCATCATTATTTGAATTTTAGATTCTCCCAGACAGTAGCTTTTATCTTGGTGATTGTTAGTTTTCAATATTGATCTTATGCAAAAAATATATAGGTCCATTATCTTTTCTACATACTTTCTTTCTGGTTTTAGTCATTTATATTTAAAACTATTTTCCATCCCTAAATAAATAAATATCTATACACACACACACACACACACACACCGAAAGTATTCAGACCCCTTTGGCTTTTCCCACATTTTGTTAAGTTACAGCCTTATTCTAAAATTGATTAAATTAAATGTTTTCCTCAATTTAAACACAATACCCCATAATGACAAAGCGAAAACAGGTTCTGAAATGTTTGAAATTATTAAAAAATAAAACATCTTATTTACATAAGTATTCAGAAGAAAGACTCGAAATTGAGCTCAGGTACATCCTGTTTCCATTGATCATCCTTGATGTTTCTACAACTTGATTGGAGTCCACCTGTGGTAAATTCAATTGATTGGACATGATTTGGAAAGGCACACACCTGTCTATATAAGGTCCCACAGTTGACAGTGCATGTCAGAGCAAAAACCAAGCCATGAGGTCGAAGGAATTGTCCGTAGAGCTGGACAGGATTGTGTCTCGGCACAGTTCTGGGGAAGGGTACCAAAAAATGTCTGCAGCAATGAAGGTCCTAAAGAACACAGTGGCTTCCATCATTCTTAAATGGAAGAAGTTTGGAACCATCAAGACTCTTCCTAGAGCTGGCCGCCCGGCCAAACTGAGCAATCGGGGGAGAAGGCCTTGGTCAGGGAGGTGACCAAGAACCTGATGGTCACTATGACAACGCTCCAGAGTTCCTCTGTGGAGATGGTTGTCCTTCTGGAAGGTTCTCCCATCTCTGCAGCACTCCACCAATCAGGCCTTTATGGTAGAGTGGCCAGACGGAAGCCACTCCTCAGTAAAAGGCACATGACAGCCCGCTTGGAGTTTGCCAAAAGGCACCTAAAAACAAGATTCTCTGGTCTGATGAAACCAAGATTGAACTCTTTGGCCTGAATGCCAAGCATCACGTCTGGAGGAAACCTGGCACCATCCCTACGGTGAAGCATGGTGGTGGCAGCATCATGCTGTGGGGATGTTTTTCAGCGGCAGGGACTGGGAGACTAGTCAGGATCGAGAGAAAGATTAAATGAGCAAAGTACAGAGATCCTTGATTAAAAACCTGCTCCAGAGCACTCAGGACCTCAGACTGGGGTGAAGGTTTACCTTCCAACAGGACAACGACCCTAAGCACACAGCCAAGACAACACAGGAGTGGCTTCGGGACAAGTCTCTAAATGTCCTTGAGAGGCCCAGCCAGAGCCCGGACTTGAACCCGATCAAACATCTCTGGAGAGAACTGAAAATAGCTGTGCAGCAACGCTCCCCATCCAACCTGACAGAGCTTGAGGGGATCTGCAGAGAAGAATGGGAGAAACTCCCCAAATACAGGTGTGCCAAGCTTGTAGCGTCATACCCAAGAAGACTCTAGGCTGTAATCGCTGCCGAAGGTGCTTCAACAAAGTACTGAGTGAAGGGTATGACTACTTATGTAAAAGTGATATTTCTGTATTTTTTTTAAATTATATATTTGCAAACATTTCTAAAAACCTGTTTTTGCTTCGTTATTATGGGGTATTGTGTGTAGATTGAGGAATAATAATAAAAAATCTAGAATAAGGCTAACGTAACAATGTGGAAAAAGTAAAGGGGTCTGAATACTTTTTGAATGGTGTTTACTGTTTGGACCCGAAAAAACACTTAGGCCGCCCGCCCAATACTTTTCTATGCAGAAAAACACCCTGACACATACAGCAATCACAAAAACACTCCGCAAGCAACACACTCATACCGTAAGGAACGTGCACACATACTGCAAGCACCACACACAGACAACTCCTTAAGCATTTACATGTACACACCACATTCATTGCATACTGGACATACCTTACTGCAAACACACTCCCTAACCCAGATTCTCCAACAGAGGCATACAAATCCTAGATTCTAGACAAAAAAATACACAGCAACCGTGTCATCTGTATTCTACAGGTGCTGCACAAGCGTGTCCCATGTGGGAGGAAGGAGCAGAGTCTGTTCCTGACTGCTGTGGAGAACACCTGGATCCACGGGAGACAGAGACGCAGAGACCAGGGACGACACCTCAGAGAGCTGCCCAGAGCGCCCCCCAGTGGTACTTCCCCCACCCCTTCCTCAGTCACAGCCCATCACCACTCCTCTACACACATTCCGTATAGCTCACACTCAGATTCACACACTCCCACGGCAGCACAAGGGCCAGGCTGTGTTCCACAGTCAGGGACCAACCGAGCCGATGGAGCCGACTCTCAGTGGGCCAGCGGACAGGAAGTCCAAAGCCAGGAGGAGGAAACCAGCTGTGTCCCAGTAAAGAACAGTGGGACAGAGGAGGATGTCGTCATGGAGTCTTCTCCTACCTCTATAACACCCAATACCACACTGGTTCAAACGGCACCATCCACCACAACTCAGAAACAGCAAGGCATAACCACCCCACAGGAAGTACCTCCCGAAACACAGGAAGAGGAAGTCAATGCCATTGGACAGGAAGTGATGCAGCCACAGAGCCCCGGCACTGTGCAACACTTCCTGTTTAAGTGCTTGGTGAACGTGAAGGCTGAGGAGCAGGATGTTGCTGTGGAGATCCACTGGGTGGAAGGCCAAAACAAGGACCTGATGAACCAACTGTGTACCTACCTGAAGAACATTCTGTTTAGAGTGGTGGCCAAGCCACTGGGGACATAATGGAACATAGTTAACCTGTAGTACTGGGTCATGTTCATTAAGCAGAAAATTGTAGAAATACAGGCAGGGACTTTGGGAACATAACTTACCAGTTGTCCTGTATTGTTCTATTTGTGACCAGTTTGTAGGAGGTAAAGTATAAAATGTACTTATTTGCTGGTCCTTTAGTTTCACCAAGTCTCCTTGTCAAGGTTATAATGAGTAGTGAATATTTTAGTTATTTCAAGTTTGATAAATTAAAATGTATAAATGTATGTTTTAGTAACATGTTATTTGTGTATTTCCATGTTCAGTTAGTGTTATACACACAGGGGGTCTATCCCAGAGACAATTAATTTGTCTAGGATGCCGTTTCCATAAGCAGCCACAAGAGGGCAGTCTATAGCTGCAGCTAATCCACTTGTTTCCTCCTGTTGATGAAATACAGCTTATCAACACATTCTGGGGAGACACTCGCTTCACCTTTATAAGTGGCCTGTCGTAGTATCACATTTAGAAAGTGATGCCAGCCAAATTAGACGGCCGTATCGACGACTTCAGCCGGTAATGAATGATCTTTGTACACACACACTTTGGCTGAAGCAATACCTCCTAGTAATGCAGGATTTCCAATCTTTCCTCAGTCTTTCCTGTGCCTAGAGTGCCTGTACATGCAATTGTCACAAACAGACACACTTCCTGAGCAGAGATTTAGTGGTGAATACCAGGAAAAGCGCCCCAGCAGTGGACCCAATGTGTATTTGCCACGTGCACAGGATACAACTGGTGTAAAACAGTACTGTGAAATTCTTATTTTGAGAGCTCTTTCCCAACAATGCAGTGCTGGTAATAATATATAATCAATGAACTGCAGCGTTATGGTAGTAATACGTCTAATCATTATAGAAGCTGAGTGCATGTGGCTGTAAGTGTATGGCGTCAGTAATGAGTGTGTCAGTGGGTAGAGACCTGCGGATGGGCATAGTCAGTGTGAATAGCCTGAATGAGAACAGTAGTTGTTAGCCATTTAACAGTCTTATGGCCAGGGGATAGAAGCTGTTTAGGAGTCTGTTGGTCTGAGCCTTGATGCACCGGTACCGCTTGTCGGACTTGAGCATGGAGAACTCTCCATGTCTCGGGTGGCTGGAGTCTTGGGCAATTTTTCTGGCCTTTCTCAGACACCGTCTGGTATGTACGTCCTGGATGGCTGGGGGCTCGCCCCCAGTGATGCGCTGGGCCGTCCGCACCACCCTCTGTAGGGCCTTCCGTGCAGTTGCCATACCAGACGGATACAACCAGTCAGGATGCGCTCAATGGTGCAGCTGTAGACAGTGTGTGCGTATATGTATATAGAGTATGTGTCTGAGTTCACAGCTCTGTGTGAGTGCAACTGTGTCACTATCACATAGTGGCCTTTTTTTAAAGCCACAATATTGACTTCCTGTCTTTTTTTGTTGTGTGTTCTGAGGTCACACACAGCAGGCCTTTGATTTGATCATCAGTTCCTGTGTGTGAGAATCATGTAAAGGTCAGTGTGAAAAACAGAACAGCAATGTGCTGATTACAACATTGGCTTTTGTCTCTAGATTTGACACATCATCCACAAAGATGTGCCACCTAAATTCAACAACAAAACATTATGGTACCTTTGGTCTTGAAAAACTGTTAAATAGCTATCAATCCAGTAAAAAAACAAGCATAATGATTGTTAATTATCTAAGTTCAAGGGGTATGCTGCCAACAAAGCAAAAGAGCAGTTACTGCTCATATAGTTAAACTGAGAAAATGGACTACTCACCGAACAGCCAGACAGTTGGCGCAAGGTTGTCGACGCTCCGCCATGTGGCGGGAAAGGCGTACTGTCTCTTGAAATAACAAACGTTCGAATTGCTCTCGTTTAAAGCCACCCCGCACCACGTTGTTTGGGAATTGACTATTCCACCACGCCCTTTGCATGACTAATGGTACATTTATGACGGTAGATACTGCAAATGGTTGCAATCAATAAATTACATGTTTACCTTGACATTACTTTAAACAGACACAACTGTGATGACTAATACATGTATGTCTGTAAATGATCGCTGGTTGTAGCTCAGTTAGTAGAGCATGGCGCTTGCAACGCCAGGGTTGTGGGTTCGTTTCCCACGGGGGTTCAGTATGAAACATGTATTCACTCACTAAACTGTAAGTCGCTCTGGATAAGAGCGTCTGCTAAATGACTAAAATGTAAATGTAAAAATGTTGCTGAGGCCACTGACCTGGAGACCGAATCATAATATGGGAACGATGGCTACTGCACTAGTTTGCCCATGTGTGCAAGCGCCATACCTTGTTGTTCTCCCTTGTGATTGGCTATTAGGCAATGATATGTAAATATCTTGCCGTGAACGGATACAGATAAATCGTGGATGAGGATTACATGATAAAACATGTAGTTTGTGTTCATCATAGCACTATGAAATTCAATGTTGAAACAACTGTTGGAAACAACATGCTGATTTGTGAAAATGCAACTGAGGAACGACATGCACAATCTGTTTAATTTTCATGCTTCGTTTTCTTTCATAAGAAATAGCAGTAGGTCAGTCCATTCCAAGACACCATTTCGTGTTTTCTTTGTCATTGCAGCGTATGGGAGGGAATACATGTGTGGGCGGTCTTAAATGGTATGCTTTTGGCCCTGATTTGTTACCTACTACTCTCAGCGCCATCTTGTTGCAACTCCTCTACGTATGTGGAAGAGTTTCTACGAGGGGTATCCGATTACCTTTTTCTTCAGTTTTGCTGACTGAAAGACTGGATCCTTACACTGAAAAATAAAGTGCATACCCTGTAACATTTGCTTATTTTTTTTGCTTATAACATTTTGTTTCCAATACGGAGAAGAAATGAGCATCGAGACGCTTTTAGAAGCAGCAAAGTTTTTGGAATTGCAAGCCCAGCAACAACAGAAAGCACGTGGTATGTAAAGGTTACAATCCATTATAGGTTTTCTAGAGGCTTTCAAAGTTTGGATTTGAAAGGATCAAACGAATTCGTTATTTAGATGTGTCAAATCTATAAGATATTTCTACTGGGAGAAGATCTGCATGCATTTTACCTCTCAATGTAAATCTACTTTTTTACCATAAAAATAATTTTGGTTTATAATTTAAGATTACGTCCACAGTTGATTGAATTGCCTTTGTTTGCGTTGGGGGTCGTGACTAATCAGACTTCCTTGTCTCGACTATTTAGTTGGCTTTACTGAGTTAAATGTCTTGAGCAACTTGAGGTGTGATTTGAAATGGTAGCCTATTTCAGAGTGGATCCTTGTTCTAAGAAGTTGGCTACAAATGTATCATTTGGATGTGTGACAGGAGACAATGTAGCCGTGTGAATTTTACTGCATTACAGACGCGTCGATCGAAACGCCTCCTATCAAGTCTTGAAACGATCGTGTTTATTTGCAACACTGTTTCCAACCCTGTAACCTTAACATTTAGCGACTGCTTTTAAAGTCGTATAGTAACCTTCACTCATTATTTTACATTCAAACAACTCGCAGTAAAGGGCGGTGGCGAAGGGAGCGCTAAAGTCGTTTTACATCATCTGACCTGACATAGCAGGGGGATCATATGACAGATTCAGGCTTCCCTCTCGGTTTCTGTGACGATCAATCATTCTTTTGAATTCCTAAAATGATTGTTTGAACACAACTTTACATTTATGTGCTTTCGTACATTGCACATTTTAAACTGAAATGTAGGCTAGATAGAACATTCCTAGGAAAGGAACCTTCGGCTCACGCGCTAATCGCGTAATTTTTTTTGCGTGTAGCTGTTGACGTGTCCAAATTGATCATGACCCATATCTGCAACGGGGACCGCCCCTTTCACCACGTGCATGCTCGGCAGTCCTACATCCGGAGGCCCGCTCCCTCCCTGTTCTCTTCTCTGTAGTGCTGCTGCTAGGTCACGGTGTGGAAGAAAGTAGGGCAGGGTTTCTCCCCCTCTACTGTACTCACTCCTCTGCTATGTGCTGTGGTTATATAAGTGGAACTACACATGTTTTTATAAAAGTTATTATCTCCAACCTGTCAAGGCCATAGAGCTAAACACAACCAGGCAAAATTTCAATAGATCTTTCTTAGTAAGTCAAACAAACAGTGCAAACATTAACCATGTAACTCCTCTCACTGAATATTGTTTTTCCTGTTATTGTTTTCCCTATACTTTGAAAGGGTGTGTGTTATTATATAAGAGCACGTGGTAGTCTCGAGTCAACCAATTTACTGAACAAAATAAAGTTGTTGGATAAGTGTTTTAATTGACAAACTAATGCAGTTATGTTATACCAGACTTCAGATCAAATTTTATTTTCCACATGCACCGAATACAACAGGTGTAGACATTGCAGTGAAATGTTTACAAGCCCTTAACCAACAATGCAGTTTAAAATAAAATAAAAGTGTTAAGTAAAAAAATAAAAGCAAATAACTAAAGAGCCGCAGTAAAATAAAATAACAGTAGGGACGCTATATACAGGGGGGTACCGGTACAGAGTCAATGTGCGGGGGCACTGGCTAGTCGAGGTAATATGTACATGTGGGTAGAGTTAAAGTGACTATGCATAAATAATAAACAGAGTAGCAGTAGCATAAAAGGGTGGGGTAGCCATGATTTAGCTGTTCAGGAGTCCTATGGCTTGGGGTAGAAGCTGTTGAGAAGCCTTTTGGACCTAGACTTGGCGTTCCGGTACCGCTTGACTAGGGTGGCTGGAGTCTTTGCCAATTTTTAGGGCCTTCCTCTGACACCGCCTGGTATAGAGGTCCTGGATGGTGGGAAGCTTGGCCCCAGTGATGTACTGGGCCGTAGGCACTACCCTCTGTAGTGCCTTGCGGTCGGAGGCCGAGCAGTTGCCATACCAGGCGGTGACGCAACCAGTCAGGATGCTCTCGATGGCGCAGCTGTAGAACCTTTTGAGGATCTGAGGACCCATGCCAAATATTTTCAGTCTCCTGAGGGGGAATAGGCTTTGTCGTGCCATCTTCACGACTGTCTTGGTGGCTCTCACCTTGATTTACAAAAGTATGTTTATGAATGGCATGAGAACTAGGCTATCTTGAACTGTGCCTCCGATTTGACCAGATACCAAGGTGTGGGCGTCATTCTCTCACGCCTTAGGTCAATGCTTTCACATCTGATTACTCATGGGTTGAGAACCAAGATGGTAAAAGGTAACAACAACCCTTTCCTCTACCTTATCCACAGCTTTCTACTCACCAGTCAGTTCCATGATCTGTCGTTCATTTGCAGAGAGATGACAGAGGGGTAATGACCTGTGTACACAGTCATTGAATGCTGGTCACTTTAATGTTTACATACTGTTTGACCCACTTTATATGTGTATATACTGTATTCTAGTATGGCTCATCCTATATAACTACTGCTGTACACACCTTTTCTATTAATATACTGTCTAATGGCTATACACACCATCATATATATTTATAATCTGGACTCTGACATTGCTCGTTTTTATATTTGCGTGTATTGTTAGGTATTACTGCACTGTTGGAGCTCAGAACATGAGCATTTCGCTACACCCGCAATAACATCTGCAAAATGTGTAAGCGACCAATTTGATTTAGGAGTTTTGACACCTCAACACTACCTGTCCAACAAATGACAAGCACACCACTCTGCACTTAAAGGGAGGTTTAAGTATGTAATGGGTTTTAAAGGACAATCCGTCTCAGATGCATGTAGAGGAGGACTTTTCCTGGCTCTGGGGAGGGGTTGATCTCTGTAATGGGTTTTTAAAGGACCATTCTTCTCATCTACTTGTAGAGCGGAATTAGACAGTGCTGGCTCTGTTTTTGACTTACTCAGTTTGACCTTTTGAATCCTACTCTGGGTGTCTCACTGGGCAAGGTCGAACCAATCCTTCTGGGGTTTGTCCTAACCAATCCAGTTCTTCTGGGGTTTGGCCTAACCAATCTAGTCCTCCAAGGGTTTTATGGGTCGTTCTTGTATGTGGGAGGAGAGCACTTAATGGACTGCAACTTCTCAGTGCTCCTGAACTTTGAACTCTGACTGCACTTTATCAATACTGAGTGGAGCGGATAGGCCTGAGGTGGAGGTTAAACACTAATGACGGTGTTGTTTACACTGATGACAGTGCTACGGTGTGCACTAATGAATACAACCTGGTCTTGGACATTTTACTAACTTAAGTAGGCCTAGTTTATGTTAGTATAAAGGCAAGTAAAAAGGGGGGTGGAAATAAGAATGAAAAGTAGCATAAATAAAATAAAAGTATGTTTGTGTGTATGTGTATATATATATATATATATATATATCACAAAAGTAGTGCACTGGGCCTTTGCGGACTGATAGCCGTCTGGAGCTTGCGGGCAAACCCAACCCCCTGGTCGAAGAACAAAATCGCAGCACCCCCAAACTACTTCCCCCAGCGATGATCTTTATTTGAGACTATTATCTAAGACTCTCGGTGGCTTTCAGTGTCGCTGTGACAATCTGGCCTCCAGGCCTCTGCTGTGCTGGGGAGAGCAGAGCTGTTGTTTGTTCCTGGCTCTGAAGAAAATATGTCCAATGCCTGTGTTAACTGCGAAATCATGTTCCATGTATGTTATGGACTTGGCCTCTTTTGGAAGATGCACAGCCAGAGAGCGTTATTATGACACACACACTGTTATGCTATGCTTTGAGACTTTCACTTTTGTCAGTATCTTTGACTACAGGCAGCTACATCCTCCCGATAATCAGTTAAATTACCACAGCTTGGGCCCAATCCACACACTGTTGTATGTCCTACATTTCTCACACGCTTCTGAGAAGTTCTCAGAACAGCCCAATTGAATCACGTCTCCCAATGAATTGGATATGGAGGTGTAAGGTAAGGGAAGGGAAGAAGGGAACATTGTGTAGCTAACGTGCTGTAATGGCCACGTTTGGCACGGCTCTGCTCCACCCCTTATCGATGTAAAGGATGGCTGTAAAGCTCTCTTGTGTCTGACGTGTTCTAACACCACTATTACCATAGCAACCGGACAACCCCCTCTCCCCCTAGTATCTATGCATGCTGTTGGGGGGGGGGGGGGGGTTGGTGATTCTCCAATCTGATTGGATGAAGAGGTGAGGTCGTTGCTAGAACTCAGGGATTCAAACCACTCTCTTCCTTTGTCTCTCTGGCTTGTCCTGGTTGTCATCTTTTCTCCCCCACTCTGAGACGAGAATGTGTTAAAGGAGCTAGGAAAACGCAATGTGAGCTCATTCTCAAGGACAGCACGTGGACCTAATGTTAAGAGCGTCAGTACTGAAACGTTCTAAAAGACAAGTTGCCTCCTAAATAACAGATACAGTCAGGGCGTTTTGCTCCACTATTTTTCTATGTCTTCAGTCTCAATACTGCACTAACATCAGCACAATGTGTTCAGTCACAACACTGTGTTAGAGGGCTGGATGATTTACCACCAACCGCAATCTGTAGCTCTCTCTTTTAGGGCTCTCAGTACATGTGGAAATATCACACAGTGTAGTTTCACAGAAAAACAATTCTGCTTCAGCTCAAAGTTTCACGAACTCTTCATTACAGTATGTAGGCCTACAGAAGCTTGCAATATCCCAACAGAACATATCCCTTTCTACATTGGAACTAAGACAGTATGACTGGGATTGGGCGAGAGGCATAAAACCTGCTTTTACTTGGACACACTGACCTTGGAATATACCCCACTTCCTCTTCTAAAAAAAACTTGTCTCACACACTGAGCGCAGCCCAGCTTTTACATTTACATTTTAGTCATTTAGCAGACGCTCTTATCCAGAGCGACTTACAGTTAGTGAGTGCATACATTATTTTTTATACTGGCCCCCCGTGGGAAACGAACCCACAACCCTGGCGTTGCAAACACCATGCTCTACCAACTGAGCTACATCCCTGCCGGCCATTCCCTCCCCTACCCTGGACGACGCTGGGCCAATTGTGCGCCGCCCCATGGGTCTCCCGGTCGCAGCCGGCTACGACAGAGCCTGGATCTCTAGTGGCACAGCTAGCACTGCGATGCAGTGCCTTAGACCACTGTGCCACTCGGGAGAGTATTTTAGTCATTTAGCAGATGCTCTTAACCCTAATTGCTCCTGTAAGTCGCTCTGGATAAGTGCCTTGCTTAAGGGCACATCGACAGATTTTTCCCTTTAGTCGGCTCGGGGATTAGAACCAGCAACTTTTCGGTTACTGGCACAACGCTCTTACCCACTAAGCTACCTGCGGCCCCACACACACTCAGTCAGTTCTCCTGTCATATTGCAGACCTGTAACTGTGTTAATCCACTTGTAAAAAGGATAAACAGCATTGAGTTTTGTCATGTAGCCAGCCAACCAGCCAGCGCCAACAAGAGCAACGTAATGAGTTGTATAAATATAGGACTTTGGCTGCCTCGGAAATGGCACCTATTCACTATATAGGGCACTACTTTTGACCAGGGCCAACAGGATTCCCTCAAAGACGAGCTCTGTTTAATATAATGCCAATTATTGTAACTTGTTTCTGGCTGGCAAGGCATTGCGGCTGCATTATACAGCTTTTATAAGCTGTCAGAGTTCCTTGAGGCAGGATGAGGTCTATGCCTACAGGTTTGGTATGAACGTATGTCAGCGTTGGAATAGCCCTATAGAGGGTAGGAGGGGGGTGTCTGGCATCGTATTTCAATTCAGACCATACAAGGGCAACATAAGCTGTGAACACTGTGTGTTAGCTAGGTGAATAGATGCCTGAGTGCATCCTTCCAGCTATTCTAGTTTTCCTCCTTCCCGTCTTTTGTCTATTGATTTGTAGTATTCATTGGGAATGAACCCGGCTGTCAAACTCACTAGATGGAGATTAGTCAGAGGATGCTAGAAATGTTCTCAGACATGTTTCTGCTGGGACCTAACCTTTGCTGCTCTAGTCTCTAACCATTACTTCTTTCTCTCCTCACAGAGGAGAATGAGCTGAGGGAGAAGCTTCGCCTCGAACAGCTATCTGACCACACCCACAGGCACAATGTCACTTCCTACTCCTCCCTCATTCAAATGAACCATGTGACCCGAGCAGAAGAGCCCTGCCCCCACTCGGAGCGCTGCCCCTCTGTCCCTCCCCCACTGCCGCCCCCCTCCATGCCCATCACCGTCATCCCAATCCCCATGATGACCTCCAACCACACAGGTCTGTCCCCCACCATCCCAACCCCCTCCTCCACCACCCTGTCCCCCCAGGCTGGGGCAGCACCCCACCTGGCCTCCCCCAGGAGGGACCCTCACTCCCCAGGGCAGGACCACCAGGGACAGGGTGCGCTTTTGGCTCTCTCTCCTCAGGTGAAGACCGACCACTCCCACCACTTGCCTTTGGCCCAATCTGGCAACCACAAGCAGAATCAGCACTACCATCATCACCTTCCGCAGATTATTTCCCCACAATCTGGCAACCATAAACTGCAGCAGCAGCAGCAGCAGTCTCCCCAGCTGGTGCAGCCCTACCCTGGCTCCATCGTCTCAGCCCCGCAGCTGCATGCCTTACTCCCCCAGCCAGGGCCCCCCCAGACTCCGTGTGGGGGCCAGACCAGCCCTGTTGGGGGCCGAGGCAGCCCCCCTGACCTGGACGGGAAGAAGAGGCCTGGAGGGTAAGTGGCCATTTTGTTATTTATAGGAGAGATGGTTTGCACTATGTTTGGATTCTTTTCCTCCATTTGCATTTTAGTTTTCCTTTTATGTCTGTAGCTGTGCCTGTGATTGTCAGTCACTTGTTGAGCAGTAAGGCACAAACGGTATCAGAAGAATCACGAACCATGAAAAGTCACTGCACTGAAGGATTCTTGGACTAAATTATTCTTGGATTATGTGCTCCATAATGGGTATGTCCTGATTGGACAATTGAGCAATAATCAGATCCAATTAGCTGCCTGTGCATATTATACATTATATTGTTGAAGTAAAGTAACAGAGATGATGGAGTACTTTATATTTGTTGGTTGATTTGATTCTTGTTCTGTGAGTCTCGTCGTCTTGCCCATTCTGGACACCCAATCTTATAATGTGCTCCGATCTGTGCTTTTACAGGGCAGGGACAAGAGAAGTACATAACAAGCTTGAGAAAAACAGGTGGGTGCATCTCTCTCCCATGGTCGCCTTTATTAAACAAAGAGGGTTGAGCTCTTTGCACAGGGCAGTTTAAGGTTATGGTGAGATTAGGTGTACACTATTATTGCCCACGTCTTTTTTCAACCGAGTTGCTTACTTACTTCTCTGTCCTGTTCTAAAAACAAATTATACTCTCATTTATTCACTTATGGCTTATCTATAGATATTGCATTTGTCAGACAATAATTTATGATATCTTGGACTTGTTAATGGCTTTGAATGTTCTGCTTATTCTGATAGTACTTCAATGTACTGTAGTAGTAGGGATATAATGCCCAAAACGGGACTAAGCAGAGGAGTTGTTGCCTACCCCTGCCTGCATCCTTTGTCACAGACGTTTTACCATGAAACAGAAACCTGTTCAATGTGTCTCATGTTGGTAGTAATTATTTATTAGTATTTTTTTATTTTTAAGCTGAATGTGTGAAATCACGCCTTGTCCTGCCTCTTCCTCTCACTAACAGACGCTTCTCTCTCTACCTCTTTCATCCTTCCATCCCTTACTCTCAGACGTGCTCACCTGAAGGAGTGCTTTGACACCCTGAAGAAAAACATCCCCAATGCAGATGAGAAGAAGACTTCTAACCTCAGTGTCCTGAGGAGCGCCCTCAGATATATACAGGTAAGCAAGCTAGAAGAACTGCATGGTTGAGCAAAGGATAAACTACTACTGAATGGAATTCGCTGTTGAATTCAGTGTAGATTTTCACTCTGTGTTTTCACCGTTGAGTTTACTGTGGATTTTCTAGTTTTCCAATGTTTATTGTTTCCCTGTCAAGGGAAGTAGGGTCAGTTTTGTTTCAAACTTTGTAGGCCTTGTTTGAAGAAGCATTTTTCCAGTAACAAAGTTGGAGTTTATACTTGTGGATAATTTAATAAGTGTTGTTGGCAGACAGTGTACTGCAGGGTAGGCAACTAGATTCAGCCACAGTCCGATTTTTGTCAGAGTGGATGGTTCATGGGCCGGAACGTAATTATAATAATTTGTACACTGCAAATTGACCAAACTAATCCCAAAAGAGATTCTATTTGAAAATAACAATAATTTCATACCTTGATTACATTGAGACACGATCACGTCTCTTTTTTAATTTGTGGGAATACTTGGTGAACAGATTGACTAAATTAAACCATTTTTTTAAAGCAGAATTTCTATTGATTTTAGTTTTTTAGTTTTTGTGACCAAAATGTTATTTAGTTTTGTCAGTTTTCTTTTTTAGAGTGGGGTTACAGGTACAACAACTTATTTTTTGGGCCCAAAACTAAAATCCAAAATAAATCACTCACAGGCCGGTGTTGGCCCGCGGACCGCCTGTTGCTGACCCCTGGTGTACTGTCTGGTGGTGTTGCTAGGAAGTCAGGGTGTCTAGCTCTTCATCTCCAGCTGATTGTGTGTGAACTATGCCTAATCCACCACACCTTATTGTGTGGGCAAACTGTCTGTTACAAAATTGTTGTAAATGGCAATTAATTTCAGATGGACTAAGATAACAATCCTTATTTGTTTTACTGCCAGGAGGCTAATATTGGAGCTGCTTTGTATATCCTTAGGTCCTTGGTGTTCTTGGCAACGTCATTAGATCTGGTCTGGTTAGTCCAGGGGAGGGAAGGTCGTTTCTAGTCTCTAGCAGAAAGCTAAACTTTCTGGATATGCTCTGCTGCCCGGGGTATAGGCGGACCAGAGAGTCTCCAATGAAAATGTACAAAGAGTTCATTAAAACCCTTTTGAAAGATTATTAAAGCTAATCTTTTATCAAAGCTTTTTATTAAGATTATCTGATGTGATTAAAACCTTTCAATGGACTTTTGTGGTTGAAACAGGAATTACTATAATTAATAGTGGTTCAATGGGTCATGATGTGTGATACAGGCAGGTAGTATATCGAAAGCTATGTGTAAGCAGAGAGCAGGTGACCGGTGTACAAAGGTCTTCGACTAACCTACTTTAACTCAGGAGTGATGTGATAGTTCCCATTGCTATGTTCGTTGTGTATGTGCTTGTTAAATATACACACACACACTTCTTTCCTGTGCACCTCTACCTCTGGTGCTGGTGAGGATCTGATCTTGTATGTTGGTGGCAGCGCTGGAGTTCTCCTCCCTGGGAGGTGCATGGAGGGGGGCGAGGCAGGGCTAAGAGAGAGGGGAAACTAGGGCAGTGTGGGTGCACAGAGAACTCATGTCACCCAATCTCCCTCCTCCCCCTGCCTCCCTCTCTGTGTGATGAGGGAACGCCGTCTTGTTAGTGTGTCGTGCTCGACTAGCAGACTGACCCAGCAACCCCCCCCCACCCCCTCTTGACAGCCAAGCTGGATTTAGGGTGTATTTAAAGCACATGTACCGGCCAGGAAACAAACAAACAACTACAGACATTTTCCACTCTTTATGTATTTAAACTAGCATGGTCCTTCATTTTTAGTTATTGGAATTTAAAGTGAAGAGGGAAAACCAGCTTAAATAATGCACTTTTGCAGGACTGAATACGGGTTAAAGAAATATCTTGAATTACTTGTACTGTAGGTTGTAAACTCCCACCAGTCTCTGAAGGCATAATAAGTATGTGACATAGGCCTTAATGTGCGTAGTTGCTTAATGTTGCCAGTGCTATAACACCCCAGTAGTAGAAGTCGTGCTGAGTCACGCAGTTCTATTCCATAATTTTTATTGGTTGAGCTCCAGTAGTGTTGGGTTGGGGGCAGAGCAAGGGAGGGGTGAGAAGAAGAGTAGAGGGAGGAAAGAGATGGAGGGAGGGGTGTTTAAAACAGCGTGTGCTCTCTGTCGTTCCGACATGGGCTGTACGGTGCAGGGCAGGCACGCGTTTCCTGACTGCACGCGCCTCTCTCTCCCCCTGCATGCCCCCTCCTGATCCCATCTCTTCCCCCTTTTTGTTACTTTAGGCAGGGGGGTGGGGCAGTCTGCTAATGTGACCAATGAGCACCAGACCAGAGAGGTTGAATAAGAGGATTTGGACAGAGGATTACTTTTCATTTGATTCATCTTTGGGCAGTGATGCTGGCAGCCCTTTGTCTGTCTGTCTGTCAGTCAGTCATCTTTGTTGAACATCATGGCCCCCTGGGTAGGAGTGCTGATCTAGGATCAGTTTTGCCTTTCAGATCATAATGAATAAGATTATTTGGTCAGGAGTGAGACACTTTATGAATACAAACTCTGATCATGTTATCTCCAGGCCGGGTCTCTTATCAGAGCATGTCTCTTTTTTTCCACTGAGGTTACTGTCACTGTGAGGTTACTTCTCGCCAACAGCCACTCTGCTGAGAAGTCAAGTCACACTTCCTTGTTTCATTTCTTCCTCCTTTCGTAGAAGTGACTGAGTGAGTAAGCTAGAGACCAAACCGACGAGGAACTTGCATATAAGGCTGCCTGCAAGCAGATTTTTCCTTCCCATGCTTCTTGGTTTGAGCTGTTTTTCTCAATACATTTTCTCCTACAGTAGTTTGTTGTCGTATGTGTTAGGCTATATTAGTTATTTAGATTGTACTACTTTACGACTTCCTGAGATGTGGTCTGTGCTGTCTAACATGGAATGTGTTTCTCTATCTGACCTAATTGCTGCAGATTGATATAATGCGTATTAAAATGGCTGTGTGTGAGAAAGAGAGCGCGGCTGTGTACTCTATGCTGCGCCATGGCTGGAACTCTTAAACCCTGGAGTGCTCAGCACTGGGGCTCCTCCCTCTTTCCTCTCTTCTTTCATCCCTCCCTCCTGCCTCACTCTGCTCACAGGGCCACATGAGCAGAGAGCACATGGCTACCCTGAGCTTTGTGACGTCACCCCCCCCTAAAGGGCCTCTCCTCCTCGCCCCGCCCATACCTGGAACAGACACCGCTACAGCCACAGCTCAGTGCTAGAGCTAGCTAGCTCCTCTCCTGGAACTGCCTGCGAGGGAGGCTTAGCTAGCCACCAACTGGAGGGAGGGTGAAAAGAGGGAGGGCGGGTGGAAAGAACGAGATTGAGATGGGAGGGTGGAAAGAGGGAGAGGGAGGGAGGGGACATGCACAGTCAGTCGTAAACACCAGGCTCGTTTTACCCAGCCTATTAGATTTCACTGGCGGCAGAACGACTCTGACGGAACCTGTTTGGGAAGCAGAAGAGCTGTGTGAAGAAGCTGTGCTGTTGGAGGGGAAATATGCTGTTCCATGTGGTGGGGAAAGCTGCTCATGTCAGCTACAGATCATATACAGTGGGGGAAAAAAGTATTTAGTCAGCCACCAATTGTGCAAGTTCTCCCACTTAAAAAGATGACAGAGGCCTGTAATTATCATCATAGGTACACGTCAACTATGACAGACAAAATGAGGGAAAAAAATCCAGAAAATCACATAGTAGGATTTTTTATGAATTTATTTGCAAATTATGGTGGAAAATAAGTATTTGGTCAATAACAAAAGTTTCTCAATACTTTGTTATATACCCTTTGTTGGCAATGACACAGGTCAAATGTTTTCTGTAAGTCTTCACAAGGTTTTCACACACTGTTGCTGGTATTTTGGCCCATTCCTCCATGCAGATCTCCTCTAGAGCAGTGATGTTTTGGGGCTGTCGCTGGGCAACACAGACTTTCAACTCCCTCCAAAGATTTTCTATGGGGTTGAGATCTGGAGACTGGCTAGGCCACTCCAGGACCTTGAAATGCTTCTTACGAAGCCACTCCTTCGTTGCCCGGGCGGTGTGTTTGGGATCATTGTCATGCTGAAAGACCCAGCCATGTTTCATCTTCAATGCCCTTGCTGATGGAAGGAGGTTTTCACTCAAAATCTCACGATACATGGCCCCATTCATTCTTTCCTTTACACGGATCAGTCGTCCTGGTCCCTTTGCAGAAAAACAGCCCCAAAGCATGATGTTTCCACCCCCATGCTTCACAGTAGGTTCCTGGTCCCTTTGCAGAAAAACAGCCCCAAAGCATGATGTTTCCACCCCCATGCTTCACAGTAGGTATGGTGTTCTTTGGATGCAACTCAGCATTCTTTGTCCTCCAAACACGACGAGTTGAGTTTTTACCAAAAAGTTCTATTTTGGTTTCATCTGACCATATGACATTCTCCCAATCCTCTTCTGGATCATTCAAATGCACTCTAGCAAACTTCAGACGGGCCTGGACATGTACTGGCTTAAGCAGGGGGACACGTCTGGCACTGCAGGATTTGAGTCCCTGGCGGCGTAGTGTGTTACTGATGGTAGGCTTTGTTACTTTGGTCTCAGCTCTCTGCAGGTCATTCACTAGGTCCCCCCCGTGTGGTTCTGGGATTTTTGCTCACCGTTCTTGTGATCATTTTGACCCCACGGGGTGAGATCTTGCGTGGAGCCCCAGATCGAGGGAGATTATCAGTGGTCTTGTATGTCTTCCATTTCCTAATAATTGCTCCCACAGTTGATTTCTTCAAACCAAGCTGCTTACCTATTGCAGATTCAGTCTTCCCAGCCTGGTGCAGGTCTACAATTTTGTTTCTGGTGTCCTTTGACAGCTCTTTGGTCTTGGCCATAGTGGAGTTTGGAGTGTGACTGTTTGAGGTTGTGGACAGGTGTCTTTTATACTGATAACAAGTTCAAACAGGTGCCATTAATACAGGTAACGAGTGGAGGACAGAGGAGCCTCTTAAAGAAGTTGTTACAGGTCTGTGAGAGCCAGAAATCTTGCTTGTTTGTAGGTGACCAAATACTTATTTTCCACCATAATTTGCAAATAAATTCATAAAAAGTCCTACAATGTGATTTTCTGGATTTTCTTTTCTCAATTTGTCTGTCATAGTTGACGTGTACCTATGATGAAAATTACAGGCCTCTCTCATCTTTTTAAGTGGGAGAACTTGCACAATTGGTGGCTGACTAAATACTTTTTTCCCCCACTTGATGTTGCAAATATGAGTATTTCTCTGTTTTTAAGAGTATTTTTCACGGGCAGAGATTTTAACCTAGTTCCATTTCCATGTCCAATTCTTTGAATGGATGATTTCAGTTTTTGACATTTTCAAATTCATTCAGTCTAGAGGGAGAAAAAACGGAGAGAGGAAATCACAGAATTTGAAGTGTTACAAAGCGTTTTATTTTCTAATTTGTTTCCAGGCCTTTGTGTAAGGATTTACGTCATCAAAAGAGGCCTATGTAATACTGAAGTGGGTTACCTAGTTGTTCAGTTCTGATTCTGAATGACAATTATTTTCAAAGCAGCCCCAGATCCTATCTCATCTCATTGGGAGGTTCAGACGGTGTGTTTTGAGGAGTGTGTTTTTGGGTCAGGGTCCCCTGTGAGGGTGTGAGCTTTGACCCAAGCTGGAATAGTGGAATATTACTTCTGTCTGTCCTCAATGTGGTGTGTATTCCTGGTCAGTTTTAGCTCTGTGTGTGTATTACTGTGTGTGTGTGTGTGTGTGTGACTGTGTGTTCATGGTCAGGGTTAGTGTACTAGGTTGTGTGTGTTCCTTGGTCAGGTCCTATTCCATCTGTAAGTGGTTTAACACAGAGGGGAATTAACCATGGCTGAACATTAGTGCAATTTACTAGGAGACCAATTGAAAGGGGTCTGAACCTGGGGGAGCCTGGAAATGGACTCAGGGCACTTTGGAAAGTCTTTGTCGTTGTTGATTCAGACTCAAATGAGGCTACTTGTTGAGGTAATCTAGGCAGACTTAGGTTTGTGTCCCAAATTACACTTTATTCCCTATATAGAGCACTACTTTTGACCAGAGCTACTATGGGCCCTGGTCAAAAGTATGTCCTATGTGGCTCAGTTGGTAGCAATGCGCTTGCAACGCCAAGGGTCTTGGGTTCGATTCCCGCTGGGGCCACCCATACGAACATGTATGCACACGTGACTGTAAGTCGCTTTGGATAGTCCCGTGTAGCTCAGTTGGTAGAGCATGGCGCTTGCAATGCCAGGGTTGTGGGTTCGATTCCCACGGGGGGCCAGTATGAAAAATGTATGCACTCACTAACTGTAAGTCGCTCTGGATAAGAGCGTCTGCTAAATGACTAAAATGTAAAATAAAAGCTTCTGCTAAATGGCGTATTCTATTCTATGTTCTGTTAGTGCACTAAATAGGGAGCCATTTGGGACTCCGCGTTAGTCTCAGTAGACTGATGCCTCCAGTATCTCTTGTTTGAAGTATTGTCATTGCAGTGTTGGAACAGCATCTTGGTCAGGTTTGAACCATCACTTTTTCAACAGCAACAGAATTATTCTGCTCTTCTCAGTTTTAAGAAAACATACTGTTCCTTTAGCCATGCTGTCACTGTCACAGCAAGCTTACACGTTGTTGTGCCATTTCCTCCAGCTCTGTCTGTATTAAGTACCTTTGACTCACACTGTCTGATAGCTTGCATATAACGGATGTTAGAAAAGTGAGTTCAGTTCCACACAGCCGGTAATTGCCACTCCATCCCCTGCCAACCGGTGAGGAAGTGAGAATTGAGCAGACGAGAGGGCACGGTTGCGGTTTGTATTGTTCATGGTGATCTCATTCTAGCAAAGCACAGTGCCAGTCAGAAAGATTGAAAAGGATTTTGATAGTGACCTTTTGTCCTCAGCAACACTTCTTCATAGTGACATTGCACCAAGGTCCGGAACACCACGACTATATAACCCATTACATGGCAAGAACTTACCACCCAGTTTGAACACAGACACATGCAAACAGCCCTTACGTGCACCCTAAAGTAAGTATTTGGGGCTATTTCCACTAAAAAGCGACTCCTTTTGTTTTGTTTTTTCTATTCCAACTTGGGACCCAGTGAGAAGACAACACAAAGGTTTACGGTTACTGATGATCACCACAAACGCTAGTCAAAAGACCAGTGTTCCCAAGGCTAGTTAGCTAGCGCCGTGCACTTAAGGAGTAGCTTGTATGCAATGTGTTTGGCTGCCTGCTGCTCACGCTATCTAGCTTAGGCTAACCTAGCGCAATCTGTCTCGGCGGTGCTGCAAAAGTGAGTCAGTGAGTACAGCCTGGCTGCTACCCCTCCTCCTCCCCCGCTACTCTCCCTCCCTCTCTCTGCGGGGCCATGTGCTCAGCACCTGCATTGCATGTCACGCCGCCTGAGCGGTGTTTACACACACACACACACACACACACACGGCCCAGTCCTGCTCTATTTTCTTTCTCACAAACAGATAGAAACGAGGCGCCACTATTCCTCTTAGGAAAGGAGGGGGAAGGGAGGGGGTCATGTTTGTCACGTGCAAATGAAACCAAGCTAATTGTAACCCTGTCTCCCACTCCCTTTCTTCCCCTTGTCGTAGCATGGACTGCCTTGTCGTAGCATGGACTGCCTTGTCGTAGCTGCATGGCTCTTTTTGTCTGTGTTTCTAAGGATGGTAGGGACTTAGTAGTAGGTGGATCAATACAAATCAAATCAAATTTTATTGGCCACATGCGCCGAATACAACAGGTGCAGACATTACAGTGAAATGCTTACTTACAGCCCTTAACCAACAGTGCATTTATTTTTAATAAAAAAGTAGAATAAAACAAAGTGTTGAGAAAAAAAGAGCAGAAGTAAAATAGAATAACAGTAGGGAGGCTATATATACAGGGGGGTACCGGTGCAGAGTCAATGTGCGGGGGCACCGGCTAGTTGAGGTAGTTGAAGTAATATGTACATGTGGGTAGAGTTAAAGTGACTATGCATAAATAATTAACAGAGTAGCAGCAGTGTAAAAAGATGGGGTGGGGGGGGGGGTGGGGGGGGTGGGGGGGGCAGTGCAAATAGTCCGGGTAGCCTTGATTAGCTGTTTAGGAGTCTTATGGCTTGGGGGTAGAAGCTGTTGAGAAGTCTTTTGGACCTAGACTTGGCACTCCGGTACCGCTTGCCGTGCGGTAGCAGAGAGAACAGTCTATGACTAGGGTGGCTGGAGTCTTTGACAATTTTGAGGGCCTTCCTCTGACACCGCCTGGTATAGAGGTCCTGGATGGCAGGAAGCTTGGCCCCAGTGATGTACTGGACGGTACGCACTACCCTCTGTAGTGCCTTATGGTCAGAGGCCAAGCAGTTGCCATACCAGGCGATGATGCAACCGGTCAGGATGCTCTCGATGGTGCAGCTGTAGAATTTTTTGAGGATCTGAGGACCCATGCCAAATCTTTTCAGTCTCCTGAGGGGGAATAGGCTTTGTCGTGCCCTCTTCACGACTGTCTTGGTGTGTTTGGACCATGATAGTTCGTTGGTGATGTGGACACCAAGGAACTTGAAGCTCTCAACCTGTTCCACTACAGCCCTGTCGATGAGAATGGGGGCGTGCTCAGTCCTCTTTTTTTTCCTGTAGTCCACAATCATATCCTTTGTCTTGGTCACGTTGAGGGAGAGGTTGTTATCCTGGCACCACATGGCCAGGTCTCTGACCTCCTCCCTATAGGCTGTCTCATCGTTGTTGGTGATCAGGCCTACCACTGTTGTGTCGTCTGCAAACTTAATGATGGTGTTGGAGTTGTGCCTGGCCATGCAGTCATGGGTGAACAGGGAGTACAGGAGGGGACTGAGCACGCACCCCTGAGGGGCCCCCGTGTTGAGGATCAGTGTGGCAGATGTTGGCCCGTCAGGAAGTCCAGGATCCAGTTGCAGAGGGAGGTGTTTAGTCCCAGGATCCTTAGCTTAGTGATGAGCTTTGAGGGCACTATGGTGTTGAATGCTGAGCTGTAGTCAATGAATAGCATTCTCACGTAGGTGTTCCTCTTGTCCAGGTGGGAAAGGGCAGTGTGGAGTGCAATAGAGATTGCATCATCTGTGGATCTGTTGGGGCGGTATGCAAATTGGAGTGGGTCTAGGGTTTCTGGGATAATGGTGTTGATGTGAGCCATGACCAGCCTTTCAAAGCACTTCATGGCTACAGACGTCAGTGCTACGGGTCGGTAGTCATTTAGGCAGGTTATCTTAGAGTCCTTGGGCACGGGGACTATGGTGGTCTGTTTAAAACATGTTGGTATTACAGACTCAGTCAGGGACATGTTGAAAATGTCAGTGAAGACACTTGCCAGTTGGTCAGCACATGCTCGTAGTACACGTCCTGGTAATCCGTCTGGCCCTGTGGCCTTGTGAATGTTGACCTGCTTAAAAGTCTTACTCACATCGGCTACAGAGAGCGTGATCATATAGTCATCCGGAACAGCTGGTGCTCTCATGCATGCTTCAGTGTTGCTTGCCTCGAAGCGAGCATAGAAGTGGTTTAGCTCGTCTGGAAGTCTTGTGTCACTGGGCAGCTCGCGGCTCTTTTTGTCTGTGTTTCTAAGGATGGTAGGGACTTAGTATTTTACATTTACATTTTAGTCATTTAGCAGACGCTCTTATCCAGAGCGACTTACAGTTAGTGAACACATTTATTTATTTATTTTATATACTGGCCCCCCGTGGGAATCGAACCCACAACCCTGGCGTTGCAAACGCCATGCTCTACCAACTGAGCTACATCCCTGCCGGCCATTCCCTCCCCTACCCTGGACGACGCTGGGCCAATTGTGCGCCGCCCCATGGGTCTCCTGGTCGCGGCCGGCTGCGACAGAGCCTGGATTCTAACCAGGATCTCTAGTGGCACAGTTTGCACTGCGATACAGTGCCTTAGACCACTGCGCCACTCAGGAGACAAACACCCAGTAGTAGGTGGATCAATACAGGCTGATACTAAAGAGGTGCTTCCATGCTTTCTCCGGGTTCTTGTCATGTGTTCTGTAGTGTCCATCTGCGGTTCTTGGTCTGTTTTATCAGGTACACCGTTTTGATCTAGTCTCACCCTAGCTGTTCCTGTGTGTTCTATGTTCTTGAATGGGGGTTGGGGCCGCTATCCTTGCTTGTGTAGACTACGGTTATTAGCTGGTAGTAGTTCAGCTTGCCTTGCAGAGTGTTTGACTTTCTCCAAGGACAGTATAGAACAGCCAAGTGCATACAGATGGCAACTACAGCTAGTATAGCAAGCAGATCGAGGTGTATCAATGGCTAGAAGCAGCTAGCTACTGGTTGGCATAGTGACAGAGGTGTGGCCATAGTCATTGTATCAGAGTGAGTTCAGTGGGTCTGGGTGTTTGTAGAGCAGTGAGTAGTTCATACAGCATCGCTTTCGCTCTCTCTCTGTCGCCCTCTCTCTCTGTCTGTATGAGTCATAGCACTAGGCACGCACAGCTGTGGGCCACAAAATTCCACTGTGTGTGTTCATGAGCATGCTTGCAAAAGACACCACACTCGCATTCACATACGACTGTCTCTGTGTTAGTGTATGGCTTTATGACTGCGTTCTACAATCGTTGTTTTAATGTTATAGCATTGTTTATTTGGTCACTGATGTATGTTTCTGATGCCTTTTTAATATTCTACCACGGTACAACTGATGCACTGGGACAATGTGCTGCTTATCACCTGATGGGTTGCCAAGGAAACAATAGTGGTTTTCAGCTGTTGCCGTGACAACAAAATGGGGGGGACTTAATTATTTCATTAGCTGAGACAAGGAATGCAGACAGGTCTGCGAGTAGAGGGCTGGGCTGGGGGGGGGGGGGGGGGGGTTGAGGGTCTTTCTAGGACAGGAACATAGGTGACTCAACACCAGCCAGTCAAGGGAGTCTGCAGCAGTACACCTTCTACTGGACTGAAAGAGCCTTAAACAACACCAGACTTGCGATCTTAATCGTTTTAACTCTACTCTACTCTAACATTTAAATCAAGACAGAATGACAGATAGCTCTAGACTGCACAACAGTCTCATCACACACACACACCTCTCCTTTCCTATAGGTTGCATAGTGTCATCACACACACCTCTCCTGACCTAATAGGCTGCATAGTCTTATCACACACACACCTCCTTTCATAGATGAGTCCAGCCTTCTTAGCCTGGTCTTGATTGGCTAGTCATGATTCTAGTCTTCTTAGCCTCGTTCTGATTGGTTAGTCATGATTCTAATCTTCTTAGCCTCGTTCTGAACCTATAAATCCAACACTAGTCGTAATTGGGCAATACCCTTTGGAGGAGGGAGAGTAAAACTTAATGTCTATGTCTCTCAAAGTCAATATAAAGGTTTCGTGTCCCGGTAGACTCCATCATGGTGTTCTTCCTAGTTGTTTTCTCTGTCTCCCAGGCAGACAGACAGACGGTATAATCTCTCTATCCCTGCTGCTCTCCCTCAGTACAGACCTGCCCCGCCCACTACAGCCTTTTTTGTCAGGCCTGTGTCAGCTGACCAGGAAAGATAAACTAGGTCAGAGAGCCTCTTTCCATACCCTCCCTCCCTCCTCTATCCAGGTCTCTCTGTGTCTGTTCTTCCTTTCACACAGTCATGCTCCCTGCCCGGTCATGGTGCTGGTGTAGGTTAATGTCTGTGTTGCTTCTGCTCGTCCAGTCAAAGGAAGCAACAGACATGGAACTTTTCAGACATGGAAATGGCTCTCCCAAGACTTTCTTTTAGACTGCTGTCAGTCCTATGAAATGGTCTTGAGTAATGCTTTCAGAGTAGTAAATGAGTGTCCATGTGGTTTAGAAAGATTGTGGGGACTAGCAAGAAGAGCAGAGAGGAAAATGGGAGGAGCCCACATAAGGAGGCATACACACACGGTCTCTGAGAGGAAGTTGATTCTTGTGTCTAACAACAGTAGTGCCACACTCAGAGAGTACTAGTTAGTTTTCCCACGGTGGATTTTCCTCTGCTCCTCTGGAATCCAGATGTTTCTGGTCCTGGTACAAGTCTCGGCCATGAATGGCTTCAGTCTGGCCAGGCTTTGCTTTCCTCTGCTAATCTCTCCCTGTTTGCACGCACTGCTCATCTCTCCCTTTAAATGGCTATATGAAGCTCCCATAAACATGAATGCAGCAGGAAGCCAGTTGCTCAGCTCAGCCATATATGTATATATTCTTAAATCCCATTCCTTACTAGTTTTGTGTGTATTGGGTATATGTTGTGAAATTGATAGATATTACTGCACTGTCGGAGCTAGAAGCACAAGCATTTCGCTACACCTGCTATAACATCTGCTAAACAAGTGTATGTGACAAATACAATTTGATTTGATTTGAAGTAGATGCAGTAGTGACTCCTAATGACCGTCTGAAGAAACATTATCTAGATACTACATTATCTATCGACTGTTGTAAACACTCAGGATGTGGCCATGGTGTCGTTCTGACGATAATATAACATTGACATAGTTCCTGTACAGGGCGAGAGAAGGATCTCTTGGTCAGAGTATATAGCCCTGTCTCCATCTCAACATGGATGGATGTGGAGACCGTGGGGTCAGGAAATAGTGTTTGTTATCATTGGTTGTGTGATGTACTGTCACAGACAGTAGTGAACAGCATAACAAATAAACTGATAAGGAGCAGCTTGTTTGTCAAGTTAATGAGAAGAGAAAAATGGTTTATGCATGTGGTCCCCGCGGCTGTTGCTTAAACAGCAGAGGTCTGGATAGCAGATGTTTTTTTATTGGAGCTTTTACTTTACATGAACGCAAATGGGGAGTGTTACGACATGGCATATCATATACAGTCGGGAGAACAAGTATTTGATACACTGCCGATTTTGCAGGTTTTCCTACTTTCAAAGCATGTAGAGGTCTGTAATTTGTATCATAGGTACACTTCAACAAAAATCCAGAAAATCACATTGTATGATTTTTAAGTAATTAATTTGCATTTTATTGCATGGCATAAGTATTTGATACATCAGAAAAGCAGAACTTAATATTTGGTACAGAAACCTTTGTTTACAATTACAGAGATCATACGTTTCCTGTAGGTCTTGACCAGGTTTGCACACAGCAGCAGGGATTTTGGCCCACTCCTCCATACAGACCTTCTCCAGATCCTTCAGGTTTCGGGGCTGTCGCTGGGCAATACGGACTTTCAGCTCCCTCCAAATATTTTCTATTGGGTTCAGGTCTGGAGACTGGCTAGACCACTCCAGGACCTTGAGATGCTTCTTACAGAGCCACTCCTTAGTTGCCCTGGCTGTGTGTTTCGGGTCGTTGTCATGCTGGAAGACCCAGCCACGACCCATCTTCAATGCTCTTACTGAGGGAAGGAGGTTGTTGGCCAAGATCTCGCGATACATGGCCCCATCCACCCTCCCCTCAATTTTTATTTTATTTTTATTTAACCTTTATTTAACCAGGTAAGCCAGTTGAGAACAAGTTCTCATTTACAACTGCGACCTAGCCAAGATAAAGCATAGTAGTGCGATTAAAAACAACAACACAGAGTTACATATGGGGTAAAAAACATAAAGTCAAAAATACAACAGAAAATATATATACAGTGTGTGCAAATGTAGCAAGTTATGGAGGTAAGGCAATAAATAGGCTATAGTGCAAAATAATTACAATTAGTATTAACACTGGAATGCTAGATGTGCAAGAGATTATGTGCAAATAGAGATACTGGGGTGCAAAAGAGCAAAATAAATAACAATATAGGGATGAGGTAGTTGGGTGGGCTAATTTCAGATGGGCTGTGTACAGGTGCAGTGATCGGTAAGGTGCTCTGACAACTGATGCTTAAAGTTAGTGAGGGAGATAAGTCTCCAGCTTCAGAGATTTTTGCAATTCTTTCCAGTCATTGGCAGCAGAGAACTGGAAGGAATGGCGGCCAAAGGAGGTGTTGGCTTTGGGAATGACCAGTGAGATATACCTGCTGGAGCGCAGACTACGGGTGGGTGCTGCTATGGTGACCAATGAGCTAAGATAAGGCGGGGATTTGCCTAGCAGTGATTTATAGATGGCATGGAGCCAGTGGGTTTGACGACGAACATGTAGTGAGGACCAGCCAACAAGAGTGTACAGGTCACAGTGGTGGGTAGTGTATGGGGCTTTGGAGACAAAACGGATGGCACTGTGATAGACTACATCCAATTTGCTGAGTACAGTGTTGGAGGCTATTTTGTAAATGACATCGCCGAAGTCAAGGATCGGTAGGATAGTCAGTTTTACGAGGGCATGTTTGGCAGCATGAGTGAAGGAGGCTTTGTTGTGAAATAGGAAGCCAATTCTAGATTTAACTTTGGATTGGAGATTCTTAATGTGAGTCTGGAAGGAGAGTTTACAGTCTAACCAGACACCTAGGTATTTGTAGTTGTCCACATACTCTAGGTCAGACCCGTCGAGAGTGGTGATTCTAGTCGGGTGGGCGGGTGCCAGCAGCGTTCGATTGAAGAGCATGCATTTAGTTTTACTAGTGTTTAAGAGCAGTTGGAGGCTACTGAAGGAGTGTTGTATGGCATTGAAGCTCGTTTGGAGGTTTGTTAACAGTGTCCAATGAAGGGCCAGATGTATACAAAATGGTGTTGTCTGCGTAGAGGTGGATCTGAGAGTCACCAGCAGCAAGAGCGACATCATTGATATACACGGAGAAAAAGAGTCAGCCCAAGAATTGAACCCTGTGGCACCCCCATAGAGACTGCCATAGGTCCAGACAACAGGCCCTCCGATTTGACACACTGAACTCTATCTGAGAAGTAGTTGGTGAACCAGGCGAGGCAGTCATTTGAGAAACCAAGGCTATTTAGTCTGCCAATAAGAATGCGGTGGTTGACAGAGTCGAAAGCCTTGGCCAGGTCGATGAAGACGGCTGCACAGTACTGTCTATTATCGATCGCGGTTATAATATCGTTTAGGACCTTGAGCGTGGCTGAAGTGCACCCATGACCAGCTCGGAACCGGATTGCATAGCGGAGAAGGTACGGTGGGATTCGAAATGGTCGGTGATCTGTTTGTTAACTTGGCTTTCAAATACTTTCGAAAGGCAGGGCAGGATGGATATAGGTCTGTAACAGTTTGGATCTAGAGTGTCGCCCCCTTTGAAGAGGGGGATGACCACGGCAGCTTTCCAATCTCTGGGGATCTCAGACGTTACGAAAGAGAGGTTGAACAGACTAGTAATAGGGGTTGCGACAATTTCGGCGGCCAGTTTTAGAAAGAAAGGGTCCAGATTGTCTAGCCCAGCTGATTTGTAGGGGTCCAGATTTTGCAGCTCTTTCAGAACATCAGCTGTCTGAATTTGTGTGAAGGAGAAGCGGGGGGGGGCATGGGCAAGTTGCAGCGGAGGGTGCAGAGTTGGTGGCCGGGGTAGTGGTAGCCAGGTGGAAAGCATGGCCAGCCGTAGCAAAATGCTTGTTGAAGACCACAATACGGTGCAGTCGTCCTGTCCCCTTTGCAGAAAAGCATCCCCAAAGAATGTTTCTTCCACCTCCATGCTTCACGGTTGGGATGGTGTTCTTGGGGTTGTACTCTTCCTTCTTCTTCCTCCAAACACGGCGAGTGGAGTTTAGACCAAAAAGCTCTATTTTTGCCTAATCACACCACATGACCTTCTCCCATTCCTCCTCTGGATCATCCAGATGGTCATTGGCAAACTTCAGACGGGCCTGGACATGCGCTGGCTTGATCAGGGGAACCTTGCGTGTGCTGCAGGATTTTAATCCATGACGGCGTAGTGTGTTACTAATGGTTTTCTTTGAGACTGTGGTCCCAGCTCTCTTCAGGTCATTATCCAGGTCCTGCCGTGTAGTTCTGGGCTGATCCCTCACCTTCCTCATGATCATTGATGCCCCACGAGGTGAGATCTTGCATGGAGCCCCAGACCGAGGGTGATTGACCGTCATCTTGAACTTCTTCCATTTTCTAATAATTGCGCCAACAGTTGTTGCCTTCTCACCAAGCTGCTTGCCTATTGTCCTGTAGCCCATCCCAGCCTTGTGCAGGTCTACAATTGTATCCCTGATGTCCTTACACAGCTCTCTGGTCTTGGCCATTGTGGAGAGGTTGGAGTCTGTTTGATTGAGTGTGTGGACAGGTGTCTCTTATACAGGTAACGAGTTCAAACAGGTGCAGTTAATACAGGTAATGAGTGGAGAACAGGAGGGCTTCTTGAAGAAAAACTAACAGGTCTGTGAGAGCCGGAATTCTTACTGGTTGGAAGGTGATCAAATACTTATGTCATGCAATAAAATGCAAATTATTACTTAAAAATCATACAACGTGATTTTCTGGATTTCTTTTTTAGATTCCATCTCTCACAGTTGAAGTGTACCTATGATATAAATTACAGACCTCTACATGCTTTGCAAGTAGGAAAACCTGCAAAATCGGCAGTGTATCAAATACTTGTTCTCCCCACTGTATATTATGAATGGGTAAACTAAAATGTACACATTGAGGACCGATGACACCTGGAATAGTCTCCAGCCAAGAGCGAAAATGTTCATATTACTGGCTCTATTGACGTGAAACTTAAGTTCAAAGTTATTATTATAATCAAATTGCAGAATGAAATCAAGCTCTTTGAAATATTTGATTGTCCCATTATAAATGTGATTGTAGTGTGTGTTCAAACTGTACTGAGCCCTCTCCTCTCTTCCTCTGTGTCTTACAGACGTTGAAGCGGAAGGAGAAGGAGTACGAGCATGAGATGGAGAGACTGGCACGGGAGAAGATCGCTACTCAGCAGCGATTGGCTGAGCTGAAGAACGAGCTGAGCCAATGGATGAATGTCATGGAGATCGACCGTGTTCTCAGACAGACGGTTCAACCAGAAGATGACCAGGCTTCTACCTCTACTGCCTCAGGTACGCTCAATCAATCGATTAATCAATCAGTCAAATTAATTTAGAAAGCCATTTATAAATAAATAATGACACTAAACGGTTTTCACCAACTTTACAGTAACCATAATTGTAACGTGTACCTGGGTCTTTCTATAAACTAGGGTACCAGTGAGGATTTCTTACACGGAACATGTTACAGCTGTTGATAAGTTATTGATAATAATCTGATATTTTTTTTCATGTCATTACATTAAACCTCTTGGATGTAAAGCTCCATGTTTTGGGAACCTGCGTGGTTCTGGTACCGGTTCCGACCGACATTTTCGCTTAAATCGATCTGTGGACACCATAGATCAAAATGGGATGCATTGAGCGGTAGCATTGATTCTCATGGACACAGGATTATGTTTATTTTATGCCTGTGTGAAGCAGGATGTGAAATCTGACACCACTTGAAGCTGGGATGTCCCTTCTACCATTTCATTCGCTCTTCCAACTGTCCATCAACTCCTGGCGGAACCCTGTGTCACAGCCACTAACAATCCATACATAATAGCGCAGCAGGAGAGAGTGGTTTCGTCGCTGTAGCATATTCCGAGATCGATTTATAGCCAGTAATCTACAAAAATTAATAGATTTTAAACAAAAAACACTTTCTGTTTGTCATAGACGGACCAGGTTAATATGAGATGAAAGGCGTGTTCCTAACGAGTTCCGGAAGCCAAGCTAGAGCTCTGTGAGACGTTCACAGAGATGGGGGCAGACCTTTTGATCAAGAGACCTTTAGAAAATATGCACATTTCTCTAAGACTAAACATTCAAATATGTATTTTAAGGTGAAATCTTATGTCATTTTATATTTTGATTATACTATATTTAGAAAGCATATGTCATTTCAAGCCTTATTCATACAGTTTTGTTCAATAGGAAATAAATAATATAACATATTTCATAATTGTATCATATTTGTACTGTGCTTGAGCTTGTGTCCTCAAAAGTGACTACACCTCAGCAATTTATAACATATTTTACCAGAAAGGTGAGATTCTGAACCTTTCTTAGAGTATGCAGCATTACTAGTTATTGTTTATGCCCCTCTCATGATAAATAATTACTTGTGTGGATTATGTAGATTACATTTTCGATTACATTTAACTGGTTTAAGATCTAAGGGGGGATCATAGCTATATTCAATTCACGAGTTGATTTAAAACAAATGTGTAACCCTTTATCATGGTTGGTGTCTTGACTGATTTGTCCAGAATCGTGTGACATAAAACATTACAACCCCTGTCTGTTGTGGACATAATGCCATAATGCAGGACATAATGCCATATGAATATATGTACTTTTTTTATTCACCACTTCAATTCAACTACAATGCCATTATATCAGCAATTTATGGCAGTGTAAGTTGTCATTGTATCATACACTACCGTTCAAAAGTTTGGGGACACTTAGAAATGTCCTTGTTTTCCATGAAAATATACATGAAATTTGTTTGAATAGGAAATATAGCAAAATGCATAGGAAATGTAGTCATTGACAAGGTTAGAAATAATGATTTTTAATATAAATAATAATTGTGTCCTTCAAACTTTGCTTTAGTCAAAGAATCCTCCATTTGCAGCAATTACAGCCTTGCAGACCTTTGGCATTCTAGTTGTCAATTTGTTGAGGTAATCTGAAGAGATTTCACCCCATGCTCCCTGAAGCACCTCCCACAAATTTGATTGGCTTGATGGGCACTTACGTACCATACAGTCAAGCTGCTCCCACAACAGCTCAACAGGGTTGATATCCGGTGACTGTGCTGGCTACTCCATTATAGACAGAATACCAGCTGACTGCTTCTTCCCTAACTAGTTCTTGCATAGTTTGGAGCTGTGCTTTGGGTCATTGTCCTGTTGTAGGAGGAAATTGGCTCCAATCAAGCGCAGTCCACAGGGTATGGCTTGGCGTTGCAAAATGGAGTGATAGCCTTCCTTCTTCAAGATCCCTTTTACCCTGTACAAATCTCCAACTTTACCACCACCAAAGCACCCCCAGACCATCACATTGCCTCGATGCTTGACAGATGGCATCAAGCCATCACTCCTCCAGCATCTTTTCATTTAGTCGCCTCTTCACTGTTGACGTTGAGACTGGTGTTTTGCGGGTACTATTTAATGAAGCTGCCAGTTGAGGACCTGTGAGGCGTCTGTTTCTCAAACTAGACACTCTAATGTATTTGTCCTCTTGCTCAGTTGTGCACCGGGGCCTCCCACTCCTCTTTCTATTCTGGTTAGAGCCAGTTTGCGTTGTACGATATCTTCAGTTTCTTGGCAATTTCTCGCATGGAATAGCCTTCATTTCTCAGAACAAGAATAGACTGACTAGTTTCAGAAGAAAGTTCTTTGTTTCTGGCCATTTTGAGCCTGTAATCGAACCCACAATTGCTGATGCTCCAGATACTCAACTAGTCTCAAGAAGGCCAGTTTTATTGCTTCTTTAATCAGCACAACAGTTTTCAGCTGTGCTAACATAATTGCAAAAGGGTTTTCTAATGATCAATTAGCCTTTTAAAATGATAAACTTGGATTAGCAAACACAACATGCCATTGGAACATTTAAATTAGACATTGAACTTGAACCCTGTAAGAATCCTGGATCTAGCTGTCGGACAGTTTTTCTGTATAGAGATCTCAGAAATGCAGTGTAATTACGTAACATTTCATGTCTCCTTATGCTACAGGGTGAAAACAGTTTTCATGTTCACACAAATCCAAAATAATGTATCCATTGCAAAAATGTAATGCTTCTAAGCGAAAGTCACCTTACCTTGATACTTGACCTAAATCGATACTATTATTAACGTGGTTCTTCAATAATTATGCATAATACTTGTTGGATGCGCATTTGGTGTCCAGCTAATTACTTACTCCATGATATTTACACACATCATCTGATCCAGGAAATAATTTTCCGAAAGATGGTCAAGTGATGAACAGCTGTTGTGATGGAGCATGCAATGCAACAACAGCCCAAGTGCTGGAATAAAGGTGTTCGCAAGGAATGTCCAGAATATTTTTGTGTCTCGTGACATGCCGGTGAAGACCGTTGTGACTGGATCCACATTGGATCTAATATCCCTAGCGAATTTATGTTGATCATCTGTTGTTGTCTACTTGATTTACAGCAGGGTCTCATTTAGATTTTAAAGAGAAAGCATCAAGGTAATGAGTTTTTGTTTTTGTGCCTCGGATTGGACACAGTCTACTGTGCGCAATTGTGTAGGATAGATAATTATTCTGGATATAATGACAGCAAATTACATAGCCTAGTGGGCTTATTCATAATATGATCTGGTAATGAAATACATACATTTTGTTTTCCATGTTAGACCTGCAATTTTAAACAATACAAGGGGCTTGAAGTAGACTACATTAACTTGAATTTGGAGTTGGCTTCAACTTGGCTTTCCATAAAAAACCTTCCATTAAAAAAGGAACCTGGTTTTTGGTCACTTTCTCATTTAAAAAAAACGCGATGGTGAGATTCAAATGGTGAGGTTAATGCTACCGCTATTCATGGCTTTATGTCTGCCTGCGTCGGCCACATAGGTTACAGAAAAATCACCATACATGCATCCAATCTATTTAGTCAGGCAATGGCCACATTATTATTTTAGAATGTAATAATATATTAGGCCCTATATGTACAATTTATATAAATTATAAAATTGTATAACATTGAGGTCCTTGACAGTTACAATTAAGTGCTTGGAAAAAGTCCCTGAAAGTCTTTGAATGTAACTTGCCAATGTATGTATGAACCCTGCTGAAATGATGTATAGTCCTAGGGCTATGCTGTTGTATAGGTGGAGTTATGGGCCTGTTTGCATATATTCACTTTCATTCCTCTAAGTACACATGTGGAACTTCATGAAAATCATTTTTATATTAGTTTCAAACCATTTTGATCCCCCCCCCCAATGTCACACATTGGCCCCATTTATTTATAGTAAGACCCACCTACACTTGTTCCTACACAGTGTTATTTGCTTTTACAGTCGAGGGGAAAGTTAACATGAGCCCTCTTTCTATCTTTGTCACAGAGGGTGAAGACATCATGGATGACGACATGGATGATGAGAATGTTCCGGCATTGCCGACAGCCTTACCCACCGTGCCTCAACAAGCCATGCAGCCCGAGTTGTACAAGACTGTGACCCCAACTCCCATAACCCCCACCACCTCCAACCTCACCCAACACATCTCCATCCAACACAAGGCCCAAACGTACCCCCAGCCCCTGCTTCACCCACACCTGATGTCAGCCCTGCCTGTATCAGCTACGTTCTCCACCCCAACATCCAGCATCACCACCACCCCTATCCAGACCCTCCTGTCGGCTCACACACACATCGTAACCTCCCCTAGCACCCTCTTCCCGGCCCACACACACATGGTGACCGCCCCCGCTCACACACACATGGTAAAGGCCCCCAGCCTCCAGCCCACGGTCATCGCCCACGGCTCGGCTTCCCACGCCTCCGTCATCCAGGCCGTCAACCACGTCATCCAGGCCCAGGCTTCATCTGGAGGAGCCAAGCACATCACCCATTTAGCCCCCTCCTCCTCAGCCTCCATGCAGCTGGCCCCAGGGCACCACCACCACCAGCCCATCGGACACATCACCGTCCACCCTGTTACCCACCTGGGCCAGCACCATTTACCCTCCATCTACCCCCAGCCTGTGGCTGTCACCCAGCCAGCTATGGTGGGCCACATCACCCATACACTCACCCATGCCCAGGTCAATGGTACTGCCCCCAACCAGGGCACAACCACCATCATGGGAAAGCAGACGGGAGTTGGTGCCCAGGTGGTGACACATCACCCACAGCTGCTGAACCCTGTAACTATGGTGACCATGCCCTCATTCCCCGTTAGCACTCTGAAGCTAGCTTGATCTCTGAACCAGGCCAGAGCCATCCTGAAGCTAGCCTGAGAACCAAGTACATGAACAGGCCACACCCACCCTGAGCTGGCCAGAGTCGGGCCGAAGTCGGAGACAGACCTCCAGACCTGAAGACCATCGGCCCCAGAGCAGACCAGCCGGACAGGAGCCAGCCCAGAGCCAGAACCAGCCCAGACTCCGAGCCCAGGGCGACTGAGGCAGGCCCAGAGCGAGGCAGGCACCAGGACTACTGTACTGACAAACAAACGTAAAAGTCTTCATACTGAACGCAAGACGCAGTCCTCATATTCACTGATGATTCACAAACTGCATTATTAACTAACCAGTTGTCTATAAGAAGTAACTCAGAACATTCCAAAAAATAAACTATAAAAAACGTACATTAAATTATATAAATATATATTTATAATGGTTATGAGAGGTGAATGACAGCCGATGTTGTTGTTGTTTGGCTGAGTATGATGTCCAGGAGGATCATCTTGATGGTGTGTGATATTGTATATGATGCAGTGGAGAGAATCACATGAAGACATTTTCTCTGTCCCTCCTCCGTGTTCATATCTACAGAAGCAAAACAGTAGCTAATAGTGAGAAAAGGGCGTCATCCAATGTCGAAGGCAGTCAGACCTGCATATTTTCACTCAAGACCGGTTTTTATATTTCTGTAACAGGGTCATGTATTCCACAGCCAAGATAATTTACAAACCACACTAATGACTGGTGGTGCCACTATTAACTCTTATGAAAGCACCAAGATATTATATTTAACTGAAGTCTTCCACTGATGCCAGGCCCTATATCTACAAATCATCTGAGTAGGAGTGCTCATCTAGGATCTGTCCATATAATCTTATTCTTTATGATTTAAAAGGCTAAACTGATCCTAGATCATCACTCCTACTCTGAGATGCTTTGTGGATACGGGCCCTGTGACCATTCAGAAGGCAAAGCGTCCAATTTCAGATGGGGTCAGAGGGACTGGCTGTGGGTGTTGGTGTGTCAGCATTGGATCCATTTGTGTGTGTGTGCTCTAACAACTAAGCACCATAAAGGAGCACATTGAGAATATGATTGCAGGGACCTCCCCCTCTCTACCCAGGCACATGGCTGTGGAGTGAAACCTAAAACATGGCCTGGCCTAGCCTGTATCATGTGCTCCCCTCCCACTGCAGCACTGTCATATTGCTGCATACTCCACAGGCTCCACCTGGAGGTAAAAAAACACAACTGCATGTAAAACAACAAACTGAATGGTCATTGAGCAGACTATTTTGTAATAACATGTATTCAGTGGATGTGGCCCAAGTAGGAATCAAACCCAAATGCCGGCATTACCACCATGCATATATGAACCAAGTGATGTAAAGTGTAATTGTGAGGACTTTTCACAAAACTGAACAACCACTCAATTTAGCAGGAGGAAAATGACAGTACTCAATAGTGACGACTAATATTATTGCCTCATTATTTGTTTTACTAATAGCAGAGCAGGAGCCATCATAGCAGGCACAATCACTGCAAACTGTTCCTGGAGTATCTATCTATCTGTATGTGTAATAAAGTAGCTATATAGTAAGGAATGTCTTGTTTATTGATTGTGAGCAGTGATCTTGTTAAAACAAAGGCCTTTGGCAGTGTCATGGTAGAGCATTTAAGTGAATGTGGCAGTTTGGGGTTAAACGACATGGTAGGGAAGTCACCTACAAAGCACGCTGACATCTTATCCTCTTTCTCCACCAACCATATTCATTATCTGGTATCCCTGGCCATCAGGTTATAACGGTTATCTAGATTCTCATGTTCGCCTTCAACTGCACTATTATGACACGATCTGTGTAGCTGAGATTCAACTTCTAGCACTTTGATCTGCTACTTAACCCCAATTAAACTGGTTTACAACTGTACGTAGTCTCTTGGTGTTATTGCGAGTGCTGTTTCCCTCTTCACTTAATCTGAATGTTTTTATGTGTGTCTGTGAGAGGGGAACATTGGATATGGTATGGAACAGTATGTAAAGTTGAAGTCGGAAGTTTACATACACCTTAGCCAAATACATTTAAACTCAGTTTTTCACAATTCCTGACATTTAATCCTAGTAAAAATTGCCTGTTTTAGGTCAGTTAGGATCACCACTTTATTTTATGAATGTGACATGTCAGAATAATAGTAGAGTGATTTTATTTCAGCTTTTATTTATTTCATCACATTCCCAGTGGGTCAGAAGTTTACATACACTCAATTAGTATTTGGTAGCATTGCCTTTAAATTGTTTAACTTGGGTCAAACGTTTCGGGTAGCCTTCCACAAGCTTCCCACAATAAGTTGGGTGAATTTTGGCCCATTCCTCCTGACAGAGCTGGTGTAACTGAGTCAGGTTTGTAGGCGTCCTTGCTCGCACACGCTTTTTCAGTTCTGCCCACAAATGTTCTATAGGATTGAGGTCAGGGCTTTGTGATGGCCACTCCAATACCTTGACTTTGTTGTCCTTAAGCCATTATGCCACAACTTTGGAAGTATGCTTGGGGTCATTGTCCATTTGGAACCAAGCTTTAACTTCCCGACTGATGTCTTGAGATGTTGCTTCAATATATCCACATAATTTTCCTTCCTCATGATGCCATCTATTTTGTGTAGTGCACCAGTCCCTCCTGCAGCAAAGCACCCCCACAGCATGATGCTGCCACCCCCGTGCTTCACGGTTGGGATGGTGTTCTTCTGCTTGCAAGCACCCCCCTTTTCCTCCAAACATAACGATGGTCATTATGGCCAAACAGTTCTATTTTGGTTTCATCAGACCAGAGGACATTTCTCCAAAAAGTACGATCTTTGTCCCCATGTGCAGTTGCAAACCGTAGTCTGGCTTTTTTATGGCGGTTTTGGAGCAGTGGCTTCTTCCTTGCTGAGCGGCCTTTCAGGTTATGTCGATATAGGACTCGTTTTACTGTGGATATAGATACTTTTGTACCTGTTTCCTCCAGCATCTTCACAAGGTCCATTGCAGTTGTTCTGGGATTGATTTGCACTTTTTGCACCAAAGTACGTTCATCTCTAGGAGACAGAACGCGTCTCCTTCCTGAGCGGTATTACGGCTGCGTGGTCCCATGGTGTTTATACTTGCATACTATTGTTTGTACAGATGAACGTGGTACCTTCAAGCGTTTTGAAATTGCTCCCAAGGATGAACCAGACTTGTGGAGGTCTACAATTTTTTTTCTGAGGTCTTGGCTGATTTATTTTGATTCTCCCATGATGTCAAGCAAAGAGGCACTGAGTTTGAAGGTAGTCCTTGAAATACATCCACAGGTACACCTCCAATTGACGCAAATGATGTCAATTAGCCTATCAGAAGCTTCTAAAGCCATGACATCATTTTCTGGAATTTTCCAAGCTGTTTAAAGGCACAGTCAACTTGGTGTATGTAAACTTCTGACCCACGGGAATTGTGATACAGTGAATTATAAGTGAAATAATCTGTCTGTAAACAATTGTTGGAAAAATTACTTGTCATGCACAAAGTAGATGTCTTAACCAACTTGCCAAAACTATAGTTTGTTAACAAGAAATTTGTGGTGGTTGAAAAACAAGTTTTAATGACTCCAACCTAAGTGTATGTAAACTTCCGACTTCAACTGTATGTACACATTCAAGAATGGATTTGGTGTATTTTAAAGATTTGTTGCCTGTTTTTGCATGTAGATTGGTGATTTGGGTTCATATGTAGATTTTTATGCTAGCTGTTTTCTGGGAGAAGTACAGTGGTGGTTTTCACTGACCTCTTTCCACAACATTGCTATTGTGCGTTTTCCCTATGGAGAAAGTTCTATATTGCCTGTACATTTTGGGCTGCGTTTAGATCGAATTGTCCATTATGTAAAAAGAGGAAAAACATTTAAATGCATAGAAGTGGAAAATGCTTAAGATACTTAAATCTTATTACATTTATAAAAACGTATTGCTTTGGTCAATTTCATGGATAACATTTTTAGGGTGTGTGAAGAATCGTGGTGCTCAATCAGCAACACTAAGTAAGAGTAGTAGACAAAGTCTAGATGTAGATCTTTCCTTTTTTATTATTGTATTACAATTCATTACATCCTTTCTCTTCCTCAATGACTTTATAAAGGCCCGGATTGAATCCGAGCACGCTTTGTCCACAATGCACATTTGAAAGGCAATGTTCCCTCGTTAGCAGAGCCCACATTCACGGTAAACGCTGCATATGTCGGCTCAATCGGAAAATACCTTTAATTGGCGCATTGTCCAAATCTGCGATCGGATTGAATCCCGGCCAAAGTTATTTATTAGATAAATATATTCCAAAAAGTAGTATGACAAAAAGGACAACATTCTTTCTTATAAAATAAAATAAAATATATTTCACCCTTGTTCTGGTGTGCGATTTTGGACTGGGTCTCTGGGTGAATCGCTAAGATTTGATGGCCAGGAGGATAAACAAATATAATCATGGTCCAATGTTGCTTACAAAGAGAAATACAATCTGAAATAATATTTTATTCTAATTGAAATGTAAATTCTTAATTTTTCTTCCATATTCATATAATACAAATACAGTCCAAAACATATGTATCTTTATATCTCATGACTTGTTCCTTGTGAATGACCTCTGACATTTGCACCTGAGGAAAAATACAAATACAAACAAAACTATTCATCTTATTCATGACAAAAATTGTTTAAAGCCAAAATTATTGGGGGGGAAACATGGGAGTGGAAAATACCTAAATGATAAGTAATTACAATCTTGCTTTGAGTGCATAGTATAACTACTATAACAAAACCATCCACTCAAACGTATCTACTTAATGTACTTCAAAAGAGTGGGTGCATACTTACTGTCCACAATCAACATCATCATCATGAAGTCTAAGGAAAAATATAACCCATGAATGAAGCCTTGCTATGTCAGACACCTCTATAACAGACACTATATATACACACAAACAATCAGGCATGTCACTGAGGCGACCCGGTCATTCTCTAACCCCTGACATCCGGCAGAAAAGGGCCTTGTCCTGTCTGCTTGGTCCCCAAGCCAGCGTCTCTTGGCTGGAACATAAGTAGCTCAAGGCTGCTCTTTTCTCCTTTTGGGTCGTGTTCAGTAGAGAGAGAAAAAAAGAAAGTTCAACGGGGAGTTACTGCCTGAACATGTCCATTCAGTCCGATCTCGGGTTTTGCACTGCGGCTTTTAAAGGCAATGTTCCCCACGTTCACGGAGATCCTATCACGTAAATGTGCATGTCAGCTCAATCCGAAATTGCCTTTAAAATCGCAATGCCTATAATCGGATTGAATCCCGGTCTAAGAACACACTTTTTTTTTTCCGCTGCAAAAAGTTTTAACACGACCCTGAACACAACCCTGGAGAGCTGCAAGTCAACAATATTCCAGAAAACTCTCAAACTATCATTACAGATATCAGAACTAAGTAGTGGGTTTCCTTTTTCAGTTAAATACAAGAACGAACAACCCAGGATTGAGCATGCTGGAACTGGAAGCGTGAAGGAAATTAATTAGCCCTATTAACACACTACCGTTCAAAAGTTTGGGGTCACTTGGAAATGGCCTTGTTTTTGAAAGAAAAGCAATTTTTTTGTCCATTTAAAATAACATCAAATTGATCAGAAATACAGTGTAGACATTGTTAATGTTGTAAATGGCTATTGTAGCTGGAAACCGCTGATTGTTTTATGGAATATCTACATAGGCGTACAGAGGCCCATTATCAGCAACCATCAGTCCTGTGTTCCAATGGCACGTTGTGTTTGCTAATCCAAGTTTATCATTTTAAAAGGCTAATTGATCATTAGAAAACCCTTTTGCAATTATGTTAGCACAGCTGAAAACTGTTGTGCTGATTAAAGAAGCAATAAAACTGGCCTTCTTGAGACAAGTTGAGTATCTGGAGCATCAGCAATTGTGGGTTCGATTACAGGCTCAAAATGGCCAGAAACAAAGAACTTTCTTCTGACACTCGTCAGTCTATTCTTGTTCTGAGAATTGAAGGCTATTCCATGCGAGAAATTTCCAAGAAACTGAAGATCTCGTACAACGCTGTGTAATACTCCCTTCACAGAACCGTGCAAACTGGCTCTAACCAGAATAGAAAGAGGAGTGGGTGGCCCCGGTGCACAACTGAGCAAGAGGACAAATACATTAGTGTCTAGTTTGAGAAATAGACACCTCACAGGTCCTCAACTGGCAGCTTCATTAAATAGTACCCGCAAAACACCAGTCTCAATGTCAACAGTGAAGAGGCGACTCCAGGATGCTGACCTTCTAGGCAGAGTTGCAAAGAAAAAGCCATATCTCAGATTGGCCAATAAAAATAAAAGATTAAAATGGGCAGTCTGAGATATGGCTTTTTCTTTGCAACTCTGCCTAGAAGGTCAGCATCCCGGAGTCGCCTCTTCAGCGTTGTACGAGATCTTCAGTTTCTTGGCAATTGCTTGCATGGAATAGCCTTCATTTCTCAGAACAAGAATAAATTGACGAGTTTCAGAAGAAAGTTATTTGTTTCTGGCCATTTTGAGCCTGTAATCGAACCCACAATTGCTGATGCTCCAGATACTCAACTAGTCTCAAGAAGGCCAGTTGTATTGCTTCTTTAATCAGCACAACAGTTTTCAGCTGTGCTAACATAATTGCAAAAGGGTTTTCTAATGATCAATTAGCCTTTTAAAATGATAAACTTGGATTAGCAAATACAACGTGCCATTGGAACACTGGACTGATGGTTGCTGATAATGGGCCTATGTAGATATTCCATTAAAAACCAGCTGTTTCCAGCTACAATAGCCATTTACAACATTAACAATGTCTACACTGTATTTCTGATCAATTTTATGTTATTTTAATGGACAACAAAATTGCTTTTCTTTAGAAAACAAGGACATTTCTAAGTGACCCCAAACTTTTGAACGATAGTGTACATTTGTCCAAAAACACACAACAGTACATCAGTAACATTTGTAAAAAATAAAATAAAAAAATTATTCATTCCACGACAAGGAATTTCTCGCTATTCTGTGTAGCAATGCAAATCAAATAATTACAAGTGATAGATGCAATCCTGTAACAAACATGTTTACAAATGTAACATTGTAGTAAAAAAAATACAAATCTGGCAGGCCAACCTCCCTCACAACATACCTTGTCTAGGGTGGTTAAGACCACACATCTAAACTTGTTATGATATAAACTTTCAAACACCTAGCAGAGGGACAGGACAACACATGCGCTACAGTCTACCCCTTAACCAATGTCAGGGTTAGAGTTCACTAAGAAGAAACATCAAGGAACATTGAAGTATTAGCAACGAACTGGAAGGCAAAAAGTTCAAGACAAGACCACAGGTAAACTATGGGTGGAAGGCAGGCAGGCAGGACCCGGCCGTAAACCTGTAAGGACAAGCAGGTGGTTAGGTCGGTGCTGTCCGTCCCGGTGTTGTGCTCTAGCAATGGCGCTCGACAGGGGTGCCCTTTGTTACCGTCAGAGTTTCCACAACAGGTGTGGACTTCCATGCTGTTGGAAGAGGAGGAAACTTCTCACCACACCACCTCCTGTCTGTGAATGCCTCATGCCTGGTCTTGGATCAGTCTCTGATAGTGAGGGTAATTGACTAAATGAGGAGTGGTGGCTGTTGAGGTTGGATGGGCTGGAGTAGACAATGTTTGTGGACTGGAGTAGAGTGGTACTAGAGATGCCCACCCTAGTAGTGGAAAGAAGGGAAAGAAAGCCTGTATTTACAGAGGGATGGGGGTTCTAGTAGTAGCCTTGGTTAATAGGCCTCCTTCTGCGTGTGCATCTGTTCCTGGATCTTTGTTAGCATCTCTTGCATTCGCCGCAACTGTAGAGAGAAGAGAGGCCGCTGTCAGTCAAACACCCGCGACATGCAATACAAAACAAAAGACAACACAGAATGAAGCGGGGACTGGGGAGATGCTCACAGGCTTTAGAACTTCTCATACCAATGTTTTACTTCCATGTGAGTGCACCAATAACCAAGCGCTACCAATCACAACAAAGCCAGCTACGTGACAATCGATCAATAGGATTCCCCATACCAGTCTACTCTCACCAGACTATCAGATTGTTAAGTCATATTGATGGATTCCTAATGCTAAACACTACTTTCACATTTGCACAGATCTGATTGTCTCAGAACACTACAAAATGCTGAAGTAGTGATTGTCTACATTTCATGACTGCAATGTAGTTGGCCTGGAACGCAACCATTACTTCCACATGACTGCACCAATAACCAAGCCCTATCCAATTACAACCAAGCCAACAGTGCTGACAGACAACCGATCGATACGATTTGCCACCCCAGTCTATTCTGTCTTTAGACCATGTGACCCGATGATGATGGATGCGTGTGTGTTCATTCATGTATACAGTCCAGGTGGCCTGGAACCAGTGGTGGAAAAAGTACCCAATTGTCATACTATAGTAAAAGTATAGATACCTTAATAGAAAGTTCTTGTTAAGTGCGTGAATTGGACCATTTTCCTGTCCTGCTAAGTATTCCAAAATGTAATGAGTATTTTTGGGTGTCAGGTAAAATGTATGGAGTAAAAAGTACATTATTTTCTTTAGGAATGTAGTGAAGTAAAAGTAAAAGTAGTCAAAAATATAAATAGTAAAGTACAAAACTACTTAAGTAGTAATTTAAAGTATTTTTACTTAAGTACTTTACACCACTGCCTGGAACACGACCATTACTTCTACGTCACTGCACCAATGACCAAGCCCTATCCAATGACCATCAAGCCAGCAGATTGATACAATTTGCCACCCCATTCGCTCTGTCTAGTGACCATGTAAACGAGGCTGGTGACTGTGTGTGTGTTCAGTCAGGTATACACATTCATTTCTGTAATTACTACATGCAAAGCCTGATAATTCAATACTGTGATATGCAGTATGAGTGTGAAAGATATGGTGCCTGCAGACACTATTATTTGCCCTGCATCCCCCCAATCCTACACACATCAAAATAGGATGAAATTATGGTGACAGTTTTGTGTTTCCAACGTTTTAATAATGGGATTTTTTTTTGGAAATAACAGAAAATAATGTCTTCTTTTTTTAATGGCTCATGTCATTCAGGGGGGAATCTAACTTGATTTTTGTGTAAACGATGCACTGATATCAATGGAAGATCTGCGCCAAAAGTCAAGTTGTGCACGTGGGTCTCAAGGTAGGCCTCGGCAACGGATTCCAAATCTCAGGTTAGGGCATTTTTGTTGAGGTAGTGTTAACCTTAAAGAACCTCATCAGCTTTTAATCATAAAATATATAAATAAATAATATAAATAAATAATTATATGAAATTGGCACCATGGTGCCTTCGGACAGGGACAAACTCAAACAGGGAGAAGAGAACCATACAAGGGCTTCTTTCCATCTACAACACTACTCTACCCAGGCAGCGCGACCTGGCATATTATATTCTACAGCCAGACCTGGGTTCAAATAGTATTTGAATATAAAACATTATTTGTACCCAGATCTAGTCTTCTCCTACATTCATGTGCACCCCAGGGCTGTGTGCTGTTGTAGGGGCGCTGTTTTAGGGGCCGACTGTCACCCCTAACCCCTTCCTCAGACCAGACCCCCATCACCCCACCTGACTGGGGTCTTCAGGGGCACCTGCATGTATGGATGGAATGTATATACTGTATGATTGACAGCCTGGAGGACTCAGGAGGCCTCAGGTTCAGTCCCTGGGTCTAGGCCCGGGTCAGAGTGGGGTTCTAGGGTTGGGTCTGAGTGTCGTCGTGGTACCTCTTCATCTTTCTCTCGGATCAGCTTCTCCGTCTCTGTGTCTGTGGTACTTGGTATCACAGGGATGGGGAAGTCTGTGCCACTCTCCCTGGTCAGTTTACTACAGGAGTAGAGTGGAGAAAGACAATATGATTCATAGTTTGTGGGTGTATATGTTGTTAGAGTTTGTGACTATATGTTAGTGTGAATTGTACTTGAGCTACATTATGTTTGTATAAGAGTAACAATACGTGCAGCATTAAGATACCTGATCCAAGCTATAAACAACACATGACAGTGTATGAGATCATGGTCTGTGTGAGTGTGTGTGTCCGTACTTGCGGTTGCGTTCCTTCACCACCATGCGGGTCATGCTCTGGATGCAGTGAGCCCTGTAGTTCTCATAGTGGGTCTCCCGTGTCACATCCTTCAGGTCCTGCATGTGTGTCCTCACCAACATGTTCCTTAGCTTCACAAAGTCACAGTGCGCAGAGTTCTCCACTGTCAAGAGTAACAGAGTGTGTGTTAGGTTAGGGCAGTGTTTCCCTAAACCTTTCATGTCCACATCCCGGTTTAACCCTAAACCTAATCCTTCATGTCCACATCCCGGTTTAACCCTAAACCTAACCCTTCATGTCCACATCCCGGTTTAACCCTAAACCTAACCCTTCATGTCCACATCCCGGTTTAACCCTAAACCTAACCCTTCATGTCCACATCCCGGTTTAACCCTAAACCTTTCATGTCCACATCCCGGTTTAAACCTAAACCTAATCCTTCATGTCCACATCCCGGTTTAACCCTAAACCTAACCCTTCATGTCCACATCCCGGTTTAACCCTAAACCTAACCCTTCATGTCCACATCCCGGTTTAACCCTAAACCTAATCCTTCATGTCCACATCCCGGTTTAACCCTAAACCTAATCCTTCATGTCCACATCCCGGTTCAACCCTAACCCTAGCTTCATGTCCACACCCCGTTTCACCCCCAACCCTAACCCTAGCCTCAACCCTAGCTTCATGTCCACATCCCGATTCATCCCTAACCCCTAGCCCCAACCCTAACCCTAGCCATAGCTTCATGTCTACATCTCAGTTCAACCTTAACCTCAACCTCAACTATAACCCTAGCTTCATGTCCACATCCCAGTTCAATCCTAACCCTAGCTCCAGCCTCAACCCTAACGTAATAAGACCCCGACACACAATAACTAAATAATAATGGTGTAACAGGGTTACCTTCCACGATGCCCCAGGGGTAGAGACGACCCCGGACCCTCTTCCCTTTGGCCTCCACGACTGTGTTGCTGCCGATCACTGCAAACGGTATACTGTCCTGGAAGCGGGAGACAGGGGTAGGGAGAGAGAGCAAGAGAGGTGAATATGAATTAAGTGAATAAAGTACAAAGAGGGGGGAATATATCTGTGGTTACGATGAGGTAATGCAGTCAGTGGAAAATGCTGCAATGCAGATCTACCCATTTCTCCATCTCTCTCTCTCTCCCCCTACTTGGAATGGACAGAGCACACTGTCAGGGCACATGAGGTCACAGACACGGCTCTATGAGGGGGAGAGGCTGAGACACCATTCTGGCCTGTCCTGGCTGCACAGCCACAGCCTGCCCTCTAATGCACCGGTGCACACAGAGATCAATAGGATTCACAAACAGATGACTTTTCAAGGCTGTGTGCTCAATAATAACATGGTTACGGACATCATCTGTAATCTGGGCTTCCTATCCCAGCATTTCTGTATTGCAGACAGGTTGTTTATGATGACCAGTGTCCTTTATGTTGCTATACTTCCTCAACTAGTGATGTGAGGTTTGGATAAATGTGGTTCACCTTGAGCTCCTGATCCTGCTGTTTGAAGTCCTCATCCTCATCAGAGTCACAGTCTGGGAACTGGTAGATCTTAATCCCAAACTGCTGGATCTCCTCTCGGATCTACAGGAAGATGGAGGGAGGGACAGAGAGAAGAAGATGGAGGGAGGGAGGGAGGGAGGGAGGGATGGAGGGAGGGAGGGAGGGAGGGAGGGAAGGAAGGAAGGAAGAGGAGAACATTAAACTACTGTTTAGAATCCTGTGATTGAGGACGGACAAACAAGAAGATCAAGGAGCAAAAACAAATCCATCAAAACGGTCACCTGGAAATAAAAATGTTTTAGAAATTTGCTGACACCAATGTCCCCTGTCCATTTCTTATTTGTACAGAGCCATGGTATTCAGACAAGCAGACACAGATGGAAAAGCGAGTTAGAGTGTGGCTTGCCTTGAATTTCTTTTTCTTGACCTCGGTGGGTGTGAGTGTATCTGCCTTTGCCAGGATTGGCACAATGTTGACCTTCTCATGAAGGGCCTTCATAAACTCCACATCCAGAGGCCTCAGACTGAGACAGATACAAGACATGACATACATTTTTAGTAATTTTGCAGACTAAATGACCAGAGCAACTTACAATTAAGGACAACAAGTCAACACTGAGAAAACAACCAAAACACATTGTATATGTGGAAACATGGGCATAGACAACAACACTGACAAAACTTGGATATGGTTAAGAGATAAAGGGATCATTATGGTAATCCAAATTAAGGTAATCTTCATAAAACCATATTTTCAAGGATAGTAGTAGTATCTAATATTGGTCAGCAGAGGGAGTTATCTTCTCATTACAGGTTTGCAGCAGTGCTTCAGCGCTAATGACGGTGCTCAAGATTTCTCCTTTCAATGAACACAGCGGCGTGAAACAGACCGTAAACTCAGACAAAAGTACCGCATCAGCATTTACCCCAACGATTGTACAGAAAGTTTAGTTCTGCAGCATCTGCCCCGCAAAATGGATAGAACGTTTAGCACTTCACCAGATGCAGATTTCCCTGGAGGCAGCAGAGCAGGGTAGTTCTAGATTCCAGGGAAACCCAATGCATTTAGAATGCATGGAACATGGTGCAAACCAACATGGTGCATAGTGGAAACCCTCTCGGTGGTAGTGAAGGAAGGAAGGTAGAAGGGGAAAAGAAACTATTCTAAGAGTATTGAGACAGCCAATATGTCTGTCTATCTCCATAGAAGAAAGGATTCCATTTAAAGAGTATTGAGACAGAGATTACATGTCGTAGCTGACGTACCCGTGTCCGAAGGGAGAGATGAAGTAGAGGCAGCAGTGGACTCTGTTATCCTGGATGTTCTTCCTGTTCAGTCCACTCTCGTCCCTGAAGTACTGCTCAAACTGCTGGTCGATGTAGTCCGCCACTGACTTCCAGCTAGGGCGGTGGGGGAGACACAGAGACACACCAGCACTGAGGCAATACTGCAGAGACAGCCACCCTACAACTAACCATACCAACCCTAACCCACTGACTTCCAGCTAGGGCGGTGGGGGAGACACAGAGACATCAGTACTGAGGCAAGGCAGACAGTCATTCCCCTACTGTATTTGTATTTATTTATTTTATTTCACCTTTATTTCACCAGGTAAGCCAGTTGAGAACAAGTTCTCATTTACAACTGCGACCTGGCCAAGATAAAGCAAAGCAGTGCGATAAAAACAACAACACAGAGTTACATATGGGGTAAAACAAAACATAAAGTCAAAAATACAACAGAAAATATATATACAGTGTGTGCAAATGTAGCAAGTTATGGAGGTAAGGCAATAAATAGACTAGTGCAAAATAATTACAATTAGTATTAACACTGGAATGATAGATGTGCAAGAGATGATATGCAAATACAGATACTGGGGTGCAAATGAGCAAAAATAAATAACAATATAGGGATGAGGTAGTTGGGTGGGCTAATTTCAGATGGGCTGTGTACAGGTATACTGAGCTATACTGCAACTGTACCTCAAACTGCTTCATGCAACAATACAAAGCCTAATTGCAATAAAAATTTGACGAAGGCATTATACCTGGGCTGTTATCATAAAAATCATGACTACTGTATTGAAGACTACCTCTTATATCCAAAGGTTAAGATCAACTCAATACCTTGAACTTACTCAGCTCTGCCTTAGGATCATAAGAGTTTAGTCATTTCATGTGTTTTCCTGACATCAAAGAAGAGTCCTATGAAGGATGTTTGACATATACCATTCAGTGTTATTGACAGCGTCTCCAAAGCCAGGGGTGTCTACGATGGTGAGCTTCAGCTTGACGCCCTTCTCCTCAATGTCCACTGTGTGTTTAGTTATCTCCACTGTCTGAGTTATCCGCTCTGGGGTTAAAACACACACATTTCCTCAGCAGCTGGCCATTTATATAATTAATTCATTAATTAATTTATTCAGAAGATGAGACACAAAAATGGCCGCCTCACCCTCAGCATTGAGTAGCTTCCTGTCCTTGTAGAGGTCTGTGAGGAAGAGGCTGTTGACCAGGGTGGACTTCCCCAGACCAGACTCCCCTGCTACCATCAGGGTGAAGTCAAAGCCCTTCTTGACAGACTTACGGTGCACCTGGTTTGGCAGTGTGGCAAAGCCCACGTATTCCTTGTCTTGGTCCTGAGAAAGCAGGAGAAACACAGAGACGCCATTTTAAACACATTGCTGAATTCTGGTGGCGGAACATCTGCGAGTTACAGTAAATAATTCCCAATAAAAAGGTAACACCTCCCACACATACAGTTGAAGTCGGAAGTTTACATACACCTTAGCCAAATACATTTAAACTCAGTTTTTCACAATTCCTGACATTAAAAATTCCCTGTCTTAGGTCAGTTAGGATCACCACTTTATTTTAAGAATGTGAAATGTCAGAATAATAGTAGAGATAATTATTTATTTCAGCTTTTATTTATTTCATCACATTCCCAGTGGGTCAGAAGTTTACATACACTCAATTAGTATTCGGTAGCATTGCCTTTAAATTGTTTAACTTGGGTCAAACGTTTCGGGTAGCCTTCCACAAGCTTCCCACAATAAGTTGGGTGAATTTTGGCCCATTCCTCCTGACAGAGCTGGTGTAACTGAGTCAGGTTTGTATGCCTCCTTGCTCGCACACGCTTTTTCAGTTCTGCCCACAAATGTTCTATAGGATTGAGGTCAGGGCTTGTGATGGCCACTCCAATACCTTGACTTTGTTGTCCTTAAGCCATTTTGCCACAACTTTGGAAGTATGCTTGGGGTCATTGTCCATTTGGAAGACCCATTTGCGACCAAACTTTAACTTCCTGACTGATGTCTTGAGATGTTGCTTCAATATATCCACATAATTGTCCTTCCTCATGATGCCATCTATTTTGTGAAGTGCACCAGTCCCTACTGCAGCAAAGCACCCCCACAGCATGATGCTTCCACCCCGTGCTTCACGGTTGGGATGGTGTTCTTCTGCTTGGAAGCACCCCCCTTTTTCCTCCAAACATAACGATGGTCATTATGACCAAACAGTTATATTTTTGTTTCATCAGACCAGAGGACATTTCTCCAAAAAGTACAATCTTTGTCCCCATGTGCAGTTGCAAACGGTAGTCTGGCTTTTTTATGGCAGTTTTGGAGCAGTGGCTTCTTCCTTGCTGAGAGGCCTTTCAGGTTATGTCGATATAGGACTTGTTTTACTGTGGATGTATATACTGTTGTACCTGTTTCCTCCAGCATCTTCACAAGGTCCTTTGCTGTTGTTCTGGGATTGATTTGCACTTTTCGCACCAAAGTACGTTCATCTCTAGGAGACAGAATGTGTCTCCTTCCTGAGCGGTATGACGGCTGCGTGGTCCCATGGTGTTTATACTTGCGTACTATTGTTTGTACAGATGACCGTGGTACCTTCAGGCATTTGGAAATTGCTACCAAGGATGAACCAGACTTGGAGGTCTACAATGTTTTCTGAGGTCTTGGCTGATTTCTTTTGATTTTCCCATGATGTCAAGCAAAGAGGCACTGAGTTGGAAGGTAGGCCTTGAAATACATCCACAGGTACACCTCCAATTGACTCAAATGATGTCAATTAGCCTATCAGAAGCTTCTAAAGCCATGACATCATTTTCTGGAATTTTCCAAGCTGTTTAAAGGCACAGTCAACTTAGTATATGTAAACTTCTGACCCACTGGAATTGTGATACAGTGAATTATAAGTGAAGTAATCTGTCTGTAAACAATTGTTGGAAAAATTACTTGTGTTATGCACAAAGTAGATGTCCTAACCGACCTGCCATAACTATAGTTTGTTAACAAGAAATGTGTGGAGTGGTTCAAAAACTAGTTTTAATGACTCCAACCTAAGTGTATCTAAACTTCCGACTTCAACTGTAAATACGTCTTTCAAACCTAAAGCCATTTCAACAGATGTAGGATATTGAATGAAGCCATTGTCAACACATCAGAACACACTACCATCTTTGACCAACATCAGTTTCAAAGCGAAAGCCACAAACTGAGTCATCGGCCAGACACACAACCAAAGTTCCCAAGTAAACATCACTGGAAATGGCCTGAACCTGCTGCTAGTGCTGCTCTGAGGCTAAAGCACAGACTCTTTGGACAAGAGAGGTGATAACCCAACCCATGTTGCCCATAGTGTTGCCTCTGGTCTCTACACCCTACACGGTCCCCCTGGCCTGAAGTTTACCTGTGGAAAGTCATAGGGGTCAAAGCGGCCCCAGGGGCTCTTGGGCCTGAGGGGAGACTGCATGTCATAGTGATCCACCATCCCACCTCCACCCAGCTGCAGCCTCCCTATGCCCTGGTTGTCTGACTGGGCCCTGCCACCCGCCGTGGGGGGGCGCAAAAAGGTGGGGGTCCCAGAGGTGGGCATCCCGGGGGTGTTGGGGGGGCTGTCGCCCCCCTCCGCCTCCCTGTCCACCGGGTCGGGGCTGTGCTCATAGCCGGGCGGAGGCTGGTGGGGGTGTGGGTGGCCCCCGTTGTGGTGGGGGTCTTGTTGCATGATGTTCTCCAACTCAGAGTCTTCAGAGTCATCCTTGGAATGGCTTGAGTGCTAAGGGCAGGGGGGGGGGGGGGGGGGGGGGGGGGGGAGGGAACGGTACGGGGGGGTGTTTTCCGGGCGGGTGGGAGAGGTGATGCGGAGAAGAGTGGACGGACGGGAGTAAAGGTTGGAGCAGGAGGGAGGTTAATATATATCGGAAGGAAAACAAGGAGCGAAGGTAACAGGGGCAACATAAGAATCAACAGGAAAGAAAGAAGAAAATGCAGAGTGGTTATAGACACTGAATGTGTTGATGGAGAGAAACAACCTAAGAAATAATTAGTATAAGTGCAAGGTAGGCCTAGTTCTCTAGGGGTTAGAGAAGATTCACTCGAAGAAACAGCGAGGAAACAAGATATTGACTGACTGATTCACTAGAGAGACCACCAGAGAAGCTACAAGGTTAACAATGTAAGAGGGGAGGGTAAATATTTGTGCTGATGGGAGGAATGCCGATATCAAATGCAGAGGAAGAAGAGATCTGTGATGGCCGTTAAACTAATAACAACCACAGCCTCCGATTCTGATGCAAGAGAACACACTCACTCTGTTCAATACTATAGAGTGCCAAAAATATAACCTATATGTTAAAGGGTCCTCCGCTAGAGTAGATAACTCATCATCATTTGAGTATTAGTATTTTATTAGGATCCCCATTAGCTGTTGCTGAAGCAGCAGCTACATTTCCTGGGGTCCACACAAAACACGACATAATACAGAACATTAATAGACAAGAACAGCTCAAGGACAGAACTACATACAGTGGGGGAAAAAAAGTATTTAGTCAGCCACCAATTGTGCAAGTTCTCCCACTTAAAAAGATGAGGCCTGTAATTTTCATCATAGGTACACGTCAACTATGACAGACAACTTGAGAATTTTTTTCTCCAGAAAATCACATTGTAGGATTTTTCATGAATTTATTTACAAATTATGGTGGAAAATAAGTATTTGGTCACCTACAAACAAGCAAGATTTCTGGCTCTCACAGACCTGTAACTTCTTCTTTAAGAGGCTCCTCTGTCCTCCACTCATTACCTGTATTAATGGCACCTGTTTGAACTTGTTATCAGTATAAAAGACACCTGTCCACAACCTCAAACAGTCACACTCCAAACTCCACTATGGCCAAGACCAAAGAGCTGTCAAAGGACACCAGAAACAAAATTGTAGACCTGCACCAGGCTGGGAAGACTGAATCTGCAATAGGTAAGCAGCTTGGTTTGAAGAAATCAACTGTGGGAGCAATTATTAGGAAATGGAAGACATACAAGACCAATGATAATCTCCCTCGATCTGGGGCTCCACGCAAGATCTCACCCCATGGGGTCAAAATGATCACAAGAACGGTGAGCAAAAATCCCAGAACCACACGGGGGGACCTAGTGAATGACCTGCAGAGAGCTGGGACCAAAGTAACAAAGCCTACCATCAGTAACACACTACGCTGCCAGGGACTCAAATCCTGCAGTGCCAGACGTGTCCCCCTGCTTAAGCCAGTACATGTCCAGGCCCGTCTGAAGTTTGCTAGAGTGCATTTGGATGATCCAGAAGAGGATTGGGAGAATGTCATATGGTCAGATGAAACCAAAATTTAACTTTTTGGTAAAAACTCAACTCGTCGTGTTTGGAGGACAAAGAATGCTGAGTTGCATCCAAAGAACACCATACCTACTGTGAAGCATGGGGGTGAAAACATCATGCTTTGGGGCTGTTTTTCTGCAAAGGGACCAGGACGACTGATCCGTGTAAAGGAAAGAATGAATGGGGCCATGTATCGTGAGATTTTGAGTGAAAACCTCCTTCCATCATCAAGGGCATTGAAGATGAAACGTGGCTGGGTCTTTCAGCATGACAATGATCCCAAACACACCGCCCGGGCAACGAAGGAGTGGCTTCGTAAGAAGCATTTCAAGGTCCTGGAGTGGCCTAGCCAGTCTCCAGATCTCAACCCCATAGAAAATCTTTGGAGGGAGTTGAAAGTCTGTGTTGCCCAGCGACAGCCCCAAAACATCACTGCTCTAGAGGAGATCTGCATGGAGGAATGGGCCAAAACACCAGCAACAGTGTGTGAAAACCTTGTGAAGACTTACAGAAAACGTTTGACCTGTGTCATTGCCAACAAAGGGTATATAACAAAGTATTGAGAAACTTTTGTTATTGACCAAATACTTATTTTCCACCATAATTTGCAAATAAATTCATAAAAAATCCTACAATGTGATTTTCTGGATTTCTTTCCCTCATTTTGTCTGTCATAGTTGACGTGTACCTATGATGATAATTACAGGCCTCTGTCATCTTTTTAAGTGGGAGAACTTGCACAATTGGTGGCTGACTAAATACTTTTTTTCCCCACTGTAATTGAAATGACCATCCTGAACTTCCAGGAAATGGGAGGATATATCTTGTTTAAAAGTGTAGTGCCGTGGCTGCTGGCTCAAAAGATTATCCCTGCTCAGCAGATTCAGCCTTGGTATGGTAGACTCTGGAGTCTGGGTGGCACCCTATTCCCTATGGGCCCTGGTCAAAAGTAATGCACTATATAGGGAATAGGGTGCCATTTGGGATGCAAGCTGGGACATCACAATTCAATAGAAGGTACGGTACTGTAGCCACGTGGATGATAAAGAGTGGAGGAAACTGTTTAATAGGTTACATCAGAAGTTACACCACACCAGAAGGACAGGAGACACTGCCAGATTGCACAGATGACTCCAGACTGCACAGATAATAGAAAAATGCCATGACACCACATCTGGGTCGCATTTGTGTGCGCTTCTCTCTCCACAACAAAATATGATTTGAGTTGATAGAGTAGAGCTAAAGCAAATTGACCTCTAAATGATGAATGAACCCTCTTGATTACTAGATGACTACTCAAATGAATTGCTGCTGTATATGGTGTCATACAGCTTCAAACACAAACATTCATGAACACACACTTTGTTATGACATCAATAAGGACTCAAACATGACATCAAACATCAGGCGTTTGGACATTTCTCCCAAGGATGAACCAGACTTGTGGAGATCTACATCATTTTCTGGAATTTTCCAAGCTGTTTAAAGGCACAGTTAACTTAGTGTATGTAATCTTCTGACCCACTGGAATTGTGACACAGTGAATTATAAGTGAAATAATCTGTCTGTAAACAATTGTTGTAAAAATTACTTGTGTCATGCACAAAGTAGATGTCCTAACCGACTTGCCAAAACTATAGTTTGTTAACAAGAAATTTGTGGAGTGGTTGAAAAACAAGTTAATGACTGTATTCTATACTATCTATTGCATCTTAGCCTATGCCGCTCTGACAATGACATTGCTCATCCATATATTTATATATTCTTATTCCATTCCTTAACTTAGATGTGTTTATTAGATATTTGTTGTGGAACTGTTAGATATTACTTGCTAGATATTACTGCACTGTCGGAACTAGAAGCACAAGCATTTCGCTACACTCGCAATAACATCTGCTAACCATGTGTATGTGACCAATACATTTGATTTGATCTATTCATATGGGTGTGTCACTCTCAACACATACTGGTAGACAGAGGAAACTTGATTAAAACCTATTGGTTTTAAACATGTCAACTCAAATGTCATTTACACAATGACTGATCAATTTGTGGTGATTAGTAACAGCACTCTCATTTTCAAATCTACCTTAACCTGTCAATCACAACTACATGCTATTTTATTTTTGTCCCTTCTCTGCCTTTTCCCGAACCACAAGAGTAAACCATCTACAGTGAGGGAAAAAAGGATTTGATCCCCTGCTGATTTTGTACGTTTGCCCACTGACAAAGACATGATCAGTCTATAATTTTAATGGTAGGTTTATTTGAACAGTGAGAGACAGAATAACAAAAAAATCCAGAAAAACGTATGTCAAAAATGTTATAAATTGATTTGCATTTTAATGAGGGAAATAAGTATTTGACCCCTCTACAAAACATGACTTAGTACTTGGTGGCAAAACCCTTGTTGGCAATCACAGAGGTCAGACGTTTCTTGTAGTTGGCCACCAGGTTTGCACACATCTCAGGAGGGAAGATTTGACGGTACATGGCCCCGTCCATCGTCCCTTTGATGCGGTGAAGTTGTCCTGTCCCCTTAGCAGAAAAATACCCCCAAAGCATAATGTTTCCATCTCCATGTTTGACGGTGGGGATGGTGTTCTTGGGGTCATAGGCAGCATTCCTCCTCCTCCAAACATGGCGAGTTGAGTTGATGCCAAAGAGCATTTTGGTCTCATCTGACCACAACACTTTCACCCAGTTCTCCTCTGAATCATTCAGATGTTCATTAGAAAACTTCAGGCGGGCCTGTATATGTGCTTTCTTGAGCAGGGGGACCTTGCGGGCGCTGCATGATTTCAGTCCTTCACGGCGTAGTGTGTTACCAATTATTTTCTTGGTGATTATGGTCCCAGCTGCCTTGAGATCATTGACAAGATCCTCCCGTGTAGTTCTGGGCTGATTCTTCACCGTTCTCATGATCATTGCAACTCCACGAGGTGAGATCTTGCATGGAGCCCCAGGCTGAGGGAGATTGACAGTTATTTTGTGTTTCTTCCATTTGCGAATAATTGCACCAACTGTTGTCACCTTCTCACCAAGCTGCTTGGCGATGGTCTTGTAGCCCATTCCAGCCTTGTGTAGGTCTACAATCTTGTCCCTGACATCCTTGGAGAGCTCTTTGGTCTTAGCCATGGTGGAAAGTTTGGAATCTGATTGATTGATTGCTTCTGTGGACAGGTGTCTTTTATACAGGTAACAAGCTGAAATTAGGAGCACTCCCTTTAAGAGTGTGCTCCTAATCTCAACTCGTTACCTGTATAAAAGACACCTGGGAGCCAGAAATCTTTCTGATTGAGAGGGGGTCAAAAACTTATTTCCCTCATTAAAATGCAAATCAATTTATAACATTTTTGACATGCGTTTTTCTGGATTTTTTTGTTGTTATTCTGTCTCTCACTGTTCAAATAAATATACCATTAAAATTATAGACTGATCATTTCTTTGTCAGTGGGCAAACGTACAAAATCAGCAGGGGATAAAATACTTTTTTCCCTCACTGTGCCTTACCTGATGACAACACCTACAATTCATGAGACCAACAAAGGCAGAGCCCTTTTGTGTAGCTAGACCTGTAAAGGGATATCCCTCCCTGCAGTTCTCAGACTAGAGACTAGTGTTCCATCCCAAATGGCACCCTATTCCCCATGGGCCCTGGTCAAAAGCAGTACACTATATTAAGAATAGGATGCCATTTGAGATGCAGATTGGTGCTCATGTCCTTAGGGCTGATGCTGAAGTTACCATAGCCATGCATGCCCTCCGTACCCCAGTTTGTGCAAAGAATCCCCAGCCTGCTCCACTATGAATATTACAGTGGTATTGAGAGGGCTAGGAGGCTATTTTACATTTACATTTTAGTCTTTTAGCAGACGCTCTTATCCAGAGCGACTTAGCTCTAGGGAAACCATAGCAATGAGAGTAAACTGGCGTTATCGGTCCATATCTCTCCTCAATAGAGCAGACACAGTCATGATACCTTGCTGTTCTTCCAGGTTTCAGCTCTGTGAACAGACACACAACAAGCCTTTCTTTGGATCAGTAGTAAACAACTCTGAACTTCTAACTGGTTCCAACAGGAACTAGTAAACTAGAAAGTAAACAGGCCTCCTGTAGCTCAGTTGGTAGAGCATGGCGCTTGCAACGCCAGGGTTGTGGGTTCGATTCCCCACGGGGGGCCAGTATGAAAAATGTATGCACTCACTAACTGTAAGTCGCTCTGGATAAGAGCGTCTGCTAAATGACTAAAATGTAAATGTAAATGAACTACAAAGGGGTCTAAAGCATGTGGACAATTAACTTAACATTTTCAAGTACATTGTTGCCAGTCCTTGGTATGTATGAATCTTAGATTGTCCTTCCACATGGTTCTCAGGATAATAGGAGATTATCCCTGCATGCCAACAGAGGGTTGATTGTGGTTACACTGTACATATGGAGCGCAGCAGTATGAATCCTCCTGCCACAACAACGTCACTGTGTTGTGTGTGAGACTCAGCAGGGGATTGGGCTTGGGGGGAGACCTATACAAATATGTCAAATACTTAAAAGTATTTGATGTGCACTTCATATAGCTTGGAATTTGGAACTTTTTGGACTATTCCATTTGTTCCATTCATTGTGTCAGTCCAACTAAATCGAGCACAGCAGCTCAAATATTTGGAAAGTATTTGGCATATTCTTTGACCCAGATCTGGTCTGACCCAGATCTGGTCTGGTCACTGGTACCTGTTCGGCCTCATGGTGGTGGTCCCTGGTGTGGCCAGGGGATGGCGGTGGGGAGTCCAGGTCATCTGATGATGAGTGAGCCTCATGGTCACTGTCCTCCATTGCTACTGGGGCTACAGTGCACTCTGCCATCTCCAACCAGGAAGGAACGTGCATTTGGAGTGGAAAGTGGTGGGGCAAGGAGCAGGGCCAACAGGGAAGTAAGAATTGGAAGGACCAATCAGAACAAAGCATGGGGAATGGTGATGGATGGAGTGGAAAGGTAGGTTGGCGTGACAACAGGATAGCGTTGCGTGATGGCGTTTTTGTAGAACAGACCAGTACGAAAGGGTTGAAAGAAAAACAAAACAAAAATTAAAAAATCATGAAATGATTAAATAAACTCAAATTAAAAGAACTATGAGTGAGTAGTGACACACACAGACGTATGGATCCAGACATAGGAAATGACATGGCTGTTGGATGCCTGAGCAAGCAACATGGCTGTCCACTGGAGTAGCCCACAGGGTGATTGAGTTGTATTCAGAGTGGTGCGTGGAAAGAATTGTTTCAGCAATGTCCAGAAATAATGTTGGTATGGGCAGGGATCTATTCCGTCTGGCCATTCCACTCCAGCAGCACTCACAGCCTAATGTTGTTTATTTGTCCAGCTGCACTTAGTTTAACTGATTCTGATATCTTCCCATTCAGTGGGTCTAACAATGCACTGTTACTGAAGCAGATGAGATTAACTGATCTGGCTGCAGTTGCATCATGTAGAGAGTTGAAATGTCTTTACTGAAAATAAAAACAAAAGTACACACATATACTAACACTCAGATCTCAGAGTTCAGAGCAAGGCATTGCAAGGTTCTTCTAAGAGATAGTATCAGTGTTCTCCCAACAAGTTTTTCCAAGTAATCCCAACAAGGTTTTCCAAGTCATCCCAACAAGGTTTTTCATGTGATCCTCCGTTTTAATTACACAGGGATTGGGATTAGGAGATCAGGGGCAGAGAGGACAGAGAGGAGAGGAAATGAATAGTCTCTCAGATTAGAGGACCATTGACCTGTTTTCCTCCAGTCTGCTTTGCTCTGACCAAACCACACGATGGATCAATGTCCAATCTACTGCCCAACATGGATGACCCTTTGTGTGACCCAATTAACAGCGTCCCTGGTCAATAATAATCAACACTGTCAACTCTGGAGCAGAGATGTGTGTGGAATGGTTCTCAGATCAAACATATTTTAATATTTTACTTGGCACACAGTGAGAATATTTGTCAGATTCTGAACACTTCTCTGCTCTACCATTTAAAAACGGAGTCTGCCCCTCACTTGAACTGCAGAGAATCCACCACTTGGAAGTGAGTAGATTGATGATATCTAAAGAAAATGCAGTCTTTGTAATCAATCATGAAACAATTAAACAACAATCCAAACTTGTACACCAACTAGACAATGCCCTTAAGTAAAAACCAGACTCATTTGAAAAAATCCTCTTCAGGACAATAACTCACCAGTACCCTGTATGAGATGTAACAGCCTGGCTCTCTTGCCTCCTCTCAACCAGCTCTTCATGCCCTCACCGGGAGCCGGTCCGGAGAGTGGCCAGCAACCCCTGCCTATATACCCCTCTGAACCAGGACACTGTGTCCTTCAGCCCCATCGAGCTGCCTGGCTGCCCCACCGCCCTGGGGCTCCTAGTCCTATCAGCCACACAGACATGAAATCCATCCACGGCCCACGCACCCATCACGGTTCACAAGGTCAGGCTGTCCAAACCATACCATGCCAGTAACACCAACTCACTCAAACTTTTAAGGCCACTCATCTCTCGTTACACTGTCTGAAAAGCCCAGGTGACAGTTTATGCATAACGGCAGGTAGGTAGTGTACTACATTGATTTTCCACTAAGAACCCACTTTGGCACTTCTCAAGCAAATGTTTTACCCCGCAAGTTAAGACGAGAGCAATACAGCTGTATCCTCTCACACTGTATCAGTTGGGCTGTCAGGCACTGGAGTGTGTGGTTATCTTTAGTATTAAAGTCTTAGGAGACCGCAGCCACAGCTGAAACGGATTTAAGGGATGACGATCAAGGAATTTCACTGTAGATGTATGGAACTCTCCTCTTTTTACCAGCCTGCATGGCTGGCTGCCTGCCTTGCTGCCAAAAAACACTGCTGTCTCATGAGGTTTTCATTCAATAGTCTGACATAAAGTGAGAAGAAAAGAGACGGTATCTCAAGGGAGAGAGAGAGAGAGAAAACAAAGAGTGAGAGGAGAGAGAGAGAGAAAAGAGAGAGAGAAAGAGGAGGAATCTCAGATGATACTGAATATAAATGGAGCTTTAACACAGACAGCAGAACAATAGCGGTAGTAACGGTCAGGCAGCAGAGTTGGACTGATGACATCACCCAGTCAGCATGTCCATCAGGGCTACTTGGCATGCCTGGCACAGAGCACTCTGGAGTGGGTTAACCTTGGGATCACTGCCCACCTCCACCCTCTTGCATTGCTGCAGGATATACATTACATTTACATTTAAGTCATTTAGCAGACACTCTTATCCAGAGCGACTTACAGTTAGTGAGTGCATACATTATTTTTAATTTTTTTCATACTGGCCCCCCGTGGGAATCGAACCCACAACCCTGTCGTTGCAAACGGCATGCTCTACCAATTGAGCTACATCCCTGCCGTCCATTCCCTCCCCTACCCTGGACGACGCTGGGCCAATTGTGCGCCGCCCCGTCGGTCTCCCGGTCGCGGTCGGGATATGAGGATGGAGGGAGGAGAGACGGCAAACAGGATAGAATAAAAAGAAACTATCTCCTCTCTGTGAATGTATAGCTCCATCTAGAGAGGTTGGGTAGCATCAGTCGCACATGCATGCTTTCCCTCTGAGCCTTCATCTCCCTTCTCCTGATTCTCTACCCTGTCCCATGTGTGTACTTGTTTACTTGCTTTCATGGGAGACACACATACACTAATGACTTTAGAGTTATGCATTGAACTGCTGCAACCCCCCAAAGCCAAATATAATACTAGGCCTATTACGCAAATGTGTTTAGAATAATTCCATCCATTAATCTCATGTGCACTGCTTTGTTGGGAAAATACGTTGGCCATTTCTCATGGGACTTTCCTTTAGATCCCTTTGATGTGCTTCTCACGGGTTCACCATAATAAGATAACCTCAATTCCTTAACAAAGAAAGGGAGAGTTGACTACATACAGTAAGAGAGAATGAGTCTAACTGAATTAATCACAACTCATAAGAATAGACAAAGAGGCTGTCATAATGTAAATGATAATCACGTTGACAACATTTGTCTTGGTAAATTAAGTAATAACTCTACAGAAACAAATTAAGCTATATATCTGAATGGTCTCTTGACATAGAACTGAAACACTCCCGTCACCCAACAGGGCTGCAGCTGAGTAGCTGAGCTCAACATAGTTCCAGAGGCTGATGCACCAATAAGCTTACGAAACACACTATCGGCAAGCTATAAAACACGCGGCCTATGGTTGAGCTGAGCCAGACCAACACAGAAACCACGACACCGGAAACCACACGACACCACTCAGTCCTACTGCATGTCCCACTTAGATCACATCTGATTAACAAATCCGTAGCATTCATGGAAATGTCTCTATCATATTGTAGAATTTGGAGCTGTATGTTCCTAGACTATAACATAATAATATACAGTGCATATACAGACCCCTTGACTTTTTCCACATTGTTACGTTACAGCCTTAATCTAAAATGGATTAAATTGTTTTTTGCCCCTCCTTAATCTACACACAATACCCCATAATGACAAAGCAAAAACAGGTTTTTAGAAATGTTTGCAAATGTATAGAAAATATCACATTTACATAACAACTGTATCACTAAACTACTGGTAAGACACGTTTCCCATCTATTCAGCTGAATACTTAAGTTAATTAGGTTAAGTGCCTTGCTCAAAGGCTCACAGCAGTAGGACCCACCTGGGACCTGATCTAGTTAATATCAGTAACAGGTATAGGCCACACTACTGCTTCACCGCATTTACTAGTAGAAATAATTATTCTGTAGTACAAATCACTTTTACCCAATTAGCGTAAGTATAATTTTTCCACAGTAAACCAATACAGTGACACCTGGAGTAAGATTAACCTGGAGGGCTGATTACCTGTCACTGCATTGCAGACAGCATTATCAATGCTCTTTATTCACCTGAGGCATGCAACGCATACCTACAGTACCTAGGCTAATATAGTGCAGTCAGTGCATACCAACCAAATGAAACCAGAAAGTAACTGGTTCAAGTCCAAGGTGGCATACTGCTGAGGTGGCCAGCCCCTTGAGCAATAACTAAGGCACTTAACTGGAAAATACTTCTACAGATCTTGTGGAAAATTCAAAAGCTGCAGTCAGAAACTGAAAACGTATGAATGTTTGTGATTTTGTGATCTTATCTTAAAAGTTTCATTCCACAGATTTTACAGAGCAGTCAGTCCAACACAACAAAGCTTTCTCTGCTCTGAAGAAAATGTCATGGGTAAAAATCTCTACAGTACAGAACAATCTCTACAGGACAAATCATTCACTAAACCCTAAACCTCAACTAAATCTTGTAATAAATAATGTGGAGATTGAGCAAGTTGAGGTGACTAAACTTCCTGGAGTAACCCTGGATTGTAAACTGTCATGGTCAAAACATGTCGACACAACAGTAGCTAAGATGGGGATAAGTCTGTCCATAATAAAGCACTGTTCTGCCTTTTTAACAACACTATCAACAAGGCAGGTGCTACAGGGCCTTGTTTTGTCGCACCTGGATTACTGTTCAGTCGTGTGGTCAGGCGCCACAAAGAGGGACCTCGGAAAATTACAATTGGCTCAGAACAGGGCTGCACGGCTGGCCCTTAAATGTACACGAAGAGCTAACATTAATATGCATGTAAATCTCTCATGACTTAAAGTGGAGGAGAGATTGACTTCATCACTACTTGTTTTTGTAAGAAGTGTTGACAAGCTGAACTACTAGCATACCCCATAAGACATGCCAACAGAGGTCTCTTCACAATCCCCAAGTCAAGAACAGACTATGGGAGGCGCACAGTACTACGTAGAGCCATGGCTACATGGAACTCTATTCCACATCAGGTAACTGATGCAAGCAGTAGAATCAGATTTTTTAAAAACATAAAAATACACCTTATGGAACAGCGGGGACTGTGAAGAGACACACACAGGCACAGACACACGCTTACACATACACATGACAAGACACGCACACTGGATTTTGTATTGTAGATATGTGATAGTAGAGTAGTGGCCTGAGGGAACACACTTAATGTGTTGTGAAAAGGGTTATGAAACGTAATGTCATGTAATATTTTAAATTGTATATAACTGCCTTATTGTTGCTGGACCCCAGGAAGAATAGCTGCTGCCTTGGCAGGAACTAATGGGGATCCTTAATAAATACAAATATAAATCAGACTTCTCAGCCAGGCAATGTCCTGTCACAATAACATTGCTGTTCATTGACTATAGCTCAGCATTCAACACCATAGTACCATCCAAGCTCATCATTAAGCTCGAGGCCCTTGGTCTGAACCCCGCCCTGTGCAACTGGGTCCTGGACTTCCTGACGGGCCGCCCCCAGGTGGTGAAGGTAGGAAACAACATCTCCACTTCGCTGATCCTCAACACTGGGGCCCCACAAGGGTGCGTGCTCAGCCCACTCCTGTACTCCCTGTTCACCCATGACTGCGTAGCCAAGCACGCCTCCAGCTCAATCATCAAGTGCAGATGACACAACAGTAGTAGGCTTGATTACCAACAATGACAGCCTACAGGGAGGAGGTGAGGGCTCTGGGAGTGTGGTGCCAGGAAAATAACCTCTCACTCAACGTCAACAAAACAAAGGAGATGATCGTGGACTTCAGGAAACAGCAGAGGGTGCACCCCCCTATCCACATCGACGGGACCGCAGTGGAGAAGGTGGAAAGATTCAAGTTCCTTGGTGTACACATCACTGACGAACTGAAATGGTCCACCCACGCAGACAGTGTGGTGAAGAAGGCGCAACAGAGCCTCTTCAACCTCAGGAGGCTGAAGAAATGTGGCTTGGCACCTAAAACCCTCACAAACGTTTACAGATGCACAATTGAGAGCATCCTGTCGGGCTGTATCAACGCCTGGTACGGCAACTGCACCGCCCACAACCGCAGGGCTTTCCAGAGGGTGGTACGGTCTGCCCAACGCATTACCGGGGGCAAACTACCCGCCCTCCAGGACACCTACAGCACCCGATGTCTCAGGAAGGCCAAAAAGATAATCAAGGACATCAACCACCCGAGCCACTGCCTGTTCACCCCACTATCATCCAGAAGGCGAGGTCAGTACAGGTGCATCAAAGCTGTGACCGAGAGAATGAAAAACAGCTTCTATCTCAAGGCCATCAGACTGTTAAATAGCCATCACTAGCACATTAGAGGCTGCTGCTGCCTATTGAAATCACTGGCCACTTTAAGAAATGGAACACTAGTCACTTTAATAATGTTTACATATCTTGCACTACTCATCTCATATGTATATACTGTATTCTATTCTATAATATTCTACCATATCTTAGTCCATGCTGCTCTGCCATTGCTTGTCCATATATGTATATATTCTTAAATTCCATTCCTTACTAGATTTGTGTGTATTGGGTATATGTTGTGAAATTGTTAAATATTACTTG